AATGAGAAGCAATATGAATGTCCTCACTTTGGAGGAGTTTCCCCCTGTCTCCGTATCTTTATGAGTCCGGGACTTCCACACGCACATAACTGACTCAATGATGATATCTTTTTATGATCCAAGTCGAGTCACCACCTACAGAACACCTGAGGTTAAAGGTGCTTTATATGGCACGTTTTTTTACATGCTGCTTAAATATTTATTATTCAAGTGATGGTAGCCATTTTAAAATGATGCACAGTATTATTCTGAGCTAATTATAAAACCGCTTTAAACACTGTACTGTACTTCACTGTAGAAAAGATCCAGCACTAATCAAGCCTTTTGCACTAATACATGTTCAAACATAAGAAAGAACACAGTGTGACTTGGATTACACCCATGTGACTTAAAGAAAGTCAAACATTCCTGCAGTGGGTCAGACGGAGAAAGTTCTTTATACACACCCTATAATCAAACACTGGCTGTTCTCTACTTAGTCCCCAGGTAAGCGCCCCAGACCCAGGTTTAATGGCACCTGGTCACCCTGGTGGTCATAATGTTGCATAATGCAGATCCATATGCAACAAACTGTGATGTACTGTGTTCTGACACCTTTTGGTCAGAACCAGTATGAACTGGTTCAGCAATGTGAGCTCCAGTAGCTCGTCTGTTGGATCAGACCACATAGACCAGCCTTCACTCCCCACGTGCATCATTGAGCCTTTGCCACCCATGACCTTGTCTCCGGTTCACCCCTTTTCCTTCCCTGAACCACTTTTGATAGGTACTGACCACTGAGAGGTACTGACAAGTGCTGCCGTTTTGGAGATGCTGTGACCCAGCTAGCTATCACAATTTGGCCCTTGTCAAAGTCACCCAAATCTTTACACTGCCCATTTTTCCTGCTTCTAACACATCAACTCTGAGGACTAAAGGTTCACTTGCTGCCTAATATAGCCCACCCACTGACAGGTGGGCCATGGAATTCACTTCGCCAGTCATTTCAGTGCTCATTATGCCATGGCTGATCGGTGTATAATTCCACAGGTGAATTATTATACCCACACAGCTTTTCTTGCCAGTTTCATGGGTTAGATTCCATGTGTTAATACTGCACCAGTTCACACACTAGTACACATGAATTCATTGTTTTCAGTCTGTATAAGTGCTGGTCTGCCTTGCTATTTCTTGTTATCAGTGGCTGCTTTGAATATTTCGTCTGTTTGTTCATTCAAAAGCTGCACATTCCTGCAGCCTTTTTCTAAGCAGTGACTCTTAACTGTTCAGATCAGCCCCCAGTGACTGAATTAATTCCCAAGTAATCAGTATCATGTTCAATGTTTTCATGTTTATAACAAACGAATTTTCATGAAATTCCATTCAGAATTAAATTAGTTACAGACAGTTTTGTAGAGCAGTAGTAGATATTGACCTCCCCAATATGGCGACCACGCAGACGCTTGTCAAATCTAGCATGCTGTATCTTGATTTCTATATTTATTTATTCCATGATTTCTCTCCAAGAGTTCTGTGTCTTTGTGTGTCTTTGTAGTCTCAGCATGATGGATTTTTAAAATGCTCATTCAAACAGTCTCACTTCAAACATTAGCAGACACAGTCTTGCCCCATCTCCCTAATGACAAAGGAGATGAAGGAGCTTTCAGATGATCTGACAAGCAAGATGATCATACAGCATAGTAACACAGTCCCACTCCCTTCAAAAGTTCGACAAATTGTTGCTCCACTGTCCTTCTATCTAACCCTGTATAACTGGATGCATTTCAGCCAGTCATGAATTATGGGTAGGGCCACCGAATCAAAACGCTAATTTTGGTGCCTCATTTCTGTACCAGAGCCATCTCTAAAATAGTTGCGGATGTTACAGGCAATTACCATCACTAGTTAAAGCTGCAGTAGGTAACTTTTGTAAAAATAACTTTTTGTCATATTTGCTGAAACTTTCACTATATCCTGACAGAAGTATATGAGATGGATAATAAATACTGTTCCTCTGGCTCCTCCTAGTGCTCCTAATGGCATCTGTAAGAATCCACCGGGCCTGAACAAAAAACAATCACAGCCGAGAAAGAGAGAAAGATACTTTTGGTTGGTAGCTTGAAGATAGCTGATTGTTGAGTCCTGTCTTAATCATAGTCACAGGACACCACCAATATACATTTCAATTAAAACAACCTCCTCTCCCTTGAAACTATTTCCTGTACTCAACACAACCATCCTTGATCTTGTGGGCAATGTCACCTCTTGCTCAACAATCAATGTTCTTAAAGTACACAAACTCCAAACCTTACACCTGTACATACCTGCATACCAGTTTGTAGATTTGTTGTTGAGGTTGAAATTGTCATTGCGTGGGTGCTCAGCAAGCAATGAGGGACCATGTGCTCCTTGTGTGCCATTTGTTCAGGCTTCAGGTCCAGCAGCTTGGGTGTATTCTTCTTGCTTCTCTCTCAGTTCGCTGATTTTCTGGTCACTAATTGTTGTTCCTCATACAAAATTATCAAAATGAATATATCACTAACAACGACCAAGCAATCAAATGTATGAAATATGAAAAGGTTATAGCACATAATGAACGAATGTGAACAGATATGGTATACTGAGGGATGAGGGATGAAGGGATGAGGGGTAAGGGTCAAGGGATGAGGGTAGGGTCGAGGAATGAAGGTCGGTTGGCTGATCGATGAATGGATGGAGGGGTTCGGCACAATTTAAGAGGGAACCGAGTGAGTTGCGAGACACGAAGCTGTCTCTTCGTATCTCTTGTAAAGAGCCCCAGTGGTTCCTGTATTTGGATAAGAGAGAGAGAAATAAAAGAAAGGGTTTGGGGGGAGGGATGTGAAAAATGAGTCAAGGAGGGAGTGAACGTATAAGGTGTGCTTAAGTAAGTTTTGAGCAGAAATTAGAGGATTTCAGGGCGTGGTCTTTGTTCGCAAACTTAGTTATAAAACTTCATATATTGCATGTAAAGGCAGCAATATTTTTTTCTATTGCTGTCTCATGCCAAACAGTCCCACATGGGTTTCTTATTGACACAAAGACGAATCCCATGCACTAGTAATGTAGAGAACTAATGGAAAACTGAAAACCAGTATAAACTGATCTTATATCACTTGTTATGTAACAATGTTAATAATATCTCAAAATGGTTGTAGTTAACTTGTTGAATTAATTAATTACATCGAAAATTTGAAGTGTAACACAAAATTCAATCAATAAGTAAAACATTCTTGATTAAGTACGTTTTACTAGGTATGTTATTTTTTTGTTTTTTGAGAGTACAAATAAAAATTGTCAGTGAAGTTAATTGAATTGCAAAAGTGCATTGCAAATTTTACAAAAGCTCTGAATGAATATTATATACAAGGTAAAACTACTGTTTGTGTCTATGGAGACTTTTGACATGTAGAATAACAAACTGAGTTGTTTGCGCCACTGACAACAACTCAGTTTGAAGTTTTGAAACGGCAGCCATAGTAGCCGTTTCTCAGCTATTTTCTCATGTAAGCTGGTGAATGAAAGGTTTATTTCGACCAAAGAAGTGTTATACTAATAAAGATGGTTTTGGTTAGTTTGATTTAGTTTCTGTCCAGTTTGAAGTGTGTTTTACTATTAGCTAGCTAGCTAAAATGACTGGTTTTGCTCTAGTGGCAAGTGAATTTCAAACAGCACATTTGACGGGTTGGGCTACCTATTGCTGGAGGTGGTACTGACTATCTTCACCTCCCCTCACCCCTTCAAGTGGATCCATCTTGGTCCAGGTCAAGTAGGAAATAATCAAATCAAGACAAAAAGAGCAGAGCGATTTGAAAATACAAATCACAAAGACATATCACAGAGATGCATTTGTTACTTAGGCTCAGGTGAGTCCTGAATAGTCCCTTAGTTATGCTGCTATAGGCCTAGACTGCCGGAGGACATCCCATGATGCATTGAGCTCCTCTCTTCCTCTAGTTTTGCTACTGTTGTTGCTGTGGACCTTTGTCTCTGTCTCTTTCCCTCTCTCTTTACCCCTCTAACCCCCTGTGCCTCTCTCTCCATCTCTCTCTCTCTAACCCCAACTATCTGAGGTTTCTGCCTCTTAAAAGGAAGTTTTTTTGTTGGGAAATGTTGGGTGTCTGTAAATAATATTATAAGGAGTTCGGTCTAGACCTGCTCTATTTGAAAAGTGTCCTGAGATAACTTTTGCTATGAATTGGCACTATACAAATAAAACTACATTGGTTTGAACTGAACCACTGTTCTAGAGTAACAAAAATATAGCAATTCCTATGTTCAGGTGATTATACACTAATGAAAACATAGTATTATATTACATCTCTGCCAATAGAGGCCTACATGTTACACAATGGAACTTTTATGGCGATCAGATTAGAGCATTTGTCTCTAATTTCTCATTTCAAAGGTAAAGTTCAACAGTGTGAGAGTCATTGTTGATGGAGTGAACCAGAGGGCAAATTAGTCATGGAAAGCTTAGTCAGTCTGGTTGCTATGGAAAACAAAGTTTATCAACAATATATAATGTATAAAAGCTTCAGCCGTTAGCATTTATTGTAATTTCTCAGCATTAACATGGAAACCAAATGTGTCCTCTGCATTTGACATATGTGTAAATAAGCAGTACATGTAGAAAAGGTGTGTCTATGTGGTCAAAGTATTCTGTTTATTACACAATAATCTGTATAATGTCTTACAGTACAGTTCTTTTTTCTTCTTTTTTGTAATATAGTGTTTGATGGGCATCCCCACCCACCATGTGAACTGCTGAGAGGTCAAAAAACACACATACACACACAGGCTCAGATAAACACAAACTCATAACCAAAGAGAACACACCCTGTCCCTATCACTCTCAGTTAACCATTTACACATTTTGCAACATCAAGTAATGCAGCAATTCAGCATCCACACCACCCACCCAACATATCAACCCATGTGGCATAGAGCAACACCCCCCCCCCCCCGTCCATTCTAGCCCCCTATATAAATTCCTCTGCTGCGTCCCTCTGTCTTCCTCTCCTGCTAACTAACAGTTAGCCATGCATACATTAATGTTTCTAATTCTGCTCTTATGGATGTGTGGATGCAGCGCAGGAGTACAGTCACAGCACAGGTGAGTTACTCCCAGTAATGAAGAATGGAATTTTTCCACCTCTTTTATCATTGATAAATAATTTGTGTGTCTTTTGTATTCAGAATTGATTTTGTGGTGAGTTAATTATGTTTTACTTAGAGTCTTTTCCTATAATATATTGTAATACTATGTAATGTTCCTACAGCAATAACAGTAAAGTGTATCGTGTGAGTTGCTTGACATCTACAGTGGCAGTGGTTCCCAACCTTTTTGTCCTGAGGACAGTAAGATTATGGCCTTCTGGATTTGTGGACTTTTGGTTCTGATGGCGGGTTGATTACATTTTTTTTTAGTATTTTTTCTTTTTCACGTTTACTGGATTTAGGCCAACAAGAAAAGCAAGACATGAATGATTCAATGTGACTACACCAAAGATTTGTTCCTGGCATTGTGGAGAAGGCTTTCAAACTAAATTTAGTTTACTCTTGCTTTTGTTGACTGACTCTCTGTAATTACATAACAATGTCAACTGTAGTATAAATGACAGTGGTTAAGATACATTTTTTACACAAGCTGATATACCTTTAACCAAACTTTAACCTGAGTCTCCCTCTCTTCACAGTCTGCAGAAATCACAGAGAGAAGCAGGTAGGTCACTTTTAATCATCCAACAAATTATGTTTAGCACACATTAATGCACAAATTATATGGTAAACCAATCTACATTCTAACACGACCTACTCACACAGAGCTTGGACAGTAGTGCAGCATATGATCCACTGCTTCCACCACACTGTCCTTGGGATGGATGTGGACTTTACCTCTTTAGAGCTCCTTATCTTCACTATCCACAACTAACAAACACTTTCACACAGCACACATCTGTTAACACAGCCCAAATATACACACAGCAAAGTACAGAAAGGTATCATTTATCACTCAGAGCATTAAAATCACTGTAGTGTGTCACCCAAGCATCATGTTATAAAAAAATGGGTGCTGCTTTCACCTGTTCTAACACATATGCATCACATATATGTATCATATTGTATTGTGATCATACTATGACACTCATTTTAAGAAAATCTCAATATATCACCTTGCTAACAGTATTGGAATATATCACAATGTATTGAATCGTTACTTTTTTGTATCCTGATTACGTAACTCAGTTACACACACTTCACACTCACATTCAAGGCTGGATTACCAACCTCGGTGAACGTGAATGAATTAGTTAGTTTCTGTCTGATGGGCTTTGCCATCATTGTGTGAATGTGTGGCATGTAGTGTAAAAGCGCTTTGAGTGGTCGGAGGACTAGAAAGGCGCTATATAAGTACCGTCCATTTACAATTAATTTATCATTTACCAACCAAGTAAAGCAGGAAGCTGTCCTGGGGTCCCTGCATCACATTTGTTTTGTGGAATTTGATATCACAATGTTCCTGTATTACTAGTTAATCTTGAGGCCCTGTCTGTAGTGTGTTGCAGTGTATTGACAAGAATCTAGCGGTTATGATTCAATATTGCAAAATAGTCAGAAAAACTGTCATAACACAAAAAGTTTACTTTTTTTTACACAACCAGAACAGTGGGATCTGCATTTGTCCCTGTGACATCCAGTATCATAGTCGTAGTTTAATACACTGGTATCTACAGGTTGGGGACATAAACGCAAAAATAGATGGTAATAATAGTTTTTGAGAATCAGTAAAATATCACGAAACAAAATATTGCAATACAATACAATAGTGACTGTTGACCTTTAAACCTGTGGTGTACTTGCTGTGAGGCAGCACTGCCAATAACTCAGCCACCATTCATATCCATAGCAATCTAATTCTGATTATCAATTCAATTTTTTTTTGTATTTGTACGGTGCCAATTCATAACAAAAGTTTTCAAATAGAGCAAGTCCAGACCGTACTCTTTTTTAATTTTTTATTATTTACAGTGACCCAACAGTTCCCACCATGAGCAAGCATTTGGCGACAGTGGCAAGAAAAACTTAATTTTAAAAGCATAACTAAATAATAACATTTTGTCAGTCAATTGAATAATTTATCAACCTAATAACATCTTTCCAATAACTGCATTTTATTATTAATCACAAATTGTTTTGAGGGTAAACGCTATTACATTGCTATTCTTAATATAATTTACCTCTCCATTTTGTGTTTCTCCAGCAGTGCTGACCTCCTGTGACTTTAACCAGGACAGTGACCCCTTCTGCAGGTTCAGTCAGGACAACACAGACAGCAATGACTGGACAAGACACAAAGGTCCAACCCCGACAGATGGCACTGGTCCCAGTGGAGACTACCCTGATGGAAGTCAGTCCTGAACTAATTGTTTATTTCAAATGTCTTATTTCTGTACAATCCCGTCATTGGTAACCAAGCCATGATTGAGGTTAATTTAGATTCCTAGGAGGGAAACATTGAATTCTGACTCATGATTACAGAAATACCCTTCATCTGTCTTCTATGTGTCTACAGAGGGCTACTATATTTACCATGAGGCCGACAATGTGGCTAATGGACAGAAAGCTCGTCTGCTGAGCCCAGCCCTCTCATCATTGGCCTCTCAGATCTGTGTCCAGTTTCAATACTATATGTATGGTTCAGACAATAACAATGTCTTGAGGGTACTGGCCAGGAGGCCTGGAGCTGAGGAGGAGGTCTGGAAGAAGACAGGAATCCAGAGTCCATCCTGGCTGCAGGGCTCAGTCACTGTGTCAAAACCCAGCAGTCAGAGCGTCACTGTGAGTGTCAGCAGGTTACTGGCTTTAACACACAAAGCAGAGAACAGCAATGTGGTAACTAGGACCCAGTCTGGTAATTTGGTTATATGGGGGGAAAAAAGTGGTGTTTGTTCAATTTCACAATTAAATAGTTAAATCTTGAGAAATGTATTATATGATAAGTTTACATTAAAAACAAAGAATCCTGCACAATGTCAGTCACTTCAAACTTTAACTCTTCAAAGTTTTATCTGACACAATTTACCTGGACATCAAGGGTTTAAAAACATAAATTCACTTGTCTGCTACTGCAGTCTGTTAACAGAAACTGGATTGGAAAAGTATTTTCATATAGGAGAGCACATATTATTGATTAAACACTATAAAACACAGCTATACCTCAAATAAATAGCTAAGTTTCCATCAATATTTAGCACAAATTTTAAACAAATTTCAGAAAATTGGCAAAAGAATGTCAGTACTTGGTGGCACTTATTTTCCAGTCTGGGGCCTTCAAACTATTGCAGAACAAGAGGGCTTCACGTGAAAGACAATGTCATGAAAATTACATTTCTGTTTGTTTCATGTATTAATTAGAGTCACAAATTTGATACACCAATTTTTCCACCCAGGCCAAACGTAAAAACATTTTTGTGATATTCTGACCTATTTTTTTCAAATATCCGGTATTTCCGCTCACTTGGAAATGCACTTACTGTCTTATGAAAGAAAAAGTTGAGCTAAATGAGCTACAACATATTTGAACCCGAGTCAATTGCCATAAGAATGAATGTAATTTAACCAGACTGTAAAGCTGAAATTTGTTTGTAACTTAGATGCCAAGTCTGTCATACAGTACAACTGCTTTCTTCATATTGTCGCAGGTTGATAATGTTTTCTTCCTGTGTCTATAGATTGCCTTCGAGGCTCAGAAAGGCTTCAGTCCTTTCTGTGACTCAGCTCTGGACAACATTGTCATTACTGAAGGAGCATGTCCCTGTGAGTTTACACAAATGTGCGCATACACACACAAACCACCACATCTCGAAGTATCCTTAGCAAGATACTGAACCCCGAATTGCTCCCAATGCTGTGCATCGGTGTGTGAATGTGTATGAATGAGTTAGTTACTGTTTGATGGGCTTTGCCATCACTGAGTGAATGTGTGTGAAAGGGTGAATGTGTAAAAGCGCTTTGAGTGGTCGGAAGACTAGAAAGGCGCTATACAAGTACAGGTCCATTTACCATTTTTTCAAAACTCCAGTATACAGTATCTAAAATGGGTGACATCACGCACTTCACACAAACACATATTGCTGTATCATTTATTGTCTAAATCGTTTGTCCACAGCTTGTGTTTCTGGCTGTGACTTTGACACTCTTGGTGACCTGTGTGGGTGGATGACACAAGCTGACAATCCCAATGTGTTTGGCTTTGATCAGTGGATTGGGCCAACGGACACTGAAGGCACCGGACCTGATGATGACTTCTCCAAACCTGGATGTAAGTGGTTTTGCTTAAAAGTCTGTATTAAAATTGTCTGTCACTGAGTCTGCCAGAATGGTGCAATGAGGTATATAAAAAAATATTGAGGTAACAAATTAAATTTGGATTATATATCATCAGACCCAGGGATGGAATTTAAAGCAGATTTTTGCCTCATGTTATTTGTATGAATGAGTGTTTTTGCAATCTGGGTTCAATCGAAACCGCAATTGGGTACCACCTGTGCAGATTAAAGTTAACATTTTCTGTGAGCTTCTATTTCTATGTTTATGAATTGTTGTCACGAATCCACTGGCATCTTCCCATTGACTTGCAATAGCACCACCGAATGGTTGCTTCACATCAGTCTGAAGACACAAAAATAATCTCAAAAGGAAAATGTGAGAATTCAAACTGTTATATTTCAGAATTCTGATATTAACTTCAGAATTAAGCAAATAATGCAAAGAAGGTATGAGCCTTATTAGTCCTGAGGGGTACACCTTCATTCAAGATTGGGCCTTCTTAACTTCAACATAAGCCATAATCAAATATTTAGCTGTTAAATTGTGGAATAGAATACATCATGATAATGTTTTTATTTTATTTGTTTTATGTTATTCTTGTCTAATAGGCAGTTGTTTATTTTGTCCCTTTCATATGTAGTGGGTGCCTACATGTTGATGGATTCTTTTGAGGCTATCCCTGGAGTCAAAGCTCAGATCAGAAGTTCTCTAATAACCCCCTCCTCTGGATGTTTGGACCTCACCTTCCACTATTACCTCTATGGCACCAGCACCACCATGGAGCTTAGCGTCCACACTATTACCACAGGTAGAAGAATGCATCTATTGTTATGTTCACACATACAGGAACACAGACAGCATGAAAATGTCTGTTTGACTTAAATGTGTTTGTTCGATTTACCAGGTGGAAGCCTTGGACCTGCTCTCTTCACTGTCAGGGGGAACCAGGGTCAAGGATGGAAACCAGCAGAGGTCCGCTACCTGGGAAATGCTGCCATTCAGGTAAATACTAGAACTCTGTGTGTCTCTGTAGGTGTTTGTGCATAGGCTTACATTAACTTATTTTTCACATTTATATGTATTCCAGTTTGTGATTGTGGGTACCTTTGGAGAAACTCCTCAGACAGATATTGCGGTTGATGCTGTATGTGTCTTGGCCTGCAAAGGTGAGAAACTGACCAGAGGGAATTCAAGTTATTCTCTGCACCATCTGAAATATTTATATGCCAAGTCAATGACAGATGTTTTCACAAGAAACTATTTATTTTTCATTTATAGCTCTGCCAACAACTCCTCTACCACCAGTAACAACTCCAGGACCAACTACTCCAAAACCAACCACTCCAGGACCATCTACTCCAAAACCAACAACTCCAGGACCATCTACTCCAAAACCAACAACTCCAGGACCAACTACTCCAAAACCAACCACTCCAGGACCATCTACTCCAAAACCAACAACTCCTGGACCTACCACACCTAAACCAACAACTCCTGGACCTACCACACCAAAACCAACCACTCCAGGACCAACTACACATAAACCTACAACTAATGGGCCTACCACACCTAAACCGTCAACTCCAGGACCAACTACTCCAAAACCAACAACTCCAGGCCCCTCTACTCCTAAACCAACAACTCCAGGACCATCTACTCCTAATCCAACAACTCCTGGACCTACCACACCTAAACCAACAACTCCTGGACCTACCACACCAAAACCAACGACTCCTGGACCAACTACACATAAACCTACAACTAATGGGCCTACTACACCTAAACCGTCAACTCCAGGACCAACTACTCCAAAACCAACAACACCAGGACCAACTACTCCAAAACCAACAACTCCAGGACCAACTACTCCAAAACCAACAACCCCAGGCCCCTCTACTCCTAAACCAACAACTCCTGGACCAACTACACCTAAACCAACAACTCCTGGACCTACAACACCACAACCAACAACTCCTAGACCAACTACACCCAAACCAACAACTCCTGGACCCACTACACCAAAGCCAACAACTCCGAGACCAACTACGCCTAAAACAACAACTCCTCAACCAACAACACCTAAACCGACAACTGCTGGACCAACAACACCCAAGCCACCAAGTATGGCATGTTCTCAAAGTTTGGATTTGGTTTCCAATAATACTTCATTCATAATTCTTTCATTCTGTCTTTCTGTCTTATTATATTATTATAATTTTCATCAACCAATTTCTTTTCTTTTTGCTGCACAGAACCATGTCCTCCTGATTCAGAGTATATAGACTGTGGTCCAGCTTGTTTCCCCACCTGTATGGAACCCTCCACCAACTGTTCTGGCTCTTGTATCAGTGGCTGTTTCTGCAAACCAGGGTTTGTCTTCAAGGGACGGCGCTGTGTGCCTCTGGAGAAATGTGGTTGTTTGGATGACCAGAATAACTATTATGAGGTTAGATTATGTCCTAGTTAATTTTCCCATACACATAAATCCCTGCTTATTACAAAGATATACTGGCAAGACAGTAAACGACAAGGTTGTACTATGTAGTTATTGTGACATACAGTGAACCAGTATTGATCCATTGTTTAATTTTGTTTCAGCCTGGCGAGATTGTTTTTGGTGATGGCTGCTCAAAGCTGTGTCGCTGTGTAGGGAACTACACTTTGGAATGTGTTGATAACTCCTGTGACACATCTGAAGAGTGTCGCGATGTCAATGGTGTGTCAGGCTGCTATCCTAAAGGTAAATTGTCAAGTAACTGGAACAGGAAATAGTACATTGTGTTGTCCATTCACATCTTAAACAAAAGTTTTAAGAACTGTCAGAGGCAGAAGGCAGAACATCTGTCATCATAGAGAGGGGTAAGACAGGATGATTGTTCAAATGTTGGATAGAGTTATGGTGCCATAAGCTTTTCTTAAAGACATTCATAGTGTTGCACTAGGTTGTACGCGCAAAACATAATATTAATTGTGAGTAGAATGGAAAAAGAGAGCTTTGTGACAGAAGGGCAACAGCTGACTTTTTTTTTCATGCACTCATGGCCAATGATTTCTTAAAATGTCAGACATTCCAACATCTGAAAAGGTTTCAGACACCTTTTGACAATGCAACAAGTAGGTAATTTGAAACATACTCACACTTTAGAAATTGGAGCTATGGTTTTAGCCAGTGCCATTTCATAAACTATGTCTATGGTGAAATAAAAAGTGCACTGCAAAAGCCCTGCGGTGTGGTTTGCAGTGTATGTGTACTGAGCTAAATAAAGTTGCTAGCCAGTAGTGACGTAGGCTACATTAAGTATATTGCAGCACCTTGTATTGGTGTAACCAGTAGATTATGGTGGCTAATTTTAGAAAACTTTAGATAATATTGCTCTGTAACTGACATTATTGAGTCAGTTTCCATATTGGTTCTGTTACACTGCATTTTAGTAGCCTACACATTCCCATGTCACTTTCTGTGGCCACAGTGACTGTTGTTATAAAGTTATATGTCTCATCTGATTTAACTGGTCGGACCAGTGTAACATATTTGTAGTTGTTAACATATACATAATTTTGTATTCCCAAAGATACATCCACATGCATAGCGTCTGGTGATCCCCACTACACCACCTTTGACAAACGCAAATACAACTTCATGGGCAACTGCAGTTATTTGATGTCTGCACCCTGCAATGAAACGACTCTGCCATACTTTGAGGTCAATGTCGACAATGAAAATCGCTATAACAGGCCCACCATCTCCTATGTAAAGGCTGTACATGTATATGTACATATGGTGAAGATCTCGATCCTCAAAGGTGGAACTGTGCAGGTAAGAAATGAAGGAAGGAACACAGTTGTTTAATGTTCACCTTTTTAGTTGCTAATCTCATTGTAACAGTAACTGTAAGTTTATAGATAGATAGATAGATAGATAGATAGATAGATAGATAGATAGATAGATAGATAGATAGATAGATAGATAGATATACTTTATTGATCCCAAGCTGGAAAATTGGAGATTCTATACATGAAGAGTTTATGTTTCCTCAGTAATCTCATAATGTTATTCTGATTCCCTGATCCAGGTGAATGGGACCAATGTAAACCTGCCAGTGACTCCAGCCCCTGGTGTCTCTGTGTTCAAGTCAGGACAGCACTACACTGTGTCTATGAACTTTGGTGTAACTGTTCGCTATGACGGAAACCACTTCATGGATATCAAAGTGATCAAAGAGTAAGTGAAGACTGAGCAGATGCTCTCAAAAGATACTGTCTCTTAACATGTGTTTTTAAAAGAAGTTTTCTAATGATGAAAATAAACTGATAATCAGTGAAACGCTAGCGTTTGATTGTAATGAGAACATAAACTCTTGCAGCTATCAGAAGAAGCTGTGTGGTCTGTGTGGCGATTACGATGGAGATACCAAAGATGACTTCCGTAAACCAGATGGATCATTGACCAACAATGCCAATGACTTTGGACACAGCTGGAACACGGACCCAGAGTAAGTAGCATACAGTAAAATCTCTACAGACACCTACATACACACATAGAAAATTTTTAACTGACTGTCTGTGTTGATAGGTGTAATAAGAAACCCAACACCACCATCCCTGGGTGTGATGAGGAAGAGCAAGAACAGTATGAGAGCTCTGGATATTGCGGCATCCTGCTGGACAAAAAGGGTCCCTTCGCTGTGTGCCATCCAAAAGTCAACCCCAATGTAAGTCACTCTTTTTGTGTTTTGTTGCAACTTGGCGCCCCTACAGTTTCAGAGTGCAATACCTTACAACGCTTGCCAACCAGGACTCTGATCTGTACCATATTTCATGAAGAAAAGAGTTTCCCTCCAATGTCCTCTGGCTGATTTGCATCAACTCTCTCTGCTTTAGAAAGAGCTTGGAGCACCAGGGGATGTTAGTACAGGAGCTTTGGACCAATGTTACAAATGTCAGCACTCAATTTTTCAAATTCAGTGCCCCATATCTATGTTTTCCGAGCTATACTTTCGCTGTCATTGTGTCAGAGCGGAGTATATTGCTTATGCTTAGTGGTATTTTATGTAGTCCCATGAAGCTTTACGCATTCTCGTGGGAGATTGTACCCACTCAAACCAACTTACATAGTGCAAGAACAGAAGTTCAGCGCCTTGTGGGAATGACAGAGCCATTCTCCTTATTACAAGTAAGTGTACCAAGCTAAGCTGTTATTTTAAGGTAGAATAGTTGAATAATGTTGTATTAAGAATTGTAACTTCACCAACTGTGTGTGTCTTCAGAATTACTTCAGGGACTGTATCTTTGATCTGTGTGAGCTGGATGGAGCCAAGCCTATTCTGTGTGAAGCTATTGAAGCCTACGTGAATGAATGCCAGGACCGTGGGGTCAACATTGGACCCTGGAGGAATGAAACCTTCTGCCGTGAGTGTTGGGTGATGGGATGGATGGAGAAATGATACGTGGATCGGGGGATGTAGGGAGGGTAATATAGGAGCAATAGCGAGCTGCTTCCCAAGGGTCAGGAAGGTTTCTTATTTTGTCTCGGTCTGTATTATCAATAATCTCAGAGCTGGAAATAACTCCCAATCGGCCAAACATTCTCAAAGCTGCGTGTGCCTGTGCAATATGTGCACAGTAGTCCGAGTTGTAAAATGATGTGGTTATGCAGTGCTGATATAGGAAAAATGTATACAGAGTCAAATTACCTACTATATTAATTTGCATATTACACATTTATTAAGTCAAACGAAGCCAGCACGAGCCAGTGGATGTTACGTACTGCAAGTTGATCTGCGCTCATTGGCTGCGCAGTTTTGACTCGTCTGTAGCCGGAAACAATGGCGGCTGGTCACACACGGTCTTGTATTACAGCTAAACAGTACATTCAGATATGTTTCTGAAACAATTTTAAGTGAGAAATAGGAAACACAGTAACAGAATCATTGCATCGTAGTTTCCGCTGGATGGTGACAAGTCGCCTCATTCTCCATTAGAATGAATGGGATCGCTGTGTTATTGCAGCCAATGGAGCTCCTGGTGCTGACCATTAAATATACTTTTAATTGACTTTGGCATCATATTTTTGCATATAACCCTGGTGAGTGATCTAAGTTATTTGCCTATAGCCTACACATAGTAGGTTGCTGATAAAACAAAGTGGTGCCATTTTCTGCAGTTTTTCCATTGTTTAATATTTCAAATTTCAGTTGTCAGGAAACACATTATCATATTTTACATATCTGACTCTTCGTGTCTCTGAGTGTCACACCCAATCAGTTTTCTCCTATTGAAAGTCAGTGTAGGCTTCATTTATGCTTCATAAACTTACTTTATTTTTTACATATACTTTGAGGTAGGATCTGTCTTTAGTCTTAGATTAACTTTCAGTGCAATTCCTAGGAGTGCGAGACCCTTGATAAATACACGCCCTGGTCTCAGAATATACCTCTTTGCCTGCCTTATTGCTGACTTCAGCCTCCCATCCACCCCCTAGCTCTGAACTGCCCCCCCAACAGCCACTATGAGCCCTGTGCAGACCCCTGTCAGGAGACATGTTCTGGGAATCCTCCCTCCTGCAGTGGGCCCTGCTCAGAGGCCTGTGTGTGTGATCCCGGCTACATCCTGAGTGCCGGCAAGTGCGTCAAGAAGAGTTCTTGTGGCTGCAAACACACTAACGGCCAGTATTATAAGGTATGTATGTATGTGTTCTGTCCTTTGTTTGTCGTCAGCACAGTTTTTGTTTGCACGCTGTCCTATTTAAAGGTCAGTTTTATATATAGACATATATATTCAGACCCTGTGTCCATTACAATCGACGTCACATGACAGGGGCTTCTTTTTGACTTTTTGCAACATTTAACACCACTTGAACCCTCAAGTCCATTGAATTGGACATTTAACAACCAATCAAACGGCAGTATAGCTTTGCTTGTTGATGTATGAAAAACATCCACCACACGGAAGAGAGGCATGGCAGGGCTTCACCCCACACGTCGAAGTAAGGATCATTTTCAACAGTTTTACTCACATTTATAGATATTTGTGCCAAGATTTCATAGTTTTGATATAATATTGAAAGATGGAATGTATGAATAGAAGTGTAATATCACATGTTTCAGTGCAAGTTCTTACACAGGATTTTTTCAAATATCACTGTCCATTAGAATGGACAGGGGGTCAGAAACCATGTTATTGAACTCAATTCGCCAGTATTGATGAATGACCTTATTACTATAAAAACAGTACATCAGAACAAGAGAATGAGTTGATAATCAGTTGAAAATATTCCATATGCAGAACAAACAAAAAAATAAGAACATTTGAAAAATTATATTTTAAAACTGTTTGGACCTTACAAAAAAAAACATCATTTGAACTGTTCAAGTTTATGTTCCATGTGATGTCAATGTGACAATTATAAGACAAAAAATAGGTATGATGTTGTCATATGATGTTGGTATTTTAACAACTATTTGTACCCGATGTCCATTGAAATGGACAAAAAAATATTAAAGTTTTGAAGTTTTTTTATATTTTTCACAAACTTGGAACATAAGGCAGGTCTGAAGGGGTTAATTATTTCAAATTCATCATTCAAGACATTTCTTTATTGAATCTTCCTCCTGCTAACACAGTTCAAATGTGTGTGTCTGTGTGTGTGTGTGTCAGCCTGGAGAGGAGTTTTATGTCGAGGACTGTAAGCTGAAGTGTCGGTGTGATGCTCCCTTCATTACCTGCGTAGCCTCGGAGTGCCCCCCAATGCACAAGTGTGAACTCCAGGATGGAGAGCTGGGATGCTATCCCACCGGTAAGTTTACACCCACCGCACTACTAGCCAAGAGAAAATTCAGCTGGATATTCTTACAGTAACAACATAGCTGAAACTTGATAGTCGGTTGTCTTTGGAGGATAAAAAAGTTAATATTTTCTTAATATCCAAAACAACATCTCACTATGTTTAATATGTGAGTTATTCAACGTTAGCTTCTTCTTCTTTGATAAAATGATGAGGTGCTGATCAGTGGAAGCAATAGTGGAACAGAGGACAACCTAGAAATTGTTTTGCTTTTAAATAAGTTAAAACATATTTACATCTTTGGGCATAGTCAAGACAGATAAGTCTACAGTGCTCCTTAGGTTCTTCAAGTGTATTGAACTCTACTAGAAGGATGAACAGCATTCTTCCAAATTATATTCTCTTATTTGGTGTTTTGGTGGTGGAAAACGCTGTTAAACACCAACAGTCTGAATCCCCTGAAGGACCACTAGAAACCACCTGAAAGTTTACAAGGACCCATAGAAGCTCCTCAGTGGCCACCAAAACTCCTTAAGTTTTGCAGAACCTCTTCAATGACCACTTAAACCTACTAAAAGATCCCATGATCCACCTCAGTTACAAAAGGAACCTCTAAAACCTCTTAAAAGACCCATAGATTCTCAGAATAAAGTACTCATATGTGAGTGAAACAAAAGTTGTAGAAGCTTGACCCAGGTTCTTCCTTTAATCTCTGACCCATCTGTATGTCTAAAGAGATCAGATGTATCTGTCGTGAAATACCAGTGAAAGTCAAAGTCAGAAAAGAACTGTTTGTAGGTTTAGCGAAGTTGTTCCTTGGGGGTTGTTCAGGTCTCTTGTCCCTCTGTTTCAGGCTCTCAGGACTGTGTGGTGTCTGGAGATCCTCATTACAACACATTTGACAAGAAGTTCTACAGCTTCATGGGAACATGTACCTACACACTGGCCAGAACCTGCAAGAACAACACAGGTAGGGAGAGGTTTAGACATATGTCTTTTATTTTCATTGCGCCCAAACTTTTTCAAACATTTTGAAATGATTGTTTACTGTATTTTTAAATTTTACATGTTTACCGTTAATAAAATGCATATGTTAGCAGGTATAGGCATATGTTTGATCTCCCATAATGATTAGCTACAAATCAGCAAGGAGTGGGAGATTTTATCCTAGCAACGCACGCTGCTAGGCAATAGCAATAGTCACATGTATTCACATGAGCGTGAATCGCTAAGACCAGGCATAGGCTTAAGTTTGGCTGGTGCAACTGACGTGAAGTCCATTCTAAAGACTGGTCTATAGAGCTATTATTGTAGCAAAAATATTTACAAATGTGTGTGAAGAGTTGTGTAAAATAATCTGTAAATATGTACTGAGATTTGTGAATGTGTACAGGAATCTGCAAATGTGTGTTTAGAATCTGTGTGTGCGTAATCATATATGTAAATGTATAAAAAAATCTACAAATCTGTATTTAGGTTTGCAAGTGTAAGGATATTTGTACACATGTGGACAAATCTGTAAATGTGTAGACAAATCTGTAAGTGCAGACTTAGACAAAAGTCTATGTATTTGCTTGAATAGCTGGAAATACAGACAAATCATCAATTTTTTACAAATTTACAAATCTGATTACAAACACAAGGATTCTAAACACACATTTGCAGATTCCTGTACACATTCACAAATCTCTGTACATATTTACAGATTATTTTACACACACACAGATTGAGATACAGTTACACAACTCTCCACACACATTTGTAAAAAGTTTTGCTACAATAATAGCTCCATACTTCTCTTTACAAAGACCAACTTAGCAGTTCGGACCAGGCTTAATAAAGACCAGTTGGTACAACCAGCCTCAGACTACTGCAAGACATGAAAGCTATTATCAGATATTTTGCCCTTAATGGGATGTGTCACTGAAATCTGCTTTAGTCAACCCCTGCTACAATCTGGCAGAGCCCTAGACTTTTGAAGCTGATATAAATATTTAAGTAATTAATTAAATCTGATAGCAATATATCAACCAATATTTATTAATATAAACTATGTATGATTCTGTGCTCTCTGTGCAGGTCCTTGGTTCTCAGTGGAAGGAAAGAATGAGGAGAGAGGAGCACCAGGACTGTCCTACCTGAGAAAACTCTACGTCACTGTGAATGGAGTCACTGTGACCCTAATGAAAGCCAGGAAGACACTGGTCAGTATGGGCAACATTTACACCAATATGCAATGTACTGCAAAAACAGCCCTTCTAGAAACAAGCTAAATATTCTTAAATCTAATCAAATGTTCTTGTATTTAGCAAATCAATCTTCCAATGGGGTAAGCCAGTTTTGCTTAGCTGGAATTCTTAAAACTAGCATACAAATCTAGCCACTGAAAGATTTAAGCAACTTGTGCTTATTACAATCAATAAAAACTTAGTCAAATACAGATTTTGGTCACTTTATTGCTCTGAATTTAAGAATTTGTACCTTAATCTAAGAGGAATAATTAGCAAAAAAAAATGCTTACAATAAGACACAATTTTTCAAAAAGAACAACAATAAGAATAAGTAACTTTGTCTTAAATAAAGCCACCAGAAACATTCTTTTTTCAATTTAAGCTGTCACTATCACAAGATGATAACTGGGCAAAACAAGTGCATACGCATGTGCAACACCACAGCTGTATCATTCTCTCTGTATCAATCTTAATCCCGGTTTAGTGAAATTACAATTCAAAGCCTGCCCCTTCACCTTTTTTGTTTCATCTCATCCTCTTCCTTCTCCTCGTCCACAGATCACACTAGTTTTCTCAGTGTCAATGCTCTGCCATCTTAACCCCTAGAGCAAGAGAGATCCAAATCCCTTTATGCTAGGTTTTTATCCATGTGTCTTATGATCTATGATGCATCGGATTTGAAAAGCTGCCAGGAAACTGTAAATATGTTACAAATATTAACTGTTTAACATTGTCTTTACGACGTTGTTGTCTTTCCTTCTGGCAGGTAAATGGACTGCGGGTGGCCCTTCCTCACTCCCCCTCTCCTCTCATGTCTCTCAGTCTTGCCGGCCAGTACATCACCCTGAAGACAACCTTTGGTCTCCAAGTACGCTGGGATGGAAACCATTACGCCCAGATCTCAGTTCCCAGGTTGGTATAGCAGTTAGTTGAAATGAAAGAATTAGGTGGTGACACCCTAATAAAAGAGGTAGGCTAATAAAATTAACACTTTATTGTTTTGATGTTTTAGGATCTCTTCATAGGGTTCCTGCATAGATGTGTTTTTTTATTGTCTTTTTTATTTGGAAAATTCTTACATATGTACATATTATACAGCAGGTAAATGTTTCATTACAGAATTTTGTGTTGATTCTGGCTGCCCCTGTGGACAAAAGTGGTAGTGTTTCTATCACCTCAATTTTGTCTGCTTTCAACGGGAATCTGACTGAATTCGACCCGGTGCCATTAAGAATAACAATAAAGAAGGGTGCCTGGTTAGCTCAGTGGGTAGAACTGGCAACCCATGTACTGAGGCTGAGTCATTGCTGCAGCGGCCCAGGGTTCGAATCCGACCTGTGGCCCTCTGCTGCTAGTCATCCCCTCTCTCTGCCCCCCTTTCCTGTCTATCTTAAGCTGTCAATATCATAAAGGCAATAAAAGCTAAAAAAAATACTTAAAAAAAACCAAGAATAACTATAAAGAAATAGCCTGTCTTGGTGTTTATGGATCTAATATACAGGCATGAGTATCAATCTGAGACTGTTTTATAACCAGAAAGTAACCAAAAAAATATTTTTTGTATATTTAAGGAAAAACTTCAGGCAACATAGAAATAACAGATATATAGTAAGATAACTCTGGAATATTAAATACACTAAAGCATGAACTACGGAACCAAGGACTCAGGTGACTCTTAGTTTAAATTTATTCAACATGCTGTCACAAACTCAATCAGTGCTTCCAAGCAGGTTTCAAATTGTGTGATTTGGGGGGAAAAACAAAATTAAAATGAAATCGCTTTGCACTCAGTCGAAACACACCCTAAAATACTGAATTATATGGGTTTGGTACACACCAAATCTACTAAACAATCATAAATTTTTTCAAATGCAGCCATGATATGAATAAGAGTAATCTAACTGCTGAAGGTCCCTGTGTAGGTTGACACAACTAAAGAGGTATATTTTGTGAAAACGTCTTAAGAAATCAGCTGGGCATCTATGTAAACTGTAGCTCAAAGGTCGTTCAGATCTGCTATTTTTGATAAATCCTCCCAACATTCTTAATGCTTTTGTTATCTTCCATTGATGATGCCCTGACTAATTTAAGACTCTTAAGACATCATCTCTTAATCCCGAGTTCTCTTTGTAGCTCCTACTACGACCAGATGTGTGGTCTCTGCGGTGACTACGATGGAAATCCAGACAATGACTTCATCAAACCAGATGGCACACTGGTGGGAAATGTCAATGACTTCGGGAACAGCTGGCAGACAGAAGAGGATGAGGATGACTCGTGAGTTTATGTGCATTATTTATTTATTTTTGCAATAATCTAAGAATTTCCCTTAAACGTCCTTGGAAATTCAAGCATGTGACTAAACTACATGTGACTAGGCTCATAGATGGACTACATGCATTCAGTTACTGGGAGTAATAAATAAATAAAACATATATTATATAAACAATGTGCATTTTTTTTTGTCTGTGCTCAAAATGTTCCATTGGTACACACTGAATTGAGACACAAATATGTTGCCAAAATTGTTATATACTTATAATGAACAGTCTAAATTCTTAATGACATAATTCTTGAAGATGAATTAAAAGAATGGACTTTTGATTTGAGAATTTGAACATGATCCTGTTGTCGTGTTGTATTGATCAGGTGTAGCCAAGGCACCAAGCCTGACCCGGAATGTGACCCCAAACTTCAGGCTGAGGTGGTGAAACCAGACAAATGTGGTAAAATCAAAGACCCTGCTGGACCCTTCAGGTGAGAAAACAGCCCAAATATTGACCTGCTCCAACTGTTGGGCGGCAGGTTGTTCTACTGTTTGGTCCTGAGCTAAAACCATTACCCTGCTGAGATGCAGATTCCATAACTGATTTCACTTAACAGACATAACAAAGATTTTTTGTGACCACACACCCATTCAGAATAACAACCCACCAGTTGAGAAAGCTGCTAGTCAGATAGTCCAATTGAGGGTTAAAAGTCACTAGAAGCACATTCATGCCATGTCTGTGGGGAAGTGTCAGGTTACAGCTATGTAGCAGGCCACAGTGGTTTTATATGGGGAGGAGGAGGGTCAGGGTTAGTTGGTGACGAAAGCTGCCCCAGCATACATCACCAGCCTCCAGATCAACCAGTAGTGAAATTCAATTGCCTTTCTAGTCGAAAAACTATATAACTACAGTCCATTTACCATTTAAGTAGTCCATTGTAAATTAATTCATGACCACACAATGTAAAATGACTTGTGTCCCTCAGTTGCTCAAAATTGGTAACCTAAAGCACTTTAATGGTTTACTGGTTGAACCCACTTGATGCTCAATGACCTGATAATGACTTGTTAACATTCACAAGGCGTGACCAATAGGAGGAGATACATAGAAAATCATAAACAAGTGTCTGTAAATCATTCTATTACACCTTACAAAGACTACTTGTTTATCTGAGGTCAGATTACGTATTGTTCTTGGAAAATCACATGAACAGCATTGGACTCTGAACCACATCTAAAGCAATGTGTTCTCTACCTACCTACCTACCCTAGGTTTAAGACACCTCACTGTATGAACTGTAATGACCCCAAATTTAATTAAATTCAATACCTAATTTTCCCACAATATCTCTCTCTCAGGTTACATTGTTGGATGTTATTGCATTTATTTCATATATTTATTTGTATATTTGTAATCTATATTTGTAAAAAAAGGAATAAGGAACTGTCCTTCACTGACCTTCCCAATATGTTGGACCACCTGCCTTCTCCTCCCCAAACTGAGCATGTTTTTTTCTCTGTTCCAGGGAGTGCATCAGCGTGGTAAATCCCACTCCATTCTTCCAGAGCTGTGTGTATGACATGTGTCAGTTCAATGGACAGCAGCATGTACTGTGTGACCAGCTCCAGGCCTACACTGATGCCTGCCTGAGCACCGGAGCCAAAGTCCACCAATGGAGGACTCCAGACTTCTGCCGTAAATCTTATTATTTATATAAATTTATATACATAGTATTTTAATATGACAAATGGAGGATCCATTGCAGGCAGAACTGGGCCCTCATTAAATTATTGAATAATAATAAAAAAAATTAAAATAGGCCTATTTGTGGAAAAAAATTTTAATATTTGAGTTACATAAAAGCTTTGTATTTGTTTTCTTCCTAATTGTCCTTGAAATAGGGTCAAGAACCCCCCAACCCCCAACACAAAAATGGTTTGGCCACTGATCAAAATTTGATGTTGTCATTTGAGTTGAAGTTCAGTAGGCTCAAAATATCTGGTCAGCACAAGTCCGGTGCTCAGAAAAGGAAAGAAAAGAGAAGAAGAAAATAGAGGCCTTAGAGATTTTCTAAACAAATATTTAAAAAAAGGTGGTGACGGTGAAGCTGGAACTAGTAAAGTCAACGTAGAGCAAGGTAAGAAACAGCGCAGCCAACGTTTACCAGCTTTGTAACGTAACCTAACAGGCCAGCTCTAATGTTAACGTCCATTAGCTTGTATAAAAGCCTGACACAACACGTTTTCTTTGACAGAAACAGTTGAGTTTGGTAGCTCCGTCAGAGAGAATGAGACAGAGAGGAGAGAGATCCAGCTGCAGGCAGGTGACAGAGAGAGTGATGCGGGAGGGGCCCGCTGCCCCGCAAACGGAGGGACAGAGTCAGGCTACTGGTGAGAGAGAAGAGAGAGAGAGAGAGAGAGAGAGAGAGAGAGAGAGAGAGAGAGAGTCACAGTGATGCGGGAGGGGCCCGCTGCCCCGTCGGAGAGTCTGAGCAGGATGAATCAGAGACTGATCACACACTTAATTTCAGCGATCCTGCATTATGGCCAACTAGAATGACCGACTCTGATAGAGTGAACCTTGTACGTGTGATGGCAAAACGAACGCCTTTCTCAAAGAGGGCAAAGGAATTGCCAGCAGATGCAGAGGGCAGGGAATTCCCAAACTATTTGACATATTCCACATCCCACAATGGAAGGGAAAAAATCGATCGCAGCTCAAAAAAGGCCTTATTTTGCCTATCATGCTTGCTGTTCTCCTTTGAAGTAGAGAAAAAGTCAACTAGTGCACTAAATTCCACAGATGGGATGAAAATATCGAATATAAAATAGAGAGGAAGAGCAGAGGAGAGGAGAGGAAGAGCAGAGGAGAGGAGAGGAACAGAAGAGGAAGAGCAGAAGAGAGGAAGAGCAAGAGAAAAGGAGAGATCTGGGCCCATCTAAGATTGTCTCTTCCTGGGCCCAGGCAAGACTGTCAGCTGGCCTGGTGGTCGGTAGTATACTATACTATACTATACTATACTATATATACTATTAAAGTACTTACTTTTTTACTGCAGTGAGCCACCAGGGGGCGATTGAGATGTTTTTGCTTTACTTTTGGAGAGCTGTCATGTTGTCCATCTTTATGTCGATGGTACAGTCATGTTTCCCTCATGTTTCCCTTCCCTTATTTTAAACCAAATCTTGATGTTTTCCAGAATTAGTTTTGCTGATTAAACCTAACCAAAATGTGGCCGTTACATGTGTGGATCTCAACTGTGCTTGCAGATTCTGGCAGTGATATGCCATCATAACGTACTGAAATACTCAGTGACTGAGTTACTTCCATACTACTGCACCCAAGTGTTCTTGTTCTTATCATCTTTTCATCTTTGTCCTAATCCAACTGCTTCTCCTGTTATCTATCCTGGTCTCTATCCTATGCTCCTGCTTATCTGCCCCACCTAAATCTAAACTGCCCTCCAACCGCCCTTGATTTGTATTCGCTCTGTTTCCCCATGTAGCCCTGGCCTGTCCTCCCAATAGCTCCTACTCCCTGTGTGTGAGTTCGTGTCCAGAGACGTGTCTGGGTGTGGTTGGACAGCCCGGCTGTGAGGATGTGTGTGTGGAGGGATGCGATTGTAATCCAGGCTTCATCCTCAGCAACGACAAGTGCGTGGCACTGAAAGACTGTGGCTGTGTGGACCCCAGTGGTTCCTACCACCCTGTAAGTGGGAACAACCTCCAAGGGACTTAAATCACAGCCCACTGATCCTGAACAAAAAATAAACTAATCTCATGCTCACTTTGCCATGAGGCTGAAGTCAGGATATTAAATGAGTGGAGATATTAAATTACGTGATCGCAACAAGAATAGTATCAGAAGCAAAGAATAATAACAGTGAGTGGTTCCATGGTTCATCAGGTGCAGGGATATGAGAAAATTGTGAAAGAGAGGACTGTCAATCATCAATTGTACAGCTTACTTGACATGACATCATCTGAAGCTAATGCTTGCTTAACCTTGATCCAGCACCTGCTTACTCCACATTACAGTCCTGTTGTGATGGCTCAGTGAACATTTCAAGTGTCCACTGCTCACTAAGAGTGTTGGAAACACAATCTGACCAAAGGGAAGGCAAACATTTCAGTGGCCTATCTGCAGAAAAACTGTTTTTGTTACAATGGTTTAACGTAAGAAGAAGGCAACTTATCAAATAAATGGTGTTTTTTAAACAGATGGATGTCACAATAGAGCATCAGCATCTCAGACCAAAACAGTCTTTTTTGATGTTCCAACTCTGCTTTGGTTGAAATAAATACAGTATTTAATTCACTGACGTAGATGAGAAAAACAGCCATCTATGTAAACAAAGAATACATTTTTCTACTTTGAGGTTGTGATAAAGGCAGACAGAGACACATTTTTCAATAGGCCTTGGTGTCACAGTACTTGCTTCTACTGTAGTTTAATCAGAGCAATTAACTGCAACATCCTTTGTTGGAGAATGGTTGGTTGAGGGTCCTTTTATGTCATCCTTGCTTGAATTTCACAACAGGGTACACATGGTTTATTCGTGTAGAGAAATGGGAGAAAACACAAATCGCATTTTAGGGGGGAAGCAGCAGTGACATGCCATAATGAGTTACTGGTGCCTGATAAATTATGTCATGTCTGTTTATTTTGTGGAAATGTCAGAAATGCACCTAAAACTTGCAAACTTGCAACATTTTAATAGAACTTAATACATTCCTTGTAAAAGCCTACATTAGAAAATGTTTCAAGGACATATACCCAACAATACTATTCTATTGTTTTAGTTTACCACCATGTAAGCACTTTAGATTCTATTGACATTTGGCATTTTGCCTTTATTTGACAAAATATGAGGTAGCATGTAGAAGATTATGTCCAAAAATGCCAGTTTGGGTTTTTAATGTGAAACTGGGCAGAGCTTTGTGCAGAGCAGCATGTACTTCACATCAGTTAAGAGACTGAGAGATGACTCTCAGTCTGAACATACTCAATAGACAAATGGGTTGTGTGATCTGACCTGGACGATGACGTTTTTGTGGAGGCTTTAAGCATTTTGATCTTGCACTGATTGTATTGTATCTGCCTGTACAATGTATAATTTACATTGTGTGTGTGTTTTTCAGGTGAGTGATGACTGGTACTTGAAGGGTTGTGAGCAGAAGTGTATGTGTAACAGTGGAGGTTTGATACAGTGTCACAACACCAGTTGTAAACCAACTACTGAGAGCTGCCAGCTACATGATGGAGAATATGAATGTCGTCCCCTGGGTATGTTAATAACACACACATATGCACACACACACTCTCTCTCTCTGTCTCTCTCTCTCTCATACACACACGACAAGTTGATAAGGTTTGAAGGAATAGGTCCTCTTCTACCATGGTCATTTACCAATTTGCAAAGTGGGCTATGCCCCAGACAAGGGGCCTCCAAAAGCCCTACGTGTATATTCCTAAATTAGTTTCTGTTTAATTGCAACACAGCAAACCTGGGGCAATGTACTGTATGATCTAGATGAGTTATTCAGAAGAATGTGATATGTTTACATCTACCTATTTATGATAGGTCCCCACTATTAATGAGTAATGGGAAGAGCCTTTTTTATATATTTGTTAATTTTATGAGGTACAAATGGTAAAGAATCCTGTTTTTCAGCCAATATGACAGAAAGAGTGCACTAAGGACAGACATGAACATCCGATAACTGAACATTCAGTGGCTATTTTCTCAAAATGACATTTTGTTTACACTCAAGCAAGAAAAAGTTCTGACTTTATTTGTTCGACCTGGTTTCTACTGAAAGAAAAATTAGAGAATATTTAATTGAGACACCACCTAATTTGCATAACCATGTCATGATACAAACAAGTCTAGTATGTGGATACATATAAATTTGCTTTATTTTTGGAAAATAATATTTTTTCCTGGGTGGTGCCTGGTCTTTTTTACTGGCCATTTTTACTTCTATCTAGTCTAGTCATGTCCAATGGTGCTGGGTTGTATTTGTGAACATCTATGTGAAAAATTGGCCCTTAATTTTGAAATAATTTGTCCTTGAAAAGTATTTGAAATACCAGAGACTGACAACCCTGCAGATGCAACAGTAGTTTAGATATTTTCAGCACATACCAGAGGAAGGTGTGAAATCAGTGTAATATGTCATTAAACCCCAATAGTTCACAATCTACACAGTTAAGAGTTAATTTCTTACCTCTCATGCTCAGGAAATGGTATCTGCTCAGTATCTGGTGATCCCCACTATACCACCTTTGACAAACACACCCACCATTATATGGGAGCCTGCTCCTACACCCTGACCAAACCTTGCAATGACTCCTCTGACATGCCATACTTCACCGTGGACACCCAGAATGAACACAGAGGAAGCAATAAGAAGGTTTCCTATGTCAGGGCTGTGGTGATCAATGTGAGCGGAGTGACTGTCATCCTCGGCAAGGGTCGCACAGTGCAGGTATGTTACCTTCTTTCACAGCAACTGATGCACTAAAGCAGTGGTTCACAAACTTTTACCCTGAGAGACTCCTTTTCTATCATTCAGTAAACTGACTACGTGACCTATATTTTATGGATATTTCATCTTCTTTTCAAAACTATACAATGAACCCAAACAGTGAACACAATAACGGCAACTGCACTTTTTATACAATTTTCTGTCTGTATTATGTATTTATTCACAACTTTTTAACAATCATACATACTTGTCTTTTGTTCTTCTTTCTGGACAAATTCAATGTTTTCTTGTTTCTGGCGCTTGGATGTTGTTAGGTCGGGAACCACTGCACTAAAGCTTTAGTTCCGCATGATAGATTTATTTTCTGTACCGTCCCCTTCATCGCATCTGTGGTCAGATTTAGTAATATTTAGTGCTGAAATTATGACTCAATAAACGATTAGTCCACTGGTTCCCAACCAGTTGGGACCCCCAATAGGGGTCGCCAGAGCTTCAGGGGGGTCACAAGGCCTTCTTGATTTTAAGGGGTGAAAGAAAACTTTACTAAATTTTCACTAAATTAAATTGTTATTTTTAAACTTTAGATTATTAAGATCTAAACTTTGAAGACCTGAACACTTGTCCTGCATTAGAAAAGAACACAGTTAAAACAACCAAAGAGCTCATAGAACAATGGCCAAGTGTCAGGGAGAAGAAATACTTGAATTTGTCAAAAAAAGAAGCTTGTTAAAGATGTTCCTAAAAATATCCAAAAAACTCATCTCTGATATCTCAATATTCACGGGAAATACTCGGGAACCAGTGTTTTGAACTGATGAGACAAAACAAGACATTTGAAGAAATCATCTAGGAGCCTGGAAAATTGTGATTAGCATTATTAAATTGGGGTTTTTAAGACATGACCACGGATAAGCACTGCTGTAAATGAATGCCTCAACATCATTGATGCCCATCATCAAAATAAATGTTTTTCAGGTCAATGGGACAGTGGTTGTCCCACCTGTCACCTCCATCAGTGGAGTGAAGATCTACTTGAGTGGAAAGTTTGTTGTCCTAGAAACATCCTTCGGGCTAAGGGTGCGTTTCAGTGGCGACCACCATGCTGACGTTACTCTGCCAACCACCTACAATGGCCTGCTCTGTGGCATGTGTGGTAAGAAACAGCATGATAATTTGTCGTGTCTCATTCCAGGATCTTAAAGCTGCAGTAGGTTTATTTTATGAAAAATAACATTTTGTTATATTTTCTGAAACTTTTCATTGTATCCTTTACGCTTTTGGTTGGTGGCTTGAAGATGGTTGACTGTTGAGTCTCATTCCCAGCATCGGTATTTTATCAAACTGGGAATGAGACTCGGCAATCAAGTCTTTGTTTCTAAGTCTTAACATGAAAATATCTTGTCATAATAATAAACTTTTCACATTATAACATTATTTCTTTTTCTGCCATGGTAGCAATACACTGCCATACTCCGACCTATGACTACCAAGCCAACCAAAATGCTATTCCCAAAGGCAACCCTGAATGTCTTTTTTAGCATGTTGACTAATCACTCTGTGGTGAGGCTTAATGTTTGTTGCCCCGGTAGGAAATTTTGATGGAAACTCCAAAGATGACAACTTGAAACCAGACAATACACCAGCTGCTAACACCAATGAACTGGGAGACAGTTGGCAGGTTCCTGACCCGCGGCCTGAGTGAGTCACACACAGAACTGCATTTTCTCTCTTGGGGCTCTGGTTAGCTCACCTGGTAGAGCTGGCGACCATGTACCAAGTTGCTGCAGCAGCCCAGGGTTTGAATCTAACCTTCGGCCCCTTGCTGCATGTCATCCCCTCTCTCTATACCCCCCTTTCCTGTCTACCTACTGTCACTATCCATTAAAAGCAAAGGCCAAAAAAATAACTGCATTTTGTTATGTCAATAAAACATACACAACTCTCTAGTAAATAATCTCTTTCCTTACTCTAATGGCAAAAAGAACAAGGCCTTATATTAGAGACAAACTCATCATTATTTGCCTGTTGATAAATTCAGGATAATATCCATTTCTACAGCGCTAATTCCATCAGCATCAGAGGAAAAATATTACATTCTTTATTTCCATACATAATTATTTCCAATTGCTTTCATTACTTTGCAGTTGTTGGGTTGATATAATAAAAACCTACCAGGAAAGGCAGGGTTGACTGCCTTAGGACTTTTAATGTGAAATATCTGCGGAGGAAGTGTTTCAGGAAGTGTTTCATTGACGTTGACAGGGTCTCAGCTGAAAGGAACCAAGGTTAATATACAGTAGCGTAGGCTGACCCTATTCAGCTAAACGTAGGAGGCAGGTTTATTTCTAATAACAAAGATTATTTATTGTAGACTGTTGTTGAATCCTGAACGTAGGTGATTGAAGAACCAGAGCTAACCAGAGCAGAGTACTCCTGGTCCACATTTCTTTTCCCAATAGTGTTTTTAATCCATTCATTTTACCTCCACTAGACCGTGAGTGGAGATAAAATGAAACTTATTTTAAATTACATTTAAGTAGTTTTTAATTTCATTTAAAATGTTGTTGTATTTTGATAGTATTATACGTTTTTTATTTCATTTTTTAAAATATTTCAGAGATTCCTCTGCACACCTAGAGGCAGCTTGAAAAACCAGTGGATTAGAGATCAGAAACTCAGAACAGCAGGCTTTTAATGAAAATTAGTATTGAGTTTCATTGTCAGTAACTTAACAGTGAAAACAAGAAAGTTAGAGCAACTGAGACTCATTTGTAAATGAAAACAGTATTTCTGAGCAGCAGGCCAGACAAAGTATTTCATTGTGCAAAGTGCACAATATATATATATATATATATCTCATCCACTAATCAGAAGTATTTATATCGTCTACTAATCAGAAGGTTGATCCCCAGCTCCTCCCGCTGCATGTCGAAGTGTCCTTGAGCAAGATATTGAAACCCAAATTGCTCCTGATGCTGTGTATCAATGTGTGAATGTATGTGAATGAATTAGTTTCTGATCTGATGAGCCTTTGCCATCACTGTATGAATGTGTGTGAATAGGTGAATGTGTTGGTGGTTGGAAAACTTGAAAGTAAAGTCCATATAGTTAATCCTTTGAAAAAAGTATAGGCTCGGCAGAGGTCATTACACAAACATACACACTCAAACACACAACAAAAATCACCACTCTCACCATTCTGACGAACCTTCCACCTTTCCCCCAGCTGTACCAATGGTGGAGGACAGGAAGACTGTGATAAAGAGGTGGAGGAGGAGGCCAAGAAGCCTACCAGCTGTGGCATGATCACTGATCCCAATGGTATTACACACACACACGCACACACAGTGCATCACATTGAGAATAACATTTTCCAGACCTGTCACCTGCATATATCCTGATCTGAATGATACTAGATACTAGATTTAAGTCAGCAGAATAGAGTATCCAAATTGTGAAGTGATAACTTAATAAAATTGTTTTTTGCATTCACGTCCACTATGTCTCTGTGTCTTTGATCTTGACTTTAGGTATCTTTAAACCCTGCCACTCTGTTGTGCCCCCCGAGCCATACTTTGGAAACTGTGTGTACGATATGTGTGCCACTGGAGGTCAAACCGTGGCTTTGTGCCAGGCCATAGAGAGCTATGCTGACATGTGTGCTGTTGCAGGAGTCCCCATCGCATGGAGAAACAATACCTTCTGTCGTAAGTCTGTGTGTGCGTGTGTTTGTGAGCCTAGGTCTGACAGAGGAAGCCGTCAGAGACACATTTTAGACTGAAGATCAATTAATTTGGAACAGCTTGTCCAATTGACCATTTCTAGTTCAGACCTTCCCTGATAGACTCCCTTCATTAAATTTGAACACATTTTGTAGATTATTTTTTTTGTAATATTTTGACACATTAACATGGAATTCATCAATAAGAAAACTCTTGCCAAAACTTAGAGTTGCCAGTGTGAGAAAAACATAATTTGCAGCATTGCATTTTACCTACCTTTAACATCTTCCAAATATCTGTTTTCCAAATGTCTTCCTCCCTGCAGCTCTGAAGTGCCCCCCAGGCAGTCATTACAACCCATGCGGCCCCGCTTGCCTGCAGCCTACATGTCAGGACCCTGCGGGCTCCGGTGGCTCCTGCAACCAGCCCTGTGTGGAGGGATGTGTTTGTAACCCCGGGCTTGTCCTTAGTGGAGACAAATGTGTCCCACTCACCGATTGTGGATGTACTGATGAAGACGGAAAGTACCGGCCAGTAAGTGTGCTTAGATGATTTTTTATAAATTTGTTTGTAAGAGAATGTGTTGCTTAAACATCTTTACATGCACTATTGTGTAGGTGGGAGACTCTTGGTTCACTGAGATGGACTGCTCGGAGCGCTGCAAGTGTAACACCAACCACAACATCACCTGCGAGCCTTGGCAGTGCAGCCCTGCACAGGAGTGTAAAGTTGTAGAAGGAGTACTGGACTGCCACTCTACAGGTAAACATTACAACAGACTGGATGACCAAAGATTCACTACCCTTGAAGCTCCACATTTTCAGAATAACTATTATCTGGTCATTTTCCATCTTAAAATACATCCAGATTGATTCAATTGAGTTTATAAAATAAATTGAGTATTATTTTTGTAGTTTTGTTTATCATTTCCCTTTGAGCCAATTGTTGATTAACTATCAAGTATATTTCTTACATTTCACTGAGCCTCCTTTCCCTCCTCAGGTACAGGAGTGTGTCACGTGGCTGGAGATCCCCACTACTACACCTTCGATGGTGTGATGCACACATTCATGGGTACCTGCACTTACACCTTGGTAGAGGTATGTGATGAACATCTGTCATGTTTGTGCCACTGGCTGCTTTGCCTGTTGTGCGGAGTGTGCCCAGCATAAAAAAATAACAATGTTTTAAATTATTTTTCTAGGTGTGTAACACTACCAAGGTAACTCCATTCAAGATAGTGGCTAAAAACGAGGAACGTGGTCAACCAGAGGCCTCTTATGTTCGCTCCGTTAAAGTCTATTTGCCTCATGACACTGTGGTTGAACTGCAAAAGAGCCGCAGAGTTCTGGTAAGGATAATTTTTCTGTTCTTTTAGATTGGATCATTACTACAGAAAACAGTGATGCTATACAGCATAGTGAAATTATCAGAGGCTGACTGATGTCTGTGTTCTCTGTTTTGTCTTAGCTGAACGGACGGCGGATGCGAACCCCAGTTTCCATTGACTTAGTCGGAGCCAAGGTGATATCCAGTGGATCTTACAGTCTGCTGGATACGAACTTTGGTCTGCAGGTGAAGTTTGACGGAGTCCATCACCTTGAGATCACTGTTCCTGGAGAGTACTTCAACAAGGTAGGAAAACATGAGCCAGTGTGTTTGTCAAATGTAATATCATCGATACGAAAGTATCATCCTAAATGTGGTTCGAAAATCTTTATTTGGATGAATGAATGAATGCAAGATGGAACCTTGTTGAGGTCCCTTGTGCATGAAACACTGTAATAACCCTGTCCCACCTCCCTGTTTTCCAGCTGTGTGGCATGTGTGGGAACTACAACCACAACTCCTCTGATGACAATCTGATGCCCAACAAGAAACCAGCCAAGGATGTGATTGAATTAGGCAACAGCTGGAAATCAGATGGAGACAGTGATCCTGGGTCAGTGGGTTCAGCCACGGGTAGTATAAATGTCATGAAACTCAGTGTTTAGTTTCTCTGAATTATTTACACATTCTGTGAGCATTTCAGTACATTTTCTATTGAGTATTTTATTCCTATCTCCAATAAAGGCAAGAAAACCTAATATATATATATTAGCACCCTTTCGAGATAATTCAACAGCACCATATTGGCTATTGCAGGCTGGATAAGTACAGTTAATGATTTAGCTTCCACAGTGCAGAGCTGCACTTTCCATTCAAGCCTTGCATCCATCACAGAAAATAAACTACATGCATTACATATACCATGTGAGGCAGCTGTGGCTCAGAGGCAGAGTTCGATCCTCAGCTCCTCCCGCCACACGTTGAAGCATCCTTGAGCAAGAGACTGAACCCAAAATAGCGCTCAATGCTATGAATCAGTGGATGAATGTGTATAAATAAGTTAGTTCCATTTGATGGGTGAATGTATATGTAGCGTTAAAGAACTTCAAGTGGTCGGACGACTACATAAGTACAGTCCATTTAGCTTTATCACTAAAGAAGGCAGATAACACTCAGAAAGAACACTGCAACATCCCAGAGACTGAATAAACCATTTTCTACCCTCTAGTTGTCAGCCAGACACTCGTCCAGACATCCACCCAAACTGCACCTCAGAAGAGGAGAAGCTGTATGAGACTCAGTGTGCCGCGGTCATCCTCTCTGACCTCTTCAAGCCCTGCCACTCTTTGTTGCCCCCTGAGGCTTTCCTAGGTAACTGCATCTACGACATGTGCGAGTATGACGGCATGCAGGCTACGCTTTGTGACAATGTGGAGGCATATGCTCAGGCCTGTCAGAGTGCCGGAGTAACCATCAGCTGGAGGAACAACACTTTCTGCCGTAAGTTAGAGCAACACTGACTGACCATTTAAACAAAGAAAAGCTTGTAGTTTTACTCCTCTCATCCTTAACTCTCTTTTTTCCTGCAGCCCTGCCCTGCCCTCCTAACAGCCACTACTCAGACTGCACCGCCCCCTGCCCCCCAACCTGCTCTGACCTCTTCCCCATCTTCTGCCACCTACCTCCAACCACCTGTGTGGAAGGCTGCCAGTGTGACGCCGGCTACGTCCTCAGTGACAACAAGTGTGTTCCCCTGGACAAATGTGGCTGTCTGGACTCAGATGGAGAGTACCATGATGTGAGTGGATGTGCAGAGTGTCAACGGGGTCCTAAAAAGTCTTAAAAAGCCTAAAATCTAATAATCAGACTTTTATGAATAACATATAGGAATATCTATTGTCAGAAATGGAATATAATAGTCATAGGTATGTTTTCATTAGTGTTGTCACCTGAGAATAAGAATCGTGTTTTAATTACCTTAGAATGAGACGTTTTTATCTACAGATGGAGCAGGTCCTCTTCTACAGAGGATGCCATGTTGAACCTGCATCTTTCTACAGTAGCTCAGAATGGACAAACCAAACCCTGGCTGTATATAGGGTCTTTTTCGAGTCAGTTTTGTGGCCACTGTAGTTTATCATGAAGTCCAACTAAAACTGACACTGCCAAGGACAAGGGCAGACTGCAGCGTATCATTCGATCCGCTGAGAAGGTGATCGGCTGCAATCTGCCATCCCTCCAGGACCTGTACGCCTCTAGGACCCTGAGGTGTGCAGGCAAGATTATGGCTGACCCCTCCCACCCTGGTCACAAACTCTTTCTAACACTTCCCTCTGGCAGGAGGCTGCGGTCCATCTGGACCAAAACCTCACACCACAAAAACAGTTTCTTTCCATCTGCAGCTGGCCTCAGTAACAAGACCCGGAACCCCCTTTGACACTGACTCTTATACCCACTCTGTATATATGCATTACATTAATTCACTCCCGTCTTCTGCACAGTTTTCTTTCTTTCTTAGCTTATTTATCTATATTTTAAAAGTACTTTATTTTTCTGTGTGATTTTTGTGTGATTTGTATATTTGTATATTTTATGCACCAACGCACCAAGTCAGGTGTAGGTGTAAAAACATACTTGGCAATAAACAATTCTGATTCTGATTCTGATTCTGATAAGTCTATTTTGTGTGGGTATGTGTGTGTAGGTGGGAGACTCTTGGCTGACAGATAAATGTGCTGACTCATGTACCTGTAATCTTGGAGGCAAAATCACGTGTAAGGACCACAGCTGTAATTCCAACTCAGTGTGTGCCCTGGACAAGTACGGAGACCTCTACTGCAAACCCACCCGTGAGTCCACCACTCTCAACAGCTTCACCTGTAATATCACAGCATGTTGTAACTGCTTGGCAGTGTACAGTTCAGAGATTTCAAACATTAAAAATGTCAGAAACGTGGGCTGGTTCACTAGAAAGCACCACAGTTCCAAGAATTTTGAACAGTAGCAGCTCAAGAACCAGAACTAATTTGGTGGAAAGGGGAGAGTAACTACCTTGGTGCACAATACAGTTCTGTATTGTTTTGGTCATTGCCCATTTTGACCATTCAATTTTTTTTATCATCCTCCCTAGAGTTCAACAAGTGCAGCGTCTCTGGGGATCCTCACTACCGAACATTCGATGGTTTCACCCATCACTTCCAGGGTCCCTACACCTACGTCTTGACTCAGGGCCACAACCTGCAGAACTCTATGATTCCCCTGGTGGTGAGGGGGAAGAATATCAGACGTGGGGGGAACAGGAAAGTGTCGTTCCTGGATCAGATGTACATTGACGTTTACGGTGTCAATGTTCGTTTCCTGCAGAAGAAGACCATCCTGGTCAGTAGTTTGCCTTTGTCAGATAACTTGCTGTTTTCTGTAGTAAAAGTATACACTGCAATCATATTGTATCTCCTCTAGGTGAACGGAGAGCGTGTTGCACCTCCTCTTAGCCCAGTTGGTGGTTTAACTATCACAATGAATTCCAGGCAGGTCCAGCTCACCACTGACTTTGGACTTACTGTACGCTTTGATGGCAACAGTCGTGGAGGTAAAAGAAGAGGAAAGCTCTTCCCTTACTAACTGGTCTCTTCTTTGGCTTATTTGTCAATTTCACTCCTCTGTCTTTCTCTTTGTGTATCAGAGGTCATACTGCCCAGCACCTACAAGAACTCTGTCAGAGGCCTGTGTGGTAACTACGACGGCATCACCAGAAATGAGTACATGAAGCCAGACGGGACGGTGGTCAGGGACCTGAACACGTTTGGAGAAAGCTGGAGAGTCAGTGACCGACAGGGTGATACACTGCAAATAATCAACCTTCCTCACACAGTCCACCTCCACAGGTAGGACCACAACCTGAGCTACTACTTTAGCTGTGAACACAGTCTCTTTAGATTTTGATATAGACCTTTTTCACAGCAGCCATTTTCACGAGAGTAACGCTAGTGCAGCATGGCACGCCGACAACACCAACACAGTTTAGAAAGAGAAAGTATTTTTTGTCTGTGTCTGTTGGAAAAGCAATAAACATGATGACATGTGATTCTGAATGAGACATTTGCCGAATTGTTCCATATTAAAATGCATTGTCTCTTCTTTGAAGGGAGAGATGTACACCCCTTGTAAACACAAGTGTTACCAAAGGCACTAATCAAGTTTCTGTTACATTTAGTGTAGCAGAGCTACTCTGTTTGACCTGCTGATATATCACTTAAATTCCGACATCAGGTTAGAAATGTCTTTTCATCCTTTCTACCCTTTGTCTCCAGGCGAGAGGTGGAGACTGATCCGGACTCAGGATTTGAGACATCAGACTGCTCTCAGTCTCAGCTGAATGACTACAACAGTGTGGCTCAGTGCGGAGCGTTGTCCGACTCCAAGGGACTGTTTGCTGCCTGCCATGCGACCCTGCCACCTAAAACCTACCAGGAGTGAGTAGCCTTGGAGTGTGTGGTCTCAGTGATTAGTCGATTTATCGATGAGTTGTCTGCTATTAAATTGACTTCCAACTGTTTTGATAAACGAGTAATGACTTTGAGTCCAAATACCCGATGTGAATATTTTCTGTTTCAGTAAACTGAGTATCTTTGGTTTGTGGATAAAAGATGCAAAGATTCTGAGCACGTCACTTAGGGTTTAGTAAACAGTGATCTTCCCTTTTTTTGTTACCATTTTCTGACATGTTATGGACCAAACAACTAATCAATTAATCGTGAAAATGATTGGCAGATTAATTGATCATTAAAATAATCGTCAGTCCCAACCATACACGCCTTGTCCAAATTGTCCCTGTATGAAGTAATGTGGTTGTGTGAGTTGGCAGCCTTTACTCACGCTCAGCATGTGTGTGTTTGTTCCTCAGTGACTGTGTGTTTGACCTGTGTGCTGAACGGGGCAGTGCAATTCTGCGTTGTGCTAGTTATGAAGCATATGCTGCAGCATGTCAGGAGGCTGGAGTCAAACTGGGAACCTGGAGGCAGCAGCTGGACTGTGGTAAGATTCTGAACACGCAATAAAATAACACTGCTTTTACATCACATGGAAATAATGACAGTAGAAAGAAGCATGCTAGAATGAGTACCAAACCAGTCTTTTACCATTTACCTCAAACCATGTGTAATTTTTGACTGTTTTGGAATTTACTAGCAGTTCGGTCGAATATTAGATGGCAGCCCTAGAAGTTAAAGACTTGACTTGACTTGAGACATGATGACTCGAATTACTTGTCTGTGTCCCTTAAAAGTTTTCAATTCAAATATTACGTATAATGTTGTCAACACTGGCATTAAAAGTGTCTGTGAACGTTACCTGGACCACATGACATGGAACTTGCTTGAAACTTGTGCAAAATGACTTGAGTCATGTCGGTACTATAAGTTCTTTGGGTGAAAACAACAAGAACAACTCATTTCATCTATGTCAAATACATTTCTACATTGCTTTATGTGATTTTCATCAGGCAATATCCACATCAGACTGACTGTGACTTTTGTCTCCCTCCTAGTCCTCAACTGTGACGCCAACAGCACCTATTCCTCTTGTATGTCATCTTGCCCCGCTTCTTGCGCCGACCTAGCAGCACCTTCCGGGTGTGACACCACTTCCTGTATGGAAGGGTGCCAGTGCAACACAGGGTTCGTCATGAGTGAGGGAATCTGTGTGCCATACCCTCAGTGTGGCTGCACCTACCTCAACAGATACTACCCTGTAAGAGGCCTCGAGGACCAGTGACAGCATGTGTGCCACTGTGTGATGATGTACTCTCATTTCATCCTCCCTTCTCGTCTCTCTTTCTCCATCCTGCAGCTGAAGGAGAAATTTGTGACTGAGGACTGTTCTCAGTCCTGTGAATGCACCAACACCGGCGTTGTGTGCCAACCTAAGACCTGCCAGGACAGTTACATCTGCACCATCTACGACTTTAAACGCGACTGCTACAAAGGTGTGTTTTTTAACGGAAGAGTTCTCCAAAATCATCTGCACAGAATCAAATGGCAACAAGCCAAGCACAGCATGTGTCTAATTAGCAGTGTTGGGCAGTAAGGCATTACTAGTTACAATATTGCAGTAATAACATTACTTTCCCCACTAAATAATAATGTCCTTTTTTATGTTGCAGCAAGCCCCTGCCTCAGTTACCCCTGTCTGAATGGAGGAAAATGTAAGGAGGCCAGTAACAACAGTTACACCTGTCAGTGTGCAGAGGGCTTTGAGGGCACAAACTGTGAGGTGGAGATAACACAGAGCGGAGGACTGGGTATGGCCTTCTCATCTGTTTCACCCTTTAGGAATTAAAACTACACACACTGTACAGTTTTGTGACTCGCATTGACAAAACCTGTTCACAGACATGTAAACTCCCGCCACAGTAGGTGTCTCCAGGAGCACATTCTCCCCATGATCACACAAAAAGATTCACATGGTGAAAAAAGAGAATACAAATAGAAACTATACAAGAGCAGTTAAATGTACAATATATAATTTCTGCCATCAGGGGGTCTCTGACGTCAAAACAATAACAAAAGACAAAGTTTGATGACTCTGTGAAGTAGCGTGGGAGTAGCTGTACACATACAGTACCCACGTGTGTCTGTGTGTGTGTACATGTATGAGGCAATATAAACTAATATAAGCATAATATAAATTGAAATGTAGTAATATAGTATAACATAATGTATAGTATAGTACAACAGTGAAGCACAGAATATAAAATATAATAAAGTATGAGCATAGTATATATAGTACAATGAATAATAAATTATCAAACTTCTGCTGCATACACTGTTAACTATTTAGCAAGATAGCTCTGATTGAAGCAGAAGGGTCATTCTTTAAATATACATACATATTTAGGAATAATAAAAAGACTTAATATCACAAAATTATATATATTTCTCATTCCTAATATATTTTCTATCTTTTCCTGACAGAAATGGGCTTCCATTGAGAGCCAAAGTTTTCTTTTTTCTTAAGTTATCTTTTTGGCCTTGTTGTTGTTGGCTTTATTTATAGAGACAGCTGTAGAGAGGCAGGGGGGGTGGGTGGAGAGAGGGGGGATGACACGCAGCAAGGGGCCGCAGGTCGGATTTGAGGCCGGGCCGCTGCAGCAACTCCGTATATGGGTCGCCGGCTCTGCCGACTGAGCTAACCGGGCACCCCCAAAGTTTTATTTTTTAAACTTTATTGTTATTTATTACAGAAACCAGGTGGGTTATCCTGATTGCGGTCCTGGTCCCAGTGGCTGTCATCATCATTGTGACCACCATTGTGTGTGTTAGCAAACGCAAAACCAAGTGAGTCTCAGCTCAGTCTGTGCTGTACAGATTATCAAAGCATTTGTTTGTTTGTATGTGTGTGTGTGTGTGTGTGTGTGTGTGACCTGGTGACTGACATTTGCAGAATGTCCAGACTGACATTCCCCAGCGTAAGGACACTGCTGCTTCTATCCTCCACTAAACAGACAAAATACACTCTTATTAAAGCTTTTCATTGCAGGTCACATGTTTATGTAATTCAGAAGCAGCAGTCATCTCACAGTGGGTGAGAGAAAATTACAGATTCACGATCTTATTGGGAATTTCTGGGAGCATTCTGTATCAGCACTGGGAAGGGAAGGGTTGATTCACTGACTGCCTTCTTTACTCTACTTTGGACTTTTTCAAAATCCTCTCTACTCTTACCTAGGGCTGGGTGACAAAAACTCAGATTTTGTCATTTTTTTCTTCTTAAAAAAAAACAAACTAAAACAGACACCATATCTTTGACGATGTGAAACACCACTTATCACTGCGCCCCCATCTTTTCATATGGGATTCTATGGGAAAATGATTCTACACAGTCTGTGTAGATAAGTGACTTAAAGGGATTTGGGCTTGTTTTACAGAGCATCCATAGTTTAAATCTCAATTTTTATTTGTCGCCCAGCCCATTTGTCACTCTACTCTCAACTGCAGGCAGAAATGTGCTATTGGTCAAATTTAATCCCGGTTCTTTCACTACACAGGAAAAAGAAGATAACGGAGAAAAAACTCAGCATGAAATCAACAAGTAAGAATTATCATGATTGTTAGTGGAAACTAAATATGAGTAAAACTCAAAAGAACAGCAGTCAGTACTAAAACCACATTTAAAAATAGCTGACTGTTGTTTTTTTGACACAATAATGTCCGCATGCAGGGTTCAACCAGGCTTTGCAGAGTGTGAATGAGTTCACAGAATATAAAGTTTTTAGAATTGACCCTACGTTTTGCTAATGTTCGCTAACTTAAAATGTGACTATATATATGATATATGTTGCCTTTGCTCAACTGTTACTGGAACATAATGCAAAAAGGGGCGGGACTTAGTAATGGTCAATTGGACAAGTTGTCCCCAATTAACTGTTTTTTTTAAATGTGTCCCTGAAAGCTGCCCCAGTCAGAGTCAGGCTCACAAACATGCATGCTTACACAAACTTACTGGGTGCTAGGCTTTTGAGGATGGTTAAAACCAGACTTTTTAAGACCTGAGTTAATAGTTAAAATATAAGAGGCTGACCCACATTTTGGAAGGCTGATATCATTGTCTGATATTGACCACAGCAGATATGCAAATAGAATAGCATATTTGAAGATATGCAAATAGAAGAAGCAGTAGAGAAATGTATTAAAGGCTACATTTAACCTCTGTTCATCTTAATTCAAATTTGAAATGTATTTGTTGTATTTTATTTATATAATTTATATTTGCTGTAAAGTTTACTTGTTAGAATGTATTATTTTACATATGATCTTAGTGTCATCCTTGATCATTTGTCTTTGTTGGGTACCTCTTTATTTTAAGAATCTGTAATCTCCTAATAACCTCTAAATAATTCTCCAGTATTAATTACAGAGAAAATACAAATACAAAGTTCTGAGACCATTTGAGTTTAATTAGTTCTGTTGAGTTTATAAACCAGTTATTTATTTACATAGGAGTCATAGAAAGTCAAATTTAGTCTGCATTTGTGTTGTAGACAGATTTCACATTTCTGCCCATTCATCTGTGAGCATCAATATCATTACTAATAAACGGTATTTGTGCAGCTCTAATATTGATCCTTTTTTCTCTTTTAGGTGTACCATATAAAAACATGGATGAGGGAAGAAATGATAAAGTGACTACTATGTGATGACAGTTTTATCTGAATCAAACAAACACCTGATATGAGGCGAAGTTCATTCAACATGCCTGAGAAAAATAAAACACTGTAAGAAATGAAGGAAGTAGTTTTTGTTTTTGAGTGTTGTGAATATATTATAGGTAATATTATATATTATGATATAATATTGTTCATGTGCCCGTGTTTTGCTTTTTAACTTATGCTGTTCAAAATTTAATTTTAGGCAGATACAGAAAGTGCAAATCTCTCTGTGTATCCTTTAAAATGTATATGTATTTTTGGAATGAAACGTGCAAAGAAAAGAAAATGTGTTTGAAAGTGCGTTTGTCTGTTAAAAAAACATGATAGACACACATTCTCAGGCAAGCATGTTCCGTACATGATGAATTCTAATGACTCTGAGGTTCCATCTAGCACCACTACCAGCTCAAAATGTATACTCATCAGATACTGTATCACCAAATACTTGAAAGGGAGAGTATGGAGAGGATGCTACAACCAATAAGGTTCATGTGACAGTCAGAAACAGCTGAAGGTTTACCTGCTTTTTTGCCATCCATGTTCTACCCTTTCTAGTTTTAAGAAAGTAATCCGTGTAATAGCACACAACCCAACTGTCCTTGAAAAATAGTTCAGCTGTCTACAGCAGTGGTTCACAATCTTTTTCTATAAGGGACCCCTTTTATATCATTGCACAAACTGAGAACCCCTTACTAAGTGACATTTTATGGATTTTCTACAGTATGAAACTAATAAACTGTACAATAAACCCAAATAGTGAGCACAATAACTGCAGGAAGTTGGTGTAAAACCAGTGGTTTGGATGAACTTTGAGCAGATTATTTCCTGTAAATATTACATCAGAGGTAAAGTTACTGATGGTTTTAGAAACTTGTAATACAGCTATAGGTCTGCATTGTGTATTTTGCAACAATCACACATTATATCTAAGCAAACATTTCATTTAGTTTTTTCCACAGAATTAGACAGAATGCGATACAGGCCTATAATGTATATTTTGGGGTTTTCTTAAAATCAAGGCCTCACAACCCCCTGTGAAGCTTTGGCAACCCCTAGTGGGGGTCCCGACCCCCAGGTTGGGAACCACTGGTCTATAGGAGTATTTGACAACTTGGGAATGAATGGTTCTGACCTTTTCAGTGGACCTCCACCGTGCCATTGTTATGCCAATGATGATTTAAAAAGACCTTTGTGGCTTTACATTGCTCACAATGTTACTTGCTTTGCAGATCGTACTGGTCCCTTGAGAGTTAACACTTGAGAAACTATGGAACTGATGCAGTAGTATGTGGGTTGAATATATGCATATTAAACACAGACTACGCAGAAATACTTTGTCATTAAAGTAGGAAGAAAACAAGAGATCCCAAAACACGTTACTTGGGGAAATTCATCAAACATCTTCCACACATATTGAATATCACTCAAAACATTTGTAAGGAGGTTCAATAAAGAGGAATGAAATGAAGAGGTACATTCAGATTGTCTGGACAGCAGCTGTGAGATTTAATATAAGTCAATACATTTACTATTAATTTCCAGTGTAAAAATACCACACATAATTTCACATATTTCCCCCTCAATTTCAGGACTTTAATGTTCAGTATGAACAGTGTCCTGATAGGTAACACTGACACATCATACAAACATACTGTATGTCAACAATAGGCTTTTAAGTGTTCATGGTTCTTAGAGGAAGATTCCTATGACTTTATTGACCCTTTGACCAGGTGTGGAGCCAAACACTGTAAACATTCGGGCTTAGCCCAAACCTAGTATTTCAAGTCATTTGAGATAATAGAATGTCTATAAGCTGTACATCATTTGAGAAAAATACATTGAAGAACCTAATGTACAGAAACAGCGATGATGATGTGTTCAATAAAAAATAATAATAATAATGTGTAGACACACACACTCGTTCAAGCTTTAATACAGCTTCTTCAATGCCCACAATAAGACGATGATTTTGAGAAAACGTGATTCAATATGTTCACTTGCCTTTTACAGCTCCTCCTCTTCCAAAACCCTGCCTGACAAAGTGAGACTTTTGACATTATAGGACCCTCAGTCCTACAATGTCAGTGTTTTTGGGAAATGTGAAAGAAACGGAATTTCTGGCTCTAAGCAACATTAATCCAACAAAATCATATCAGTCAGACCCTGTTTTCACTGGAGACACACAAGGTTAATGTTTTACACGCAAGTTATTGTCAGCTATTATTTAACATGCTACACTGCTAAGGAAATGAGAAGACACTGTAAAATGTTGTAGTACACTGCTGCACGATTAGACCATAGATGACAGCAGCACATCAGGTACTTTGCCCTGGTGAAAGCAGCCCCTCTAGATTGACTGGGGATAAAGGCGAATTCTGAGGTCTTTGCCAATTTAAGAGCATAAAATAAGCATCGCTTTTTAGCTATAGCCCAAATCCTACGGTCAGTCAGGCAAACATTTGTTATCTCAGCGATTGGTGTCGTTATATGGAAAAAAATTGAAAGAAATAGGGGTTGATGAACATCCTTTCAGTCTGCCTCCATTAACGTGGAAACAACTGACATACAACAACCCGTTCTCATTCCCAACTCTTTCTGACATCTGACACGGTTTCTGTCATTAAGAGACAGGTTTGGTCGTCTGTCCAATATGACGTTACTGTAAACTAATTCCTTCGCTGTGGCGAAGCAGAACTCCCGTTTGTGCTTATTAATTAACCTTTCACTACGAGAGAAGTAGAAAACATGTGAGTTTTTTTACTTCCCATGCTGCTTTATATTTTGGAAGCCACAAATCTCTTCTCCACAAATCTCTGTCCTTTACTCTTTACGGAAGTAAAGAAAATCGTAACCTGGGTTTTTTTCATCTTTGTACAAATGTGACGCAGGAATAGTGCCACTAGATACTTTGTTTCACCCAAAAGGGAGCCTGGATGTTCTGAAGACAGGACAGTTACCTATGCCTGCTCTTATCTATGGCATGCACACTGGAGATCAAAATTAGAGAAAAATCTACAATTTCCCAAATGTCAAGGTCACTGCTTAGTCCTATTTGAAATGATCCAAACCGGAGTAAAATAGCAGTATTTTAAGCATATTTCAGTTACATATGCTCTGAAGCACAGTATAAAAAACTTAAATGAGATATTTGAAAAAGAACACTGATCAAAATTAGACAACACTTTCAGATATCTCCCAGTTATTGGTGTTAATCCGGCACCTGGTGCTAATTTCCTTAATTATCTGACAAACCTCATTTAACTTGCAGCCTAACTTTCCAGTTTTCACTGACTTTGCAAGATGGTGAGCCATTCTAAAGTGACTGAAACCCTTTGGCAGCAGGTTGTCCAGATGAAGGCCAAAGGGATGACTATCAGTCATAGCAAGAGAAGTTGGTCGTTCCCAATCTGTGATTTCTAGAATATTGCATCTTTACAATGTCACAAACTCATTCAAGTCCCCCAAGAAGGCTGGTCATCCACGAAAGACAAATGCAAGAGAGGACAGAATAATTCGGAGAATCTCAGTGGGCAATCGGTTCAACGCTGCAGCTAGAATTGCTTGCATGTTCAACGCTGAACAGGGTAAGGATCTGTCTTGTCATACAGTGTCTCAACGTTTTAGAGCATTTGAACTGAAAGCCCAAACTGCAGAGACCAAACCTTTCATATGCAGAAAGATTCAAAAGGCTAGACTAACCTTTGCTGAGGAGCATGTTGTGTGGACAGAGGAGAACTGGTCCAAAGTTCACTTTAGTGATGAAAGCGAGTTTAATTTATTTGGGTCCGATGGGAAACAATATGTTTGTCGTCAAACTGGGGAAAGACTGAACCCAAAGTTTGTAAAGAAGTCAGTGTCATGGTTTGGGGAATGTTTTCTGCAGCAGGAGGTGGGCCCCTTATACAGCTACATGGCAGAGTGAATACAAATGTCTATCAGAACCTTCTTCCACAACGTGGTTCCTGCGTTCATCAACCAATCAGCCACAGGGACAATGCCCCCGTCACACAGCAAAACGGGTAAAGCAGTTCCTTGATACTGAAAACATTGAAATAATGAAATGGCCAGCCCAGAGTCCTGATCTAAACCCATTAGAAAACCTCTGGAAAATTCTTGGTGACAAAGTTATGGCCAATTAACCCAGTACAGTCACCGAACTGTGGAACAGACTGGAAGAAGAGTGGACCAGAATCACACCAGAACAGTGTGAGAGACTAGTGATGTCCTGTGGCCTCAGATGTGCTGACGTCATTCAAAGCAACGGCCTGTACACTTCCTACTTATTGTTGACTGTTGTAACCTTAAGAAAATGTTGTAATCTTTCAGCGTGCTACAGTCATTGCTGTTCTCTTATTTTGATCATTGTGTTTTCTGCAAAATAAAGGTTTTTTGTTGAAGTGTCTTGGTCATTTTGTAAAACACTGTTCTAGTAGCATGGTATAGCTACAACAAAAACTCCTTCAAATGTTGAGAAATGAAGATTACATTATTTCTGAAAAAATCAAGTGTTCCTAAATTGTTCTTCAATTTTGATCTCCAGTGTATGTGAGGGGTCAATAAAAGACAAAAACATCTATTTAAAACTAAGAAGCCACATAACTGAAAAGTAACAATCCAACGTTGACAATAAATAGACAGCATTAAGACAATTCAATTTAAATAAACTAGCCCGTGTGTAAAGACACTGAATGCATCACACTCACATTCCAATTGTATCGCATTTTATAATAAATATATAATGGATGTCAAGGCTGCAAACCACTTCCAACTATAGTAGGAAAGGTATGAGGCAATGCAAGCCCTTCAAATCTTAGCTGATGTCCTCCAGTGTACAATAACATATTTGTATTCGTAATATAAACAAATTACATTTTCATTTTTGTAACTTTAAAAAGGTCCAGTGTGTAACATTTAGGAGGATCTATTGGCAGAAAAGGAATACAATATTCATAGGTATATTTCATCAGTATGTAATCACCTGAAAATAAGATTGTAATCATTGTATTTTTTTTTTACCTTAGAATGAGCAATTTTTTTTCTACAGAAGGGGATGGTTACTCTTCTGGCAGAGTTCAGCATGTTAAACTGCCATGTTTCTACAGTAGCCCAGAACAGCCACACCAAACACTGGCTCTAGATAGGACCTTTGGCTTTTTTGCAAATTTCGCAGCCACCGTAGTTTCTCCTTTGTGCTTGAAAGGCTGACCTGTCAATCATTAGGTAGCCATGCCCAAAAGCATACATGGCTTTATCGTCTATTTAACTCTAAATGGGACCATCATTTACTAAATTAACATCAAAATGTATTGAAGAAGACTGAAACTAGCTATTGAGACCATAAACTTGTTAGGGAACTGTTTACTGAGCTTATAAATGAAGTGACAAGTCGGCTCATTCTTCATTAGTGAATAGTAAAGGTGTGTTATTGCAGCCAATGGAGCTACCCTTGCTGGCCTTTACATAGAATGCAGGTTTTAAGACACTTCCGCGTTGGCTTCACTTTTCAAACCCAGAAGCTCTGTCCATTATATGTACTGTCAATAATTTCAAGACAGAAACAGTTTCAGAACATGTTTAACTTAGGTTAGAACAACACAACAGGCCTGGCTCACATTAGGCGTTGATGTTCATCCCAAAGGTGTTGGATGTAGTATATCACATGGAAATAGGACTGTTTCAAGGTCTATGTTTTAAGACGTAGCTAGGCTAGCAGTTTTGTCTGATCTGACGGGGGTTTGATACCAAACAAATTTATTTCATGAAATGTTGGAATGTTACTTTACTACTGGATCCTAATTGCCACATTTCCTTACTATATCCTATAAGAAAACAATGGCTGCCATACAAACAATCAATGATGAGTCCCTAAACTTGACATTACTTCTTGTAATACTCTATAAATATCTACAAAATCACCCAGGCATACAAGTAGGAAGGCAATAAAAATAACCCATTGAGTAAAATGGAACAAATGGAACAAAGGCTGGAAGAATGTAAAAAATAAAAAAAATAAAAAAATAAAAAAACAAACTTAAAAACGTTCTCATCTGGAGAAATGATAACCCAGTGAAATGATGAATCACCTCCTCCTTCCATCAGTCTTTCGCTCTGAATGTCTCCTTGAGGAAGAGGCTCTGGCAGCTGGACAGAAGGATCAAACACTGATGTTTGTATCTCCAGTAAAGGTTTCCTTTCCAGGTCATCTGACAGCAGAAACAGAGAGAAGATTTGCTTAACATGCTTTGACTGGTTTCAGTTAAGAATGCCAATATTCTGTATTTGACAGTTTGCAATATGTGGTGTTACGAATATGTGGATTTTGATCCCCAGCCTTAGTGTCAACGAACAGCCTAGTCATCCTGCCTCCTCTCCAGCTGGCCTCTGATCTGCAGCACCTTTTATTACACGGTTTCTTTCATTTGTTGCTCTTAAACACGTTCATGGTATTTACTACATTGGCTCTGAATCAGAGTATCCACTACTGTACTCACTAAATGTTACCACTTTAGTTGTACATTTAGATAAAAAAGGAATGTTAATTAGAATATGCCATGTCATAACTGAGAACTATGCTGTAAAAGCTGATTTCTTACCTGCTCTGTACCTCTTGGATTGGTTCCAGCACTAACACCTTACACTCTCTCTTGGCTATTCTGTCCATTGAAATGAGGGTGTGGTCAGGGGGCAGGTAGAGGGCTCTGCCCATTGGAGACCCTATAGATGGGGTTACAGTCCGACGCTCCATCACACTGCTTGACCTGGAGACAGTAGAGACACTGCGTCAAGGACATGATAGCCAGGAATGTGTAGGTCCGACTTTAAATGTCTCTCCTGTACTGCATAATGTGTTGTATCTAACAATTAGAACCGACTGATATATCATTTGGCCGATAATGATTTTCCAGCCGATATTGGCTCTAAACAGCCAATCAGATGACACATTTATTTTATTTGACAGGAAAGTTATATTCAGTCTTTCACATGCATAGATTTTTGGTGGGACGGCAAGTACATTTCCCAGCAACAACTCATTTGTGTTCTTTAATAAAGTTATTTGTTCAAGAAAGCAGCCTTCTCAGTACCTGTGCATTGTCACATTGGTGCACAATGCACATAAAAAAGGCCTATTTTCATTCCAACTAAAAAATTCACAGTATCATATTATATTCAGGGTTCCCACATGTCCTGGAAAACGTGGATATTGAGATACATTTAGAGACCTGAAAATGTATTAAATTTACCAAATATCCTGGAGATAATCTATGCTGTCTGTTGTATTTTAGCCCCTCACTCAGCCTGCCTATGTAAACCTAGTTTAGAGTTAAATTGGCTGTGGTGAGAACAGTGGAAAGTGAGCTAACATGGAGTGTCCCATAAAGGCTGACCACCTACCTGCAATGACTCACTTCATCATGAAGCCTGCATCACTAAAATCGAGGAATAAAACTGGGAAGAATGTAAATATGATGCCTAAAATGTCCTGGAAAGGTCCTGGAAAATGATTTCTTAAAAAGAGAGGGAACCCTCCCCACTAAAATTTCATTTCAGTCGGGCTCTACTTACAATGACCTCATCTGTAATGTGATGCATTTATAAAATTACAAATCCGATACCACACATGAATAAGCCCTAGAGGTATTCGGTTTTTGGGTTACGATTAGTGGACCCACTGATGGGATCATCAAGAAGCTGCCATATTTTCATAAATGCTTGTCAAAGGGTTAATTAATGACATAATAATGAAAATATAGCTGAGATAAACTCTCTATTGGAAGCAGCACGGTGCTGCACAGTGATCCTCTGTACCTGACGTGGTGTGACCTGGACGGGTTCTGGTGGGAGAAGCTCTGAGACCGGCCCAGGCTGTGTCTTTCCAGCAGCTCTCTGACCGCAGGACCAGAAGATGAAGGAGAGTTCCTCAGTGGAGATCGAGACTCCATGGGAGGAGTGGACACCGAGGCTGTGAACTGGAGCTTCAGTTTCATATGCTGGCTCAACTACATTGTTGTCATGGAGCAGGATCGGGATGGACAAGATGGAAGAGCACTTTATTACATTACAATTACTGTATTATAATTACAATACACGAGTATTACGTGTGTAGCCGTGTTAATTTTGTCAATGAATATGTCTAGTTATGACAAATGTTTATGACAAATGTTTGTTTATAAAGAATAATGTAAAATGGTAAATGGACTGTACTTATATAACGCCTTTCTAGTCTTTCGACCACTCAATGCGCTGTACACTACATGCCACACTCACCCCATTCACATACATTTATACACTGATGCACAGCATCGAGAGCAATTTGTGGTTCAGTGTCTTGCTCAAGGATGCATTGACATGCAGCGAGAGGACCCAGGGATCGAACCACCAACCTTCCAGCTGAGAATGACTTGTCAATCACAAGGTAGCCAAGTCCTAAAGCATACCCTGCTACTCTACCCTGCTACTCTAAATGAGACCATAATTTACTAAATGAACATCATACTATATGGAAGAAGAAACTATAATAAATAAATCAAGTGAAAAGTAGGCTAATTGCTCTTACATACTGTCAATGGCTCAAGGAAATGAGGGAATACCAGTATATCAGTATACAGGAGAGCAGTGACATCCAGACAAATAATTTTGGTACCTCAAAGAGTCCAGTCCTAAGGATCTGGAAGGCCACGGTGAAGGAGAGGGTTGAGCCCTTCCTACACTGTCCGAGGTGGTTGATGGGAGACTGACACACCACTGCCCCAACCCTGGGGTCCTGCTGACCTCCTCTATGAGCTGATGAACAGATGGATGGATGGATGGATGGATGGATGGATGGATGGAGGTAGAGACAAGATGGCAGAGGGGAGCAGGTAACAAGCACATGTAGGGGAAAGAATGTGAAAGTAGATTAAGACAGAAAACTGGATGACTCAAAGGAGGTTTGTTTAAATACATTGTAGTGAGTTTTTCTAATAGTCGCGTCGTACTTATCTCTGCTGCTATTTCACACTAACACTGTACAAATACACAAATTCCAATCACTTCTAGATTGCTGTTTTTATATAGCTGGACCAGTTACGCACTGGACCAGTGCGTAAGATTTAGTTGCATTTAGTGGTGAGATTGTGGATTGCAAAAACTGAAACCCCTTGACTCAACAACATTTGAAGGAGAAACTACGGTGGTCGCGATGATGAACATATCTACAGCCAGTGTTTGGTTTGTCCCTTCTGGGCTACTGTAGAAACATAGCGGTTCAACATGGTGGACTCCATGGAGGAAGACCTGCTCTCACTTTAGATAAAAACATCTAATTCTAAAGTTAAAAAACACACTAGTTCTTATTTTCAGGTTATAATACAATAATGAAAACAAACCTATGAATATTATATTCAATTTCTAACAATAGATCCTCCTAAATGTTACACACTGGCCCTTTAAGCTATTGTAAATGAAAGCCTTCCAGGTAAAGGTAGATTTTAATTTGAAACAATCTGTAAAGTAATAAAAACATAAACTAGACATAAACTAGAAGTGATTAGAATTAATTAGTGAATTAGAAGCATATTTGTAGCTTAAAAGGGCCAGTGTGTAGGATTTAGCAGCATCTAGTGGTGTAGTTGCAGATTGTAACTAACTGAACACAGCTCGCGATTGCATTTGAAGACCTGGGAATGAGAACAGGAATGACCCTTGCAAAAAACGTGAAAGGCCTTATCTAGAGCAAGTATTTGGTTTGTCTATTCTGGAGTTTGGTCCATTAAGACTTTGAAAGAGCATTTGTTGATAAACTGTTGTGTGTGTCAATTAGGTCCCTTCAATGCTCATCTACAGCCAGAGGTCCCAACTAGAAGGAAGAATCATCTGTCCCAAGAAAGGAAGCAGTCTACCAAAAAGCAATATAGGTTTGATTTAAGTCACCAATAATCTCTGTTGGTAGATTTGGATGGGGTTATATTTGTTCTCTTTTGCAAAGTATCAAACAATACATAATAAAATTGCTCAGTAGAGAAGCTTGGAGGACTGCCTCTAGGTTTAGAACCTAACATGTAAACTGCAAATGATTGGAAGATTGAAAAAAAAAATTTTTTTTTAAAATAGAAAACTTAGCTAGAACATACTTAGTGTGAAGTGTAACAACACTTACTCATGATCAATACTACACTTTACTCCGTTGGCTGTGTTGCTGAAGAACTCAAAGTGAACTAATCTGAGAGAACAAAAGCCTGAAACAGCAGTCAGAAGTGGCAGTATCAGTGACCAGTGAAGCAATAACACTATTTACTGTAGAAATGAGTCACAACTTGTACTCTGACTACACTACACAGAGTAAATCTAATATGAGCTGCATGTTAGAGTGATGAATAGTTTTCTTTTGTAATGTAACTGTATGAAACAATACTGATATTTTATTTAGCTCTTTAATTGTAATGCATGTGAGGGGCTTTGTGCTGGTGGTAACACACCCACTGCTGGTAGAATTTGAGGTATTCACCAATTAGCTGAATGTGTAAAGGTAAAAGCTGGCAATGAAAGTGTTATATCAATGGCAGTGCAAAAAAGCAAGCAGCACTATGTCAGCTAACCTTGAAATAAGCTTTGCCTGTCTGTTCTCTGTGTTGTTTCCAGTGGCATGCAAAGAGCATAAAGGTGGAATGACAGGTGCAAAGTGAGGCAGCACAAAGCCAGGTATTACAGGTATTTTGACTTAGAGGCAGAAGCAGTTCTGTTGCAAGATGATACAAGCAGAGAGACCGGTTTGTCAAGTGCTGCTGTTGTAGTTTAGCTATAAACGTTGACAAAGTCTGTCTAGGGAAGAGGTTGTGGTGGGCAAATGGGTTACACACAGGCCTTTCCCCTGGAAAACTGGATTTTGAGTCCCAACCTGGGAGACTGGGAGAGTGTAGTGTGGGAGAGAAACAGGATTTGGGGGTAATAAAATAGATGTGCCCCTGGTCAAAAGGTTGAGTTTATGATAGGAAGAGCCAGGGGGAAGTCACACATCAAAGGATCATTTGGTGAGAGAGACCTGGATTTACAGGAGTAACATTTGCAAGACACACAGGGGGTTTCATTGTTTGTGATGTAATGAGATGCACTGAAATGTATATAAGGGAGAGCATTTTGGAAGTCGGGAGAGAACATCCATGACGTGACCTTCTCTCCATGCAGCATGAATTAAAGTGACTTGATTATCACACCGGCTTGAAAGTTCTTCAGAGACTTAGCACCTCTCACGTTTGGGAAGAATTTCCACGACAGTAGATTTTAGAAACAATGATTAATGGTTAATGTTGACATATCAGGTTTAGGAAACAAGTTTACTTGGTTAGGTTCAGTGAAAGATTGTGGCTTGTCTTTGCCAAAACAGCTATGGTGCAGATTCCATTGTTTGCTACAAACACCTAGGTGCATGTCTCTGCCGTTATAATGTGCTATGATTATTGATATAAGATATGTACTTTATTAATCCCCTATTGGGGAAATTGTTTTTTCACCCGTTTTTATTTTTACAGACAGACAGACAGACAGACAGACAGACAGACAGACAGACAGACAGACAGACAGACAGACAGACAGACAGACAGACAGACAACAGACAGACAACACCACACACACACACACACACACACACACACACACACACACACACACACACACACACACAAACACACAGGCTGAAAAACACACGGCAGTGCACAGGAGGTGAAACTGGCACCTCTCCAGCTACCAGTCCACACTCCGTATTGTGGTCTGTGGGACTTGAACCGGTTCCCAAGCCAAGTCCCTACAGACTGAGCTACTTCCGCCCCTAATGTTATAAAGCATTATGAATATCAGTGTTTATAACTATAATTATACATCACTATCAGCACAGGATAATTTAAGTATGTTAACATGACATACAAAGGCTTACCAGATGAATCAATTAATTAAACAATTCACTTTATTTATGCTGAGGAGTGAAGCATCCTTGCGAAGCAGTTGTTGTGCCTTGGGGTAAATCACCAATCACTCAACTGGACGACATGTAATGAACTGAATGAGAATAATTCTTTGTGCACAGTAAGAGTAGGAGGTAGAAAGTGAGACTGTATGATGGTAAAGACTGCTACTCACCCTCAGAATTCCAGATCAGACGAACAGCCAGGAAATCCTGCAAGTTGTTCAACAGGGTGTATTTTACCCAGAAGTTCTCAAGTGGCCTGACAGCACTGGGACAGGAAGCTGTCATCACCATCCGAGGACGATACAAGCGGATACTGGGCAATGAGTAACAACTAGAGATGTATCTGGAGACAAAGCAAACAGGCATTTTAATTTCCTTTAATTTGTCTTTTTCATCATAATTTTCATAGCAGGAAAAGTACAAATGAAACAAATTATGTTAATGAAGGCTCAGGCTGTCCCAGTGAGACACCATTGAGCATGCACAATGCCAGCACTCGCTTACCTAAATGTAATACATTTGTTTTTAATGTTATCACTGAAACCTGTGCTTTTCCTGCTATGACATGTTCATAAAATCAAAGGGTAACCCTAATCTTACTTGAAATATCTCACAATTACCTTGTGAAAGGCAGTGTTGGAGTGTACCATTGTAGCACAGCCACCAATGGGACTTCCAAACCCTGTAGAAAAATATACAATAAACATATTACGATCATGGGAAATTAGGACATGGTCCTTAATGAAGGAGGGCTAGGGTTAGGGCTTAATGCCTAAGACAATTTCAAGCAGTTTAAGCAAATTACTCTTTTTTTTCTTAAAAGAAGATAGACAATATATTTGTGAACCTGAAGTTTCCAGGTCTTTGGCAATTTAATGGCATAAAATAAGAATACCGTACTGCTTTTTAGTTAATAGCACACAATCATGTTATGTCTTTCTGATCAATGATTGCCAATGGTATAAGACAAAGAATTTAAGAAATAGGGATTGAGTGTCCTTTCAGTGGGCCTCTATCATGTAGATCTTTTCCACCCACGGGGAACTGGCTCTCTTCCATGATGAGGGTTTGTGCATGACGCGCAAAATGACTGAATGAATTGAATGAATTCAAACTGAATGAATTCAAAACACAATCAAACTAGCGTCTTCCTCGGCGCATTATCTATTCCACCTGTCTGTCTCGCTCTTGCGCTTCCTGCTAGAGCGCCCCCTGGAGGACGTTAGCCCGTAAAAATTTATAGATTAGCCGCATCATTGTTTAAGCTGCAGGGTTCAAAGCGTGTGGAAAAAGTAGCGGCTTATAGTCCGGAAATTACGGTAGAAGGTATGTCAGCTCAGTCTATGTAAATGGTAAATGTACTGTACTTATATAGTGCCTGTGTAGTCTTTTGACCACTCAATGCGCTGTACAGTTCCCACATTCATGCACTGATGGCAGTGGCTGGCCATGCAAGGTGCCAACTGCTCACCAGAACAAAAACTAAGCATTCACACACACTCATACACCGATGCACAGCATCGGGAGCAATTTGGGGTTCGGTATCTTGCTCAAGGTTTGAACTGCCAACCTTCCAATTAGTGGATTATCCACTCTACCTCTGAGTCATATGTAAATTTTTAAGGTTAAAATACCCTCTGGTCCCTGCAGTATTTCGAGTGGGCAGACTGTCAAACCAAACTCTATTCTAAAAGCTGGTGTGTAAGGCCATCAAAAAAAAAAAAACTTCAGTTACACCATCGCTAAGACTCTATTGTAATTCTCTTCAATCTACAGATACAATAGGCACACATGTCAGTAACATCATTAACTAACCTGTGAAGTGTTTGTCACAGACATACATATAGTGACTGGCCGGGTTCCTCTCTTTACCATGTTTATCTTATCTGCAAATGGTCTGAAGCCACAGATCGCTCTTTTTTACTGTTCTTCACTCTTTGGAAAAGTGAAGAAAATCGTAAACTGGGATTTTTGTTATTGTTTGATGTGAAAAATGTGAAACAGCAGCTTTTAGGAATGATGCCACTAGTTTTTTTAAGTTTGGCAATGGCCCTTTTACAGAGGTTGCTTTCACCCAAAAGGGGATATGGTCGTTCCTGTTCTCTTCAATGTGCTTGCGTCCAAACCACAGTGGTTTGCAAAGTCAGGATCCCTTAAGGAACAACTAGCAGTGTGACACAGCATTTAAAAAAAAAACATGGACAGCTGCTTCAGAGGGCAGCATAGATGCTGCTAGCATCAACTATAAGGATGTAACAATACACTCACAATATGATTTCTTACAAAAAAAAATTTAAAATGAGATCGAAATCAAATTATAACTTAAAGACTGAAGTCTTTACTTGTCAGACAACATCTACATTTTTCTCTTATGTTTTCTTTATTAAATTAAAGAGTCTATCTAAAGTTTATTACTGAAGTAGGGTATAAACTGCCAAACACTGTATATTTCCTTTTCTTTGTACAAGTGAACTTGATATTTTTCCTAATCAGTTCTATCAGAACTAGAGAGTATTTCTTAATTGGAAGAAGAGCAAATAACAACACTTAAGGCTTTTCTTAATGGAAAAGATGTTTTCACTCTTCTCCCGACTGGCTTACTGGTTTGTTGAACCAATCTGTTCAAGCCTGTGACAGTGATAGACAGATGGTTCATTCAAATCACATTACTGCATCAGTATTTTTTTCAAATATTGCCTGCCCTTTTCGAGTGACAACCTTCCTGATGGTTCTGTGTAATAAACCATCTGGCGCAGTTGGGTTACTTACCTGTAATCTGTATATGAATATATGAATAATTCTGATTTTTTTTTTATTATACAAATAAAAAAACATTACAGGATTAACTGGTGGGGACAGGGAGCCCTTGTCCAATATGTATAATTCAATTCAATTCAATTCAATTCAATTTTATTTGTATAGCACCAATTCATAACAGAAGTTATCTCAGGACACTTTTCAAATAGAGCAGGTCTACCGAACATTATTTACAGAGACCCAACAGTACCACCATGAGCAAGCACTTGGCGACAAGGGCAAGGAAAAACTGCCTGTTAAAAGGCAGAAACCTAGGACAGACCCTTTGGATCTAGGTGGGTGGTCGTCTGTCTCGACCAGTTGGGGTGAGAGAGAGAGAGAGAGAGAGAGAGAGAGAGAGAGAGAGAGAGAGAGAGAGAGAGAGAGAGAGACAGACAGGCAGACAGGTGCACAGCAACAACAGTAGCACCAACTACACTAATAGTCGACAATAAGGCTGGGAGTTCGTGTGTATGGGTGGTTTCCATAGGCCACACAGCACTGCCAAAAAGGAATCTCAATAAAGTAACAAGGTCTTGTTTCTGGGAAATTAGTCTAATCAGTTTTGCATTAGAAAAGTAATCTGATGTTAATAATAATAATTATAGAAATCAACTAATATTTTTATTATGCTGTTTTGCTAATAAAAAATGCACACATTCTTAAATTCAGCTCAATAAAGTGACCAAAATACTTATTTTAAGAAAGTCTATCTTAAATAAATTAGTTTTTATTGCTTGTAAGAAGCACCACTTGCTTAAATTTTTGTTCTTTTTTCTACTTTTAAGGCCTCTTACAGTTACAGCTAGTTTTAATAATTCTAGCCAAGCAAAATTGGCTTACCCCATTTGCAGATTATTTTACTTAATACAAGACATTTTTATTATATTTAATAATATTTAGCTTGTTTCAAGAAGGGCTGGTTTTGCAGTGTGTCAACTGTTTTCATAGGGACTATTTCCTCAATAGAAAGAATTTGCCCTCAGGGGATTCTCCACTGTGTCATTCCATTAGTCTGAAAAACTGAAGTGAACTTAGTGAAATTATCCACTGGAGGGCTGAGGGAGCCAGTCAACAAAAATGCTCACTTCAGCTGTGTATATCACCCACAATGCATTGAAGTTGTGCAATGGTTAGGCAATTTAATGTATGTCAATTTTAGGGAGAATGCACATTTATCATTTCAGGTTACAGAGAAATATTAATGTGTTAATGAGGTAATTTTCTTCCCTATGAAAATCATGGATTAAATTGCTTTTAAGTTTCAGTTTTTTATTAAAATTGTTTGTAAAAAGCAGTATAGCACTGGCGGCCAATTTCTGATAGTTTGGGCTGAAAGTGTACAAGGGCAAGTGATATCCATTTAAATCCCCCGCAGCTACCTCGCCCATTTTCCCTTCACTCTCCTAGTGGCCTTGGTGTGACATATACTGTTACATAATACCAAGTGGAACTACTAATGAAACACAGCTATTGTGTTCTGTGCATATGGACTGTACAGTGACACCGCTTTTGGAACAAGGTGTGCCTAATTTTAATCTAAATGGCCAGATACCACTAAGAAGCAGGATTTATTTATTTAGCTCATTTGGACGAAGTGACCCTTTAAATGAGTGGCAGAGAATTTGTGTGTTTGTGTGCTGAATATATGGTTCACGAAACACAAAATTGGAAATTGGAGGAAACTAGGAAGATGGAAAAATGTACATTCAACGGCTGAAACATTCCATTACTTTGATTTTAACAAACAGAACTGGATTTTAATTGTCAGAAGTCTGAATTTTGGGAAGATGGGAAGCAATTACCAATTTTGTGTGGAGTAGCAGAAAAGTAATATAACTAGTAGTGTAACTAATTACTGTTGACAGGGAACAATAAGTAAAGTAATAACATTACTTTTGAAAAGAGAAACTAGTAGTAAGCAATGAGTAATAAATTACATTGTAACTAGCCCAACACTGGTGATGGCCTTAGCTATTTAAGTCAAACATTCTACATTTGTTTTGTCAAGCATGATACAGTGTCTGAAAGCAGCCAAAAGTGTGAGGGTTGGTGCATGGTACTGAAGAGTTATTTAGTTGTCAGGAGGCGGAGCTCCGGTGGGCTCTGGTCTTAACTATGCACCAAGGTTAGCGCTGCACGATATGGTAAAAAAATATATCATATTGCGATTATCTTGACAGATATTGCAGTATGATTCACAATTAGTGGGAATTATCATTTTTGATTACCAATTAAAATGTTCACAGAGAGAAAAATATTAAAATCATGATGATGTGACATTTGTTGGTGTGTATACAAAACAAACATGTTCTTACATCTGAACAAGATTTGTAAGTCAGGGAATCTACAGTACTTTATTTAATGCCGTTTGTCACATTTTACCTTTATCAATAAACTGCAGCTTCTCTGATTTGGATATTGAACTTGGCCATATTGCGATTTCGATAATAATTTGATTAATTGCACAGCTCTAACCAAGATCACAAAACTTATTTGGGCATAAAACTTAAAGATTCCAACATCTGATTTAGCTCATTTGTATTCACAGTACTGTTCAGTAATGGGATTTTCTTTGTCTTCTCTGATAGTCTCTAATCCAATTGTCAGTCTTTGTCATGTATTCCTCACCTCACTGGAGTCCTTCTCCCCTTTGTCTTCTAGCTGCAGCTGGAACAGGAAGTTCTGTTCCTCCAAGGCGCTGAGCATGCTGGGTAAACGTGATGACTCGCTGTCTATCCGATAAAATGAAGCCATGGTGACCTCAGCTGATTGGTGACTTAAGTGGAAAGTGTAAACAAGAAGTGCTTGTTAGGATGATTTCTTATCACTGGGGCCCTTCGTCTCATATAAGATACTATGGGAAAATGATTTGACATGTTCTGTGTAGATGAGTAACTTTATTGGGGCACATTTTACAGAGTCCTCTACAGCTGTATATTCTCACATTATAACATTCATACTTTAAATCTCAATTATTATTTATTTTAATATCTTACATCATAAATCATTGTTTTGAATTGTTAATTGAATTAAAGCTGCAAGCAGCGTTGAGCAGGACCTCGCACTCCACGCAACTCGGGGCGTGCTGCGGCCGCATCGCTGCCGTTCTTACCCATGCGGACCAAAACATGAAATTTCACGTAAATCAGCTCAAAACTGCCACGCAGTGCTTACTTCCTGTTGCCAGTAGGTGGCGCTATCACTATGTCTTAATATTGTCATGTAGAAAAGTTCAGGGCGGGACTGCTATAACACACGTGAAGTTTCATTGAGATTGGACCACGTACGCTAAAGTTATGAGGACGTGTTCAGGGCGAGGCTGTTACAGAATATATGAAGTTTATTGGAGATTGGACATTGCACACTGAAGTTATGAGTGCTGTTTTATGGCAAATCGGCTGAATTCGACAAGTCGTCACCGGCACGGTCATTTCACGTAACTCAGCTCAAAATCGCCATGCAGCACTTACTTCCTGTTGCCAGTAGGTGGCGCTATCACTATGTCTGAATGTTGTCATGTAGACATGTTCAAGGTGAGAGTTATCAAACACGTGAAGTTTCATTGAGATTGGACCACGTACGCTGAAGTATTATTTTTGTCCTTTTTAAGTGAGCCTCAGGGAGCCATGGGGAAGCATCGTACCAACTTTCATCGTAATCACACATATCGTTGTAGAGATATACACTTCTTAATTTTAAAGAGCGCCACCTAGTGGCGATGGCCTGAAATTGTGCACGATGCTTAAGGAAGACATGTGGAACTATGGACCCAAGTTTGGTGTCAATCGGACATACCAATGTGGAGAAATGGTCCACTTCCTTTTTTGACGAAAAATCAACAGGAAGTGCTAATTTTATAGCGTGCTTATTGTTTGAAATTTCAAAAATGTTCAAATTACTTTTTTTGCCAGGGCGGTCCCCAGGTGCTAGGTGAAAAATTTTGTGCGAATCGGACAAAGCGTGTAGGAGGAACACGAAAAAGTAGTTTAAGGACATTTCGCGCTCTAACGAAAAAAAATTATAGGCGGAAGTGGGCGGGGCCTATATAGGAAGATACAGCTCCATTCACCGAAAGCGTGGATATAAGGTTTTTGAATGTACGATAAACTATGCAGAAGTTATTAGCCTAAACGCATTTTTTATGATAGTAGCGCCACCTAGTGGCCAACCTGAAAGCGATGCATAGAATATCCCCATTTTCACCAGGCCTGACAACTTTGCCAAATAAAATTGAGTTTTCGTATATGTTCAGGGGTGCAAAAATGCAGTCAAAGGGGGCTAAAAATAATAATAATAGGTAAGAAGAAGAAATCGAGCAAATACAATAGGGACCTTGCCGGTCGCTGGCTCGGTCCCTAACTAAATCTAAATGTAATTTCTGCAACACATCTTCACTGCAGCAGTTTTAGGTATAAAGACCTTGTATGCCATTCCACATATGTAAAATTAAATGTTCCAGACTAAAATTTTAAATAATATATGCAATGTTGTGTACTTCTATGCATTAAAGATGGTTAAAATTCTGATTCATAGAGGCAGATTTTTTTATTTTTATTTAAGAGAGTCAAAAGTGACCGTAGTTGCAGAAACAGCCTTGTATACTTTTACATGTTAACTTTAACCTTAACGCTAACCATGCTAATTTTTTGTCAGAGTTGCGAACATGTACTTACCAGACATTGTCGACTATGAGAACTGAACCATCTGGCATCATTGGGAGGTAGGATGAGTTATAGTTGGGAAGGATCTTCATATCTCTGAGACACACCTCGTCCTGAGAGCTACAGTTCAACACTGAGGAAAGAGAGGAGTAGAAAAAGGTTTGCAAAACTCATTACTCATCAGTGACCAGTCATGTTGTGGAGATAAAGCATCAGCATTTAAGTGGTGTGTCACCCTTTACTAAAAATGTTGTATGATGTACAAAAAGGACTATAATTATCTATTTGACAGTGCCACCGTATTTCATTCTTATAGGGGAGAGCGGGGTAAGATGAGCCATTTTTTAATATTTAGGATCACTACATCAAGGCAATCATAGTTTTGTCGCTAACTAATATATCTGCATATATTTCAGGATGTTGTGCATCCCTTCAAACAAACAGAATGAGTGTAAACAAAAAAAGTGGTCTCGTGGGAGGAGCTGGGTAAGGAGCTGGGTAAGTTGAGCCATATACCTATTTGGTCACATGACACACAATGTCACAATGTTTTTTACCATTTCCTAGCAACAAGGGGTGGCTCAACTTACCCTTTGGCTCAACTTACCCCACTCTCCCCTACTGGACAGAAACTTCCAGTTGAGTGTCTGAGAAGACAAACTCATTTCAAAGTAAATTCACAGGCTGGCTCAGAGTAGAGATAGAGTGAGCGGGAGTAGAGGGGTTTGTTGCACCTGTTGGGGTGGGACAACAGATTTTTTAATTGGTTTGAGGAATTTATTGCGTAACTTTCTGAATAAACATACGTGTGTGTGTGTGTGTGTGGTTAGTGAGTGTGTGTGATAAGTGAGTGTGTGTGAGAGAGAGAGAGAGAGAGAGAGAGAGAGAGAGAGAGAGAGAGAGAGAGAGAGAGAGAGAGAGCGCTGCGGGTCTACCTTTGAGGACAGTTAGGTGTTTTCCAGAAACAGTCATCTGCTGACATTGGACACCGGGAGGAGGAAGAACATTCAGGAGTGTGCTGACTGAGAATGGAAACCAGACACCGTTAAAGCCAGAAACTTTACAACACGACATTACATTAAATCTATAATCCATTTGGACTGATTTTGTGTGCCATTCCACAGAATTCTGTAGTCCTAAAAAACCTGGTAAGTTACAAGTCTTCGAACTCTTTGGTGTTGAGAGAAACATGGTGTGAGTACCCTGTGCCTTGAAGGTGCTGAGGTCCTGTCTGAAGGTGTGTGTTGGACTCCTGAGCTGCAGAAGAGTCAGATAGCCATGTTCCCTCACCGCCACCTTGTCCTCCTCCTGACTCCACACAGTCACAATGATCTGACGTCACAGAGAGGCAGACAAACGCGGGACCAGACAGTTCACAAACAGGGTCTTAGCTTTGTACTTTTGTCCATCATTTCAATGTTATTTTACAGTTCACATTTGTTGTCTCCTTGCCAAATAAGTTAGTCTGATGTCAGGGTTTGTTTCCAACTTGTCTGATTGTCTAACTGCTTGTGTGTCTTGACCTTGCCAGATTTGTCACCGTGATCTAGAGTATGAGCTCTTATCCTCTGGTAGACTTCCAAAAGCAAACTTTTAAAAACCTCTTCAACCCTACCTTGTCTAAAATTTTAAATAATGCTGCTTGAGGCTGCAGGGATTACGCAATAGATTAATAGTGTTCTTATCACTGGTTATGTAAGATGTGCAATAAGTGTAAAAGGTTATGTGCAGTATGTATAGTTTTTGGTTGGGAGTTGGTACAGAATGTGCTGTTTTGCTTATGTTCTCCATTATTACACATGGAGGCAGCTATACGAGTGCAGGATTTGGGTCCAAGTCAAACTTTCCTACAGGGACAACAAAAGTATATTGTGTCATATCATATTGTATCAAATTGCATTGTATCGCATCATATCATGCTGTGTTCTGTCATATCGTATCATATCGTATTGCATCTTATTGTATTATATTATATCGTGGCACATGCCATTTTTGAAATATAGTTTATAAAACAGGAATGTGAATGTCTGTAATTCAAGTTAATTTAATACCAGATAAATCAAGGTAATTCATACATTAAGGGGAACAATATTGTAAATCCAACAATGCCATAAAACAGTCCTGCTGCTCACTAATGTGCAACATTGCCCCTAATAGTCTCATACAACCAGAAATATCAAAGGAATAGCTACCACAGGATAAACACAACGGCTGACAAATGTATACTGTCTCACAGTAATATCCAGTTTGCATTGTTGCAGGTGTGTCTGACCTTGACTTTGAGTGTGTTGACCGGCAGCTTGTCCAAAGAGACAGTGAGACTAAAGATAACCTGATCATCCAACACCAGAGCAGACTGCAAAAGGATAAGCAGAGGGCAACATGTTAAACATTAAAGGCAGTGTTTGTTTTGGGGACAACATGTGAAATAAATTAGCAGCCATCATCAACAAGAGTAATAGAGCTGTAAATTACAATTATAAAGTCATTGTTCAATAATTAACTAATAATTTTCAATTAATTGTTCAGTTTATAAAATGATTGAAAAATGCCAGTGAGGTCCAAACAGATAAAAAAGAAAGAAAGCTTGAAATCATTTATACATAAAAAAGAAAAGCAAACAAAACATTCACATTTTTTAAAATATAAATGGTAAAAGAACTGTACTTATACAGCGCCTTTCTAGTCTTTCGACCACTCAATGCGCTGTATACTACATGCCACACTCACCCCATTCACACACATTCACACACTGACTGCAGTGGCTGCCATGCAAGGTGCCAACTGCTCACCAGAATGGAAACTAATCATTCATACACACTCATACACGGATACACAGCATCGGGAGCAATTTGGGTTTCAGTGTCTTGCTCGAGGATACTTCGACAACCTTCTCGATTAGTGGAGGACCTGCTCTACCTCTGAGCCACAGCCACCAACATCTGAACCAGTAAACTTTAACATGTTTGTCTAATAAATAACTTTAATGGTTAATTGATTATCGATATGAAACAGTACTGCTAAAGCACATTGTACAAGATTACACTATACCAGAAAAAAAGCCTTATTTTATAGTGCAAAAACAAAATCCATGTAACAAAATATTATTATGTTAAGTAATTACAGGGGCTATATGAAAATAATAATATTAATAATAATAAATAAAAGTGAAATAAGCATAGATAGATAGAAATGGGGGACATTGTTATATAAGTACATTTTAAATATTTAATTCAACAGACACAATTTGGCTGTTACCCAATAAGTATTGAAATGATGTACCCAGCCATTTACAGACTGGTATCATCTGTGATGCCTTCGGCAGCTGGGGATCTCCTCCCTGTCTGAAACCTGGCCGGCAAACAGGTGGAGCCCAGAGCTGGTTTAAAGCCCCTGAAGATATGACTGCACTGTCAAGTCTGAACACATCTGGAGCGCAAAGATTACTGCAACAGGCAGACGGAAGGCTGCAGGCGCTTGTGTCAGACAGAATCAAATGTAACAGAAGAATAAAGGGCACGTTCAGTGTAGAAAGGACATGTATAAATGTCAGTGGTTTGGTTTCTCATCAACTCAGGAAATAGTATGAAGGTTACTTCCTATTATAGTGCAGGTGGTGATGAGTCAGTTTAAAGGTTACAGTTATCCTAAATGCCCTCCAAAACATTGTCATTGTTTTTGCCTTGAATTCAGACTTTATTGGATAGTAAATACAGTGTAAAGAAAGGGGAATCCCCTTTCTATTAGAAATTCTCTAGGCTCTGACTGGTTGTTTTCATTCAGGCCCAAAGGATTCTTGCAAATACCATTAGGAGCACCACAACAAGGCAGAGGAAACAGATTGTTTCACAGGACATCTCTCTCATGTACTACTGTCTGGGTTAAAGTTTGAGCAAATACGACAAAAAGTTATATTTATGAAAGTGACCTATTGCAGCTTTAATAATGACTAAATAGTTATTAGTATTAGTATTGGTCTTTGATAATAAATAAATAAATAAATGAATAGGGGTCAAACGTTGATATCAGTATTGGTCTTAAAAATGAAGCTAATTCTGACCATGAGTGATTGCATGTGTGCATGCAGTCTTACCCTAATATTTTTAGATAAGTTACCTACTGCAGCTTTAACTACTGATTTTTCTTACCTTTACCGGTTCTCTCCCACACTTTCGCCCATCACTGGCGGAGTTGTTGTGAACTAGAAGCGGGCTGCACTGTCTGAAGGTCCGGTTGTTATCCGGTCTTCCGCGGTCGTCTGTGGTTCCAAACTCCCTCTCTCCGGGCTCCTCTTCCCCGTCCTCGCTGCAGCTGCTTTGGAGGTCAGGCTGGTACTCACGAGGCCTCTGCTGCCGGCTCTCGGCGACGCACACACTCGCCTGAGCTGACAAGAAACCCGCCAGATCCTTCAAAGGCAAAACACCGGAGCTGTCATCCCTCCCCGCTGCGTTCCGGGACCGCAGAACCAACAGGAACTGGACGCTCTCCCCGAGGTAGACGTGTTTTCGCCGCGGAAGAGTTGTGTACTCTGTCGGGTCTAACAGAGTCGATATTGGAGCGGAAGGAAAGTACATCAAATACTCGCATTGTGATTCCATCATTACAACCACAAAGAAACTAACAGCTAATACGCCGTTAACCACCAGCTGCAGTGTAAACAAACCGAGGCGCATGTATGGTAAAAAAAAAATACCCGGATGTCAGTGTGTAAAGCAGTCTAATACATTTAACATCGTAAAAGGCATAATTTTAATAATAAGTCACTCTCAAGCTGTACATATCCATCGTCGCTGATTAACTTCCGTTCACAAGTAGAAATACAAATAACAGGATTGCTAGTTGATGCCCGACAAACAGCTTTCACCAGACCACACTAATCAATGACCGGGAAGCAGAACACATAGCCAAGCTTCAACTTTCTGCATAACCAACCAAAGTACTGAGAACAGGGCAGAGACAGAAGACAACGGAGCCCCCCTAACAGACATGGGGAAGGGAAAAAGTCGGGGGGGAATTAACGAGTGAAGAAAAAAACACAGGATGGGAGAAAAAAACAGGAAAAGTTTAGAAATGTTTGGATATTCATAGATTCTCGAACTTTATGGAAAAAATACATCAGACACACATTATCGTTAAAGCTGACTATCTGTATGTGCCACAATAAATGTCTGGAGGTGATCTTTAATAAATAATAAATAAAGGTTAAACAAGTGGCATTGTGATATTACCATGGCCACAGCCAGCTATGAGTTTACCAAGATCCGGACCTTGTTAATTATTTCCTGATAAAATCTTCTAAGGATTCTTCTTCTCAACAGGGAGTTGAAATCGTCTGTTTCAAACCACTATGTGTCCTGGCAGCTGAAAAGCTCTATATGTAACGAGTTGCGCACATCGAGTACAGTCTTGTCATTCTGTTGACTCCGTTTTTTAAGGGGGCTCTGCTTTTAAAATCCTGGCTATGGCCCTGGATATTATCAGTAGTGGAAATAGAACTCACATTCTTTACTTTTACTAACTACTACAAGGACGGGTAATACTGCAATGTAAAAATACTATACTAACTTAAAGTCTTGCGTTAAAACATTGTTACTGAAGAAGAACAATCAGATAAATGCACTTACAGAATCAAATGTAAAAGTGGTAATTATGAGCAATGGTCTTTTTTATAGTGTTATTATGCATATGATATCATTAGATTGTTGTTACTGATGCTAGGTACTGATACATCTAAGCAGAATTTAATGTTGCAACTGATCAAGGTGAAGCTAATTGAACTAATTATATATTATACATCAGTTCATAAACTGTTGGGCAATTTACTTCACAAGACCAGTAAAGATAGTAAAATTGAATTGAAATCTTATATATATAGTGTCAATGATTTGATTATTTGATGATAAACATTTCAGGAGGGGTATTTACCAATCTCAGGATAGCGTACAGTTACAACTAAAATATGGTGAGAAATCAAAGGGTACAATATACTGTATGTAAGAAAGCCATCTATCCTCTGGATGCACTTGATCTGTAGTTTGTGCTTGTACAGTTTTTGTGAGGCTGTGATTACCCTAGAGGTCACAAAGGTTAATTTTATAGAATGAGGTTAAATTAAAAAAAAATTTGACATCATCATACACGAATACAATTGACTCCACGTGAGTCTCAGCTTTCCATTTATATTCAATTTATTTAATTCCAATACTGATTATGGACCCCAGTATACAGAAATATTAAAATACACTAGGTGAAAATAACCATAATATGCAAGAAGCTTCATGGAATTAGCAGAAAGTGGGCATGTTGGTAAAGTGGGGACTCGTGGGTATCTATAGAAACAATTTTATGCAGAGTGGGGTGGCACTGGCCACCCCCGAAATCTGACTGGCCCCTAGAGCCACCCCATTATCCTTACCTCTTCCACTCCACACAGTCTTTCAGAGGATGTAGCAGACTCCATTTTAATGCTAGATATAAGATACTAGTATCATAAAACTAGACAACCTGACACATCCATTGGTACCTACCATGCTAGCATGTCAGGATAATGCTCCAGAAAAACCCGACATTTTTTAAACTAGTATGACATGGTTGGTACCAATAGATGCGCAAGTTTCATATATACCGGAATCTTCACTCTAATTTTAAAAGCCACTACAGCCTCTGAAAGACAGTAATGTTGGCCACAGCAAATGTCATTAGTTATTTTTATAAAAGTTGCCTACCGCAACTTTAAAGGTCCAGTGTGTAACGTTTAGAACTTACGACTTACATGTGCACTGCGTTTCATGAGTTTTTGAGCATGGGAAAGCCTCCAAAAATGCGATTCATTTGTTACTAAAATAATAATAATCCTTACAGATACAATAGATACAATACAATAAATATCCATAAAATATATGTCACTCAGTTTACTGAATGATAGAAAAGGGGTCCCTTAAGATAAAAGGTTAGGAACCACTGAATCAACATGTAAAAACGAAGGAGACGTGTTAGTGAAGATAAAGAACTGTTGCTTTTATTCAGTACAAGAAAAAAACAACTCAATGGATGCACACACAGATCTACTACACATACCAACAAAAATATGCTGTTTCATCTAAGATCCAAGCCAGAGTACACTGCTCTTTTCTGAATGGTCTCCTGCCTTTCTAGTTCAGTCAAATCTGCAACAGCTTGAAGGAATATCAGATCAATAAAGTACTTCCTGTCAGTAATAACCCGGACAGAGATGGAAGCTGTTCAAATGAAGTGTGTGTGTGATAAAAGATGAGTCACACTGTGTACCAGAGCTTCTGCTCATTGAGGTTTGACACAGCTTTTATTCTTACATATAACACACTATGTAACATACAACATGTTCACGTATGAAAACCTTAATACTAGTAACAAGCTAAAAAAGTCACAGTACCATATCAGTAAAACATTTTAAGCAGATTTCTCCTGGAAGAATAACAACAAAACTTTGACAATATGTGGGAAGACAGGCATGAAAATAAAGCACAGTTTTCCTTTTTACTTTATACACCTATCAGCAGAGAGTGTGACTGTGTAACTGGGAGTGCACATAGATATTAACCACACGTGTGTACACAGTGTTACGGAACCATATTGTACTCACCAATGAAAAACATCATTAGAGACCCTTTCTCGTAGTAATGACCTTTGTGTCTTTAACTGGAACATAGCATCTCATAATTACAAGAGAATATTTAATAATTAAGAGAAAATTTATCATAATTGTAAGATCAGTATCTCTCAATTACAAGTAAAAGATTTTATATTTATGAGTTAATTGAAACCTCAATTACAAGAGAAAATTAGATAATTATGTGACTCCTGATCATTTTTATCTTATCTGGAGATCAACGTGTAATTATTTTGTCAACATGTTTTTTTTTCATGATTAATGAAACCTTTATTCTTAAGTTAATAAAATCAAATGTTTTTTTGTGCTAATATTTTCCATATGTCCATCCGATATTGTGATTTAATGCTTGTCATTATTTTGAGAAATCAAACTATTTTCCCTTGATCATAACATAATTATATCATTATATCTTGAAATAAGTTAATCATTATGGTCATATTAATATTTCTGCTATGTTGCTATGTGTAGACCTACTCTTTATCTCTTCAGTCATGAATGCTGATACCTATGCTGCAAGAGAGAGGCCTCAGGAACATGGTTTAATCAATATATTTGGCTACGTTCACACTGCAAGCCTTAGCACTCAATGTTTGTTTGTTTGGCAATTCACTATTTTTTTTTAAATCTTTCCCATATCAGATTCCAGTGTGAACAGGTCATAGTCAGTCTAGAGTGATGATCTGAGTCACAAAGTACAGACTGAACGTGGCCAAAATCACATGAAATGGTCAAATGAATGTTCAATGTGATGAATTGTTTCACTACATTACAGGAGGCTGTTTTTTAATTACAATCTGCTGAATTTTTAAATTCTGTTAAACATGGCCATATAATCATGCTATGATCCCAGTGAAATCAATACACGATAATGCTGAAATATGGTCCAGCCATAAGTGTGGAATTTGTCATCAGTGTTTCAACACTAACTGAACATATGGAGTGTGTGCAGATCTGAGGTTTTCTCATCAACATAAATAGTGAATTCCATCATTCAGTGACAGACATTCCTCCCTGCAGCACCACTAACCTCCACAACAAACCCTGATAAATACAGTATGTACAAATGGCAATTAGAATAATATATACAGAAAGACATTGTTTTAAACCCTGGCATGTAATATAACATCTCATGACAGCATCAAACAAATCCTGTTGTGTTTCTATTACTGCAACTGTTTTGTGCCTTAGTGTTTCTCCTATAGTTCATTTAACAATGGTGGACCAGAACGGCAAACATCTATTAGATTTAGTCCAGTTCTTCACTTTAATACCAGCATATGGAGTTTATATCATCACAACAAAATGATGGCATTGAAGCAAATCAAATCCCTTCCTTCAGATAAACATACTGATAACTTAGCAGTTCCTGGAGCCAAATTTGTCCTGATGGTGGCACTAGAGGTGTGGTCATTTAAATCAGTCTTTCTTAAATGGGGGTACCCCTAGGGGTACTTTGGAGTACTGCAGGGCTTATGTGAGAGGGAGTTTTTTAAATGCTAATCGAAAAATATGAGCCATGCATAATTCCTTAAGTAATTGTACTACAATACGTTCAATAAGACTTTTAAATGTCTGCACTGAGATTTCTGCAGAAGACAGGTCTTGATTTGTCTAAAATCATATCGGGTGGCTCCAAATTTTTTTATCTTGGGCTAAAGCAACACTAGCAATCCTACATTTACGCTTTTGTTTTGTAGATGACCACAAGAGACACATTTTTTGTTTTGTTTTACGATATAGAAAATCTAAATTAAAATTTTAAAAATTTTGCTCATCCCTTCTTGACCATGAAAAAGAAACAGCCTTGTATTTCAATTAAAATTTTTGTATTTTAACATGAAAATCAAATAATTACATAACCAAAAGATGCAAAGAAATACAAATACTCTGGCCAAGAATGGTCCCTTCCATTGAGGTCAATACATACATCTATACTATATATAAAGGGGACCATTGCGTTCAATACTATTGCTGTAATACACTTTCCTGCCACTAATGGCAGCACTAAGCACACTGCTGCTAGCACTCCCTGAGAGAAAGGAAGAAATCCTGCTGCTGCATTTATGATTGGACATGGTTTGTACTTTAACAGAAGAGACTTCTACTGTCTCTATTGGCTCAGAGTCATACATCCCCTGTCACATTTTATTGAGTGACTAAAATGGTGTTGTAGGAGATAGCCATGCAGGACTGTGATACACAGTGTGACATCTTGGATCAGGGCTAAGTATTGGTCTGGCACACTTTTGCATACAAAGATCACTGTAAATAAGGATTATGTAACTGACGCAAACTTAAAATGTCTAGTGCTAGTTTCAGATTAAAGTCAAGTAAATATTAGCCAATGTTTGCCTGGAAGGGGGGGAAATTGGCCCTTTCTTTTTAAACCTTAGGGTTTCTTTATCATCCATTTGACTGTAAAAGCTGATTGGAAATATCCTTTTCACCAGAGGAAACAAAGGAGGTAGCCATTCAGACACAACACAGTACACCCAACACCCCCAGGAGGCTGACTGCTGTAAGGTGACACCAATCTTTGCACAGAATGGAGAATGCACTCTGCTGTTCTCTGAAAGAACTCTTTGCTTGGGACTATGAGTCTCAATCAGTCAAATGTTCAGTGCTGGATCTTTTATAGAGACACAATCAGAGCTCCAACACACTTTGTTTCCAGACCTCCCTTCCATAAATCCACGTTGATCACCCTGTGCATACAGTATACTCCCTTGGCAGTATACCAGCTGACCAAGCTCCTCCAAAACAGGACAATTCATTCTAATATAATTCAGTCCACCTACCAGGCTCCCTTCATGTAAAATATTTAACTCTAAATATCATTCTCAAATGACTCGATTGCATGGCTGTGAAAAAAATTAGTCCATTGCACTACAGGTTGCAGTTCTTCATTGTCATAGGAAAGACTGTGGTGATGGTATGGTGGTAGCAGCAGCAGACTGATGTCTCACTCTGACGTGCACTGACTGTTCTACCCAGTCCCCAGTCTCACAGCAGCTAGCCAGATGCTCGCATTGGTTTTGCACGTATGCTCTGTACCACATGACAGCCAGGCTTATATGATCAAAGTCAGTCACCACAAAACATGAAGAGGTTTTACTTGATTGTAAGTAAATGCTGTAAGCCTGAAGTATTATTCACTTTGCTTTGGGAACCATAGACTCTCTTCAGAGCCTCCCTATACCCCTCAGATGTACTATTCTGTTCTAGAGTTGGGAATATGATCTAGCATAGGTAACAGAATGAAAGTGGATTGTTAATCGCTATTGTGTTCTAAGACTCATACAATGCAACCACTGTGTCCCCAGTTTGAGCACATAATTAGTGACACTGCTGTCTGCCAGTGTCAAAATGTTATCTGCATAAAATCAGTTTATTCCTCACAGCTGTGTAAACATGGAACTCCACCCACTCCTAGCATTGTTGTGTGCTCACAGATCTAAAATGCAGTTGCATCCAGTACAATTTTGAGGCTCACTAATGTGTTTTTGGACAACCGCAAATGCTGTCGAGAAAAACCAGTCAGACAATGTCAGTAAGACACACAGAAATTCTGCCCTCCACAAAAGCAAAGTCAGATTTTACCGGAGTCCCAACTCATTCATGTGAACATGCCAAAAGGTGTGTTGAGTGACCAGGGACAGGTGCCCAGATGTTTTGAACTGCACAAAGCAGTACAACCAAAAAGTGACAGGTGATATGATCAGATTTTTTTTGGGGCCTTTTATTGCCTTTATTGGATAGTGACAGCCAATGATAGACAGGAGATGTGGGCAGAGAGAGAGGGGATGACACGCAGCAAAGGGCCACAGGTCAAATTCGGGCTCGGGCCGCTGCAGCAACTCTGTACATGGGTCGCCAGTGCTACCGACTGAGCTAACCGGGCGCCCATAAGTATTACCTATTTTGTTGGTTGTTTTTAGATGCATTACTTCTATTTGGATTTTAATTTTCAGTTGATCAATTTTATTTTTATTATTTTAAGTGGGTCCTGAGCATGTGCTACTATTAGTGTTAGAAATGTAGTGACAGTGTGTCTTTATGTTGTCTGACCTTTCTGACCTGTCACTATGCATTATCGAAACTGGTTTCAGTCTTGGTGTGACTTAAGTTATCTAATCTGATATAATATCAGTTAAAGGTCCAGTGTGTAACATTTAGAAGGGTCTATTGGCAGAAATGTATAATCACCTAAAAATAACAATAGTTTTTTCGTTACCTTAGAATGAGCCGTTTTTATCTCTGAGTCCGCCATGTTGAACCGCCATGTTTCTACAGTAGCCCAGAACAGACAACCCAAACACTGGCTTAAGATAGAGCCTTTTGCAGCCACCACGCTACATGCTTGAAAGGGGAGGGTGAGGTGAGTTGGTTGCCATCTGAGACTTCAAGATCTGGCCCCATGGGTCACCAAAACCCTACATTTAGTGGCCAGAGTACATTTTTGGTGGCCCAGATGTAAACTTATCTGAAAACAAGTTGAGGCCAGTTGAGGAAACTGGTGGCACACACCACAGTACATTATGTCAACATATTCTGGTCACTTACACTCCTGCCTCAATTCACCCCTACATTTAAGTGTTGATTTTAGGCTTAGTAAACCCATACTTCAGTAGCCCCCAACATATTGGCAATGAGATTGCAAAGGAATTTGAGGAACTGAAACGTTGCACTGGTGAAAGTTTGCAGTATGGATAAAAGTCGGTGGCTACCTACATGTAATATTTGGTGGCAACAGAGCAACTCTTTGTGGCCACGGTCCATTGGGCATGGTTATTATTAAACCCTGAGATGCCGCTAAATCCTACACACTGGTCCTTTAATCTGAAACAGGAAGAGTTTAAAGACCCTGTCTCACAGAGGATCCTAAAATTCCCCAAATACCTGCTGACCCATTGTTCAGGAGGAACTGTTGAGTTGAGAACATTATTGCACATTATAAAAAATCAGGGAGTGCATTTTTAAGATGCAGCTGCTTTGAAATATATTTTGGCCCCCACACTGATATGATTTTCACTTTTAACCCCTGACATCAAGACAAAGAAATGTATCTCTGCATATGTCAGACAGATGGATACATTCCATCTACTATAGAAGATAGTGGAAGGAAGGAATGTGCCCAAATGCTGACATTAACCAGGCTCCTGTGGGCTGGTGAGTATCAAGCAGCTCAAGACAGGAGCACAGCAATCAGATAATTTTCCCTTGTATTATCAAGAGATATTTAGGAAGCTGTTCAGGTTAGTGGTTCGAGGCGAGGCTCAATACTGATTCTGTATCCAAGAGCGAAATAGAAGGTTTATCCTAATTATTTTACTGTTTTTTACTGATATACAGACGATATCAGTAAAGGAACATTAGTGCTGTATACATACTCTAACACCAGTTTTTGTCTCTCATGTATTACCATTGCTTCAAAGTCACAGATCTAAGCATGTGTTTTCATGAAAAATATTTAACAATCATTGAAAAACACAGAAGGTGGTTTAACAGCATTTAGAATCATCATAAAGTCTCTTCTAGCCATGAATGAAAAAAAATCCATTCACTGAACAATAAGAATAATTTTTAAACCCATTTTTCAAGTGGATCCCAGTGGAAAGAAATGACATATCTCCTATTTCATTTTGTACATTACTGTACATTTACTGTATGTTGTACTAAAACAGAAAACACTAATTGAAAGGAACAGCAGAGTATGACTGAAAATAAATGTTTTTTTGTATATACAACATTTCCAGCTACCATCTTTGTTTTGATGGAAAAATAGAGTTAAAATATTGTACAATATTGTAAATGTATTTGTCAAAGATCACAAGGCCTTTATCTTTTTGAAAAAAAAGATAGCTCAGTCACTGTATCAATTCACAAAAACACTGTACTGGTTTTTATATTTAAACCTCCAACCGCTAGATAGCAGTGTTGTAAACTGAGGGCTTTGATTTTGGATGTTACATGGACTGTGATAAATACAAATGCCGATCTCAATAACGCCTTGCTTACCAGATTCTTGCCAATACACAGCCCTAATGGTAACACATGAGAGGGAAAAACTGCGGCTGTATGTACCTTTACATTGAGAACTTTCAAGCATGTGCACCAAGATCAATGGGGAAAATTGGAACACTTAAAAGTATTAATATGAACAGGAAATAAAACAGTCTTCCCCGTCTCTGCTATAACATATCATGTCCCATTTGTGATAAACAGCAGCAGAAAGCCTTGCAAATACTTTAAGAGTGCTTCTCCTTATAAAAAACAAAGTGGTCCTTTCACTCTCCGTTGAGACAAAACATACAATTCTCCTTCAGCTTGTTACTGTAGCCATAAAAGTCCACAAGAGTTACACTAACTAAAAGCAAATTACAGCTTTTAAGAAAACAAGCAAATGACCAAAAAGTGGAAGTGCAAAGGAGGACCTTTTGTTTTCTCATGTGTAAACCACAGTCGGCTCAGTTTTGAGTGTCATTAGTCCATCTGACCCTAAGACCAAAGGTACTGTATTTAGGAGTGACACTTACCGCAGACTATCTCAACTTGCTTTTTCTTGCCCTCGCATCAAAGTCTGGTTGCTCCTGATTAAACGGCTTCCATCCCAGTCTCTCTCCCCCTCCTCCACTGTCCTCCCCCCCAGCCTCCCCCCCCACCAGCCTATCTCCTGTCCTGGACAAGTCTTGTCTTAAAAAAGAGCCACCAGCTGCTACCATCAGGCCCTGGCTCTGTTGCCCTGGCTGGGCTTGGACGGCCGGAGCCCGTGGGAACTGTTTAGCATCCAGCACATCTTTGTACTGAATCTCAGGCCTGATCATCCTCAGACAGGCTGTCCTGGTGGCATTGTCCAACCCTGGCTGGAGCTCATAGCCAAGAATCTTGATTAATCCACTCTGGAACGGGCGGATGTTTTTGTCTCGGATCCGGTGTGCCTCCACAGGCTTCCCACCATCCCTAAGACAAACCCGGGCCAGATCTTCCCGCCGTATCCTGAGAAGAGCTACCTCCTGCTCCATCTGGGCATGACCAAACCTGTCAATTTCCTCCCAGAAGGTCTGGTTGAAGGCTTTGTATAAGTACCAGTCTAAGGCATTCCACTGACGCAGCTTCTCCCGCTGCTCCTCTGTTAGTGCTAGATTGGGCAGTGTCTTTGCTTGAGAACGTCCCCCTCTACCACCAACACCTGCTGCTGCTGCAGCTTTGCCCACCCAGCTACCACTTATCCCACCAATGCCACTGGGCTTCTGCTGCCGAGCGTTGAGGCTGAATGAGACGACAGCATCCAGCGGCCAGCAGAGGGCGTGTCTCAGCAGGATCATAGACTGGTCAAAGTACTCAGACACTAAAATCAGCTTGAAGGCCTGGCGGATCATGGCCTGGCCATGTTGGGCCAGTGCCACTGAGAAATTAGCATTGTGGTCCATGCCAAAGTCAAACCAAAGCAGATTGCGAGCATAGTGGTTGTTGCGGAGACGTGGGTCGTAGTATTTCTTAGGGTCATCAGCAAAGTCACCCAAGCCTTTGGTTTTCCTAAAGGCAGGTGCTACCTCTTTGTAATAAGCAAAGGAGGACTCAGCCAGAGCGACCGGATCCCTGATGATAGAGAAGTAGAATGTGTCGGCAGGCATCACCTTCTCCACCTATTAAACAGAGGAGGAAAACAAATAAATGTGCCCTTAATGTGATGAATATCATCATATTGATGGTACATATATATGATTCCAATGAATATATATTACACACATACTTAATAGCTATGTAAAGAGGGATTCTTATACATTGTATAGCTATACAAAATGTGATTATTTTGGTTTCTCCTGGCATTTTTAGATGCAAAGCCTGCAAAACTGTAGGTGAAACTTCACTCACTCACAGGTTCACGTGCAGTCACAAGATTCTAATGACATACAACATTAAGAATGAGACAGGAAGATGGAAAGATGAAAGTACTGCGCTACTTTTTGATTACTCATTGTATCATCCCAGTCAGCGTGTGTGAAATCTGGAATTGCCAGTTCATTCTTAAATTAGTGGCCTTTGACCTTTTCATTGTCCAACCAAATGTGAAATATGATAATCAATTCTTGAGTTAGTAGACAAAAAACACTGACATATAAAAGATGGACCCAATGTACAAAAATGAATCAAGGTCCTGCCCATATGCCCCGGCTAACTCAATCATGGCTCAACTGTCATGACGTGAAACCCCCTTTTTATAGCTTTACATAACTAACTAAAACCAAACTTAACAAAAAAAACCTTGAACATACAGCAGCGTGATAAGAACTAACTAAAATGTCCCATCTGCTAACATGAAAGCAGCAACCTTTATGAGCTATTCTGCAAACAGCCACCAGGGAGCTTAGAGATGTTTTGGCTCCATCTTTATATATGTCGACGACAAAAACGTGTTTTATAAAGTCACCTCTGACCACTAAAATCGAATCAGTTCAAACACTCACCAAGCAAATACACTTATATCCCATTATCATCATTTATCTATGTCATTTTATTTTCTCCTCTCCTCTTCTCAATATCTCACCTCCAGCTTATTAAATCTCATGTGATTGCCCATGATGTGGAACTCCACAGCCCTGGGACCTCTGTAACCTTTGACCCTGTGAGCATTGAAGGGCAGCGGGTAGCCCAGCTGGTAGCCCAGTGGCAGTGCGAAGCAGAGGTTGCGCTCTTCTCCAAAGCGGTACAGCATATTGAGCACGGTGCTGCTAGCCGTCTTGTGGGTCTTGAGGAACATGATGTGAGTATGAGGCTGACAGGAGCCCAGAGATGGTCCCTGAGCATCAGGGGACGAGAAGATGGAGCGAGCAGCTGGCTGGACACTGCTGGAAGACATAAAGGGAAGGGAGTCTTTTTACTTTAGATCATATTTCAAGCTTGTTTTTAGAGAAGAAAATCTCTACAATACTATCTGCTCAGCAGCAAACAAGAGACAGACACAGTCAGAGACTAGCTAGAAATTTTTTCTCACGATTGGGTGACACCATTTAGGGCTTCATTAGATGGACACAAACACAACTCCAAACAATTTAATGTGTACATTGACAACTTTTTATGTTCAACATAAATGTATAAGGTTATAATATGTCAATATTGTTTGCTTTGTAGCACCCAAGTGGCCTAGACAATCACTGCATGGCGTTTAACTTAGAGTTAAACAGAATTTTTGCAAAAATGCTCACAAAGTGCTCTGATGCTAGAAGTATAGTTTACGGCTTTAACCAAAACAACAAAAACTGTGGTTTTTTTTCTTCCTACAATGTCATGTTTGAATGTGTATGTGCAGAGTTTGACACTAAAAAGATGTTTTCACGTTCATCTGCTCATTGAAAATCTGATTTCAAGGGGCAAGGCCGAGAGAAAGATAGTAGATATTTCCCAGGTCGTCAAATATTGACATTTGACATATTTCCTCACAACATTGATCAGACATGAGTTTTCCTGACATTTATTAGGGATGTGATATATATATATATATAACATTCCTAATAAATGTTCCATTCCTAATAAATATATATATTTCTGTATTTTATACAGTTTTGTACTATGTTTTATTTAAAAATAACATGAATTTAAAAATACGTAATAGGTTTATCTTTTCTTCTCCCTGGAGCTTGTTCAATAGGTCATCATTGTTATAACGAGGCCTACCGTGTACATTTTTAAAGTTTTTCTACACGCCTTAAAATCAAGAAGGCCCCTAGTTCCCAGGTTGGGAACCACTGGTATAGTATATTTATAGTTCTAGCAAACAGTTCCCTTCTTCCACATCCATTTGACACAGAGCAACATGGGCCTTTTTACAGGACCCATACCCACCATCCATATTTCTATAGCAGCTAATACACTCCACTGCTGCACTGTTCAGGCTGACACTTGGGATGTCACTGTAGGTACTATGTGTAACAGCTGAAAACACCTGCTGTCATCACTGATTGCTGTGTGGCCAGAAGTGCTACATCCCTGAAGGTTTTATACTGCACAGTGAACATTTGCTCTATGTGATTCAATGATGATTTATCCTTTGTGGGCTCAGTCACACTCTTGTTTTTATAACAGCATTTTTAAAATTCCTTATGTGTCCATAAAAACACATAACTATAGAAACATAAGCTGAAGGGCATCCCGTGATGACAGACTTCTTGTCAATTCGACAATGTCAATGTCTCTTCCTGACCACAGCCTGTTGCTAGGGTGGCCATTTCCTTCACATCAAAAAGGAGGACACTTTGCATACACGGGGACACGCAAGCAGATATTTGTTTGGTATGATCCGGTTTTAAATTTTAATGTTTTTCCACCAGATTACATAAAGGTGCATACACATACCACATAGCTAATAATAAATATACAAGATACAGCTCATGACAACGTGCCCTTCCAATTCAGATTACACAGGTCTAATAAACATCATACAGAAACTGTTCTTAATGTTTTTATCTGGATAGATAAAGGGTAAAAAAAATGCAGCACCTTCTGTTTCAGATGTATAGGCTTTGCCTAGGCTTTGCCTATACATCTGAGTATGAGCATTTTCAGAATTTCAGTCCAACAACCGACATTAGCTCACGTTAGTTCTCTGTTGCTGAGAGCTTGATTGACAGCCTGGGTGATGAGTGGCAATCAACACATGGCTCATTTGAATATTAAAATGAGCCATGTGTTGATAGGTCACAACAGGAAAATGTAACCAATGAAATTAATTAGTCTGACACACATTTTTAGCCAATAAGTATTAAACTAACGAGGTAATGTGTCAAAAGGTGGACCTTTTTTGTTATTTTCTCAAAAGGAGGACAAATTAGTGTCCAGCTTAAGGCTGCGCCTGCAGCCGGACAGGGCATTTAAAAGCCGGACGAATAGCCACCCTACCTGTTGCTAGTTCCGCCTGCGTTGTTTGCTTACTGATTAATTGTAGCCTGTACAATTGCTTTCAGCTACTGAGTCCTGCTCTTAAGTCCACATCTGTGTGAGCAGAACCGCTACAGGGGGTTCACAATTGTTCAGCAAAGCAAATTTGTATGTCAGAGTTAAGCAAACCTGAACTAGACATAATAGATGTGTACTTTGTCCCCACCAGCAAATTCAACACAACACTGAAGCTACAGCTAAGCTAAAACTACAATACAAATAAAATAAAATTAATAAATGAAATCAGATACCTCTTGTTGAAGATGACCCCCAGCAGCTGGCCAGCAAATGCAATGGCCACAAAGAGCAGCAGTGCTTTCCACATCCAAACTGGACCCAACCGACCACACACCAGCCATCGCAACATCCTGGGAGGAGGGGGGGTCGGAGTGGGAGAAGCGAAGGATGGATGGAGAGAAGCAAAACAAAATAAAAATGGGGTAGAGAAATTTAGATAAGGAGTGGGGGCAGAAGGAGATGTAGGAGAGGGCAGTAGGGAAAAAAAAAAGGTGGATGTCATATAAAAACAGAGAGGGCAGGGCAAAGAGAGGGGGGTAGAAGGGCAAAAAGAAAAAATAGAGAGAGGAAGAGATTTGGATGAGTCATAAAACAAACATGACTAAGGCATCATCATCGTCACAGGGAGGACAGCAGCCTGAAAACACCCAGAGAGAGCAGAGCCGACTGCAATCCTTTCATATTCTGTACCAATACTGTTTGTTCAGAATTCCAAAAAAATCTACAAAATATATTTTCCCATATATTTTCTTTATCATATTATAGATTCTGAGGTACAGTATAACCTGTGCAAAATGATTCATATTTAATTTTGTGGATGAAACCCACGACCAAATAGCACGTTAATTTTTCACGGCACCAATTTGAATCTTCACACATTTATATTGCGATTTAACTGTCTCGTGATATATCTTTACATTCTTATTTTTAACAGATGAATATTTTGTGTGCTCCTCCTGCATTAGCCTTTGGTTAAAAAGCATCAGCAATTCCAGTTTACTAATTGTAAATGCTGAATGTTCTAATGCATATCAAAGTAAGTTACTTCTCTCAGGCTGCCAGTTTTGATAGTAATATGGATATTTGTTGTCAGTGATTATTTACAGTGCAGATGAAAGACATTTTGAGTAAGTGCTCCTCTTGTGTTATGAGAACAAAGTCCTCCATGTGGCCAGGGTTAAAAGCAGCAAACCAATCACATAAGAAACAGGATTCTACAAGTTGTAGAATACACACAGTACATCTGTAGTTTGTGCCAGTACTCTTTCTGTAAAGGTAATTTGCTTTGACCCACTGTAAATGCTGAATATGCAAAATGCATTTTATCCGCACTGAAAATGTTTTGAGAATTTGAACAGTTGGAGTGTGCCCAGCATTCCCTGTGGATGGGGTGGATATAGTCCTTGGAAATGACTTGGCGGGAAATAGAGTTTAGTGTCGGATGGAGAAGTAACAGCTTCTGAACCTAAGGGGGGGTTGTTCCTGGCTGGCGCAGTTACTCAAGCAAAGTGGCAACATTCTCATCAGGGGTACGCAGGAGGATCCACAGATGGAGAAGCGTTTGCATTGGTTATTTGTGGGCAGCAATCCTTGTTTGTTTTGCAGGCATTACTTTTCTTTTCACAAGACTAATTATGTCTGTAAAAAAGATCACTTCACACCGACACATGAAGCCAGCAACTGCTACGATAGGAGGGACTGCATTGTTATAGAGTTATAGCAGACGTCAAAGAGGTTAAAGTCACTTTTGATAGAGCAAAGATTGGTTTCAGTTGTTTTGAAGGAACCGACAATGTCAAATATAAAAAAGAATCCAAACACAAGTGCAAACGAAAAGAAATTGTTGTATATTGGTTCTGGGACCCCAATGGTAGTGCACACCAACCATATCTTATCAGTCTCCCTCTCTCCTTCCAGCCAGCAGGTAATTGGTTTGATGCTGTCTTTCGTTTTATACATGCATTGCCTTTTACTGACAATACTGATGTACATACATATTTTATACTTTGTTTGGTGTGAATATTGGTTGATAAATTTAATTTGCTTTAAACACTTAAATTGTCTCTGTGGTCTCCTTTCTACAAAATATTTGAGAAATATTTGTGGCTGTGTCAATTGAGCTGGTATGAGGTGGGATATTTTCAATGTTTGATTATGAAGTTATCAAAAAGGATTCAGATTAGATTACATTTTGTGCAATCAAATGGGTTACGCTATTATTTACAAAAAGTGCCATATAATTTGAATTCAGCAACTGATTACATTTCAAAGTAATCCCCCCTAACCACATCAATCTCATAGCAACTACCAAGATAATTCTGTAATAACTTTTTCTTCTATGTGACCTTTCTTTATTTGGTAGATCCAGGAGGTGTCAATACTGAAACTAAAACATGATAGTATGCTTTGCATGGATGTGATGAAACATGGTCTCTGTGTTTAAGCTATGTTGAGGGCCTTTCATTTCCTGTAAATGAATGAGCTGTGACTGCGGTACAAATAAACTGGCCAATTGAAACTAACATTGTTCCTCTTATGATGTCTGGTTCCACTGTATTACTCTGGGTGTAGAGTTGTAATGATTACAGTACATATGAACATTTTGTTAGATGCAAGAAATATGCTTACCCCCATTTGGAAGGGTAATGACAGAACATTCTATTTTCTCTGACTTGAGGTATAGTTAAATTATTTTGGTTCACCTTGGGCTCAAATGGAAGTTTATGAGCGTGGGAAGTTTTCTATATACAAGTGAAGCTGTGATTTTCATCATTAAATGCCAGAAAAAAATAATTTGTCTTTTTTGGTGATATTTTTAAACTGAATGGCACCAGAATCTTATTTAGCTACTTTTCCCTTTGTTTCAGGATACTTCTTGCCAATTTTCGGGGGTGGGGGTGCTCGTTGTCAACTTGTGATGGCCCAAGGTAAAGGCTAACATGAAATAATGGTGACAAAAGGCAGCAGAAAACATCTTCAGGACTGGACCTGGCTGCTGTAACTGAGCACTTCAACGATGTTAGAAACAACAATGACTAGTTCTGTCAACATCCACTTTTGTGTTTAAAGTAAATATTTGCTACTGATTTTTCTACAGCAGTAGATAAACCCATATCTGTAAGATCATAACCCAGAGAAAGGGTAAGCGTTTGCTTGAGGAAATTCAAATTATTGCTGATGTAACAGTGAACAACTGTATTTCTGTTCTCACTCTCAGTGGTCCACAACAGGATGTGTGAGTGGGAGACAGACAACCGTGGCCACATTTGTACATTTACATACCACAATGTAAATTTACAGTCTGAGTAAATGCAGTCAGTATTAGTCTTCTGCTCTGTCATCCCCCTGCTTCAGTAAACAATAAGAACATTAAACAGTCATACACACATGGATGCAGCTCAATGGACCGACCTCATCTCATTCAGCCAACTTTTTATTCCTCAATAGACAACCACAAACAACATATTTGACTTTTCATATGAATCCATAGTATACGTTACTATAGTACTAAAATTATTTTGTTGATTTTAGGAAGTTTGGAAACTTTATACCCAGTAATGGTAAGAAGTAAGAAGGCCTCAGTTTCTCTCTGCTAAACAACTAAATTAACGCCTAAACCAGGTTATCTATTTTATTTCTTTGTGTTTTCTAGGCTCAGATATCTAATTCAGGGACCTTTCCAAAACAAAAATTAAAGTTGAAATGGACAATGTATCAAGTAAAATGACCTGTTGGTTCCTTGCTGTTTACAGCTTATCAAATGTGATTTCAGTTTCACGCTGCATGTGAACAATGTTTGGTTTTATGTTGGTCAGGCAGAATAAGCAACCTAAGAACATCTTTGGAGTCTATTTTGTAAAAATAATTTGTAATTTTTTATTTAATACTAAATTATTTGACGTACAATATGTAACTTCAGCCGCTAGGGAGTCTCTCATATCAAAACAATAACAAAAGATGTCACAAAGTAGGATCATGGGAGTTCTTCACCACCTCGCAGATAGTTGACAGGGGACTAAATTGGGATTGGGATTAAATGACAGATTTGTTTGAACCCCACATATAGAACATAGCTCTAGGATTTAAATGGATGGTAAATGGACCTGTACTTGTATAGCGCCTTTCTAGTCTTCCGACCACTCAAAGCGCTTTTACACTACGTGCCACATTCACCCTTTTACACACATTCACTCAGTGATGGCAAACAGAAACTAACTCATTCATACACATTCACACACACCGATGCACAGCATCGGGACAATTCAGGGTTCAGTATCTTGCTCAAGGATACTTGTGACATGTGGCAGGAGGAGCCAGGGATCGAACCAACAACCTTACGATTAGGGGGACGACCCGCTCTGCCTCTGCACCACAGCCGCCCGCTGTTTATACACATTTGAATGGAGAAATGTTACATATTGAAGCTTGAACTGAATCTTTATTTGTAGTCTCACACTGCAGTTCTATTTCGTGTTTTTTTCATATTGTTTAAAGAACACAATGATTGATGGACAAAACATGTACAAACATGCAAAAAAAAAAAACATTCGCTAGTTGTTAGATTAATCCTTAAGGAAAATTGTTGTTTATTGCTTTCCTAAGTAGATTGACTATATAAAACTTTTCCTATTGTGAAGTCCACATGAAATGGAAATCAGGGTGTTATATGTTTCCAAAGATTTATGTATTTCTTGTAAAAATAGGCAGCTAGGGAGGGACTTCTCACACAATTAAGACGGCTAACACTAGCTGCATGAGCTAACTAGCTTAACAGCATCTAACAATGGTTTCCATCTGGAAACTCCGTAAATCACCTTGGTATCGCTGTTGTTGTGTTCACTGGTAGACTGCTGAGCATGCTAACGGTTGCTACAGCAGCAGTTAGCCAAGTTGAGACAGAGCAGCCGGAGGACGTCAGAGGGAAAACCAGAAAATATTTTTTCCTTAAATATGACTCAGTGTAACCCAAATCACTGATAAAGTTGTGTTTTAGTGATAAAGCTGCTTTTTTGATTGAGTCATTAAGTTTGCTAATTAATGAATATGCGCTCTGTGACACTAATAGTTTAAAAAGGACTGTCGGATGAATGTCATGATATTATTGGTTGAAAGTGGTTGGTTCAAGCATACGTAAGCATACTTCACATTTTGTTTTACAGAAAAAAAAAAAACATTGGCATACATTGTTAAACAGGGGTACAATGTGATCTTTATGGGTTAAAAGGGGACTTTAAAGGGTTTTAACAATGTGTAGTAACTGTGTTGTAAAGGTTGCTGTTAGTGAGAAAAATAGGAACAAACTTTTTTCCTCAGTGCCCATGGGAGGCACAGGGTTCTGTGTTATATGGTGGGGTGGAGACATCTCAAAGAGTAGAAGCAAACAGAACAGAAGCAAACAGTAGGAACACACCGGCTCCTTCTGAGTGCAGTGTTTTCACTGTGATCTGATAAATATCATTGACCAATATCAGAGTGTGTTGATAACATATAAACAACAGCAGTAAAACCAGTTTCAGAAGTACACAGATAGAATGAACATACACTAGGAACGGTAATACAGCAGTGGCCACCACCCATAGTCTCATAACCATAACACAAAGAAGCCTTCAGTTTGTAACACAGCTTTCACTTCCAGACACATGCACACACACACACACACACACACACACACACACACACGCACTCATATGCCATAAAAGACATGAATGGAACATGTTAAAGGCCTTTGCGCGTGAAGGAGCACCTCCAGCCCACCCACACCTTCTCCTCTTTCTATTTAAGATCACAGCCCAGCGCCACCTTTTATTCCGCAATCACCGCATCACAGTCGCCGTAAACCGCACTGATCCGGACCTCCGTCTCTTTCTCCAACCTCACATTCTGCTAGCTAACGTTACCTGGCTCTCCGTTTGAAAAGCATAGCTGTGTCCCCGGGCCGGTATTGGTGACGGTGTTATTGTGCAGCTGCCGAGAGCTCGGAGCATCTCGAAGGCTTCAGCTGCAGCTGATCCGCCGCACAGCAGAGATCAGGCCATGGACCCGGCGCAGACCTGCTGGATCCGTCTTCAGGATTCTGACAGTTCCTTTGGTCCGGACCGAGTCTGTAACGAGAGTCTGTCGCTGTGCACCGACGGCTTTAATGCTTGTTGTGCAGACAGCCAGGACACAGACAGAGAGAGAGAGAGAGAGAGAGAGAGAGCGAGAGAGAGAGTAGAACTTCCGGGCACTTACAAAATAAAAGCGTTTTTGCGGACAGGAGCAGAGGCAGGAACCAGGATTTTACAAAAGTCAATAAAAGGTCTCTTTTTCAGTTACCAAGTGACTAACCTAGCCACTAACCAAAAAACACAACTCAAAATTGCATTTTTATTAACTAATTTTGAGTATGTTCAGTAAATTTGATCTCCTAGGTAGGTCTTAGGGTAGCCTATAGCCTGTATGGATGTAACTGGTGGACATTGTTGGGCAGTAACTTAATAATAACTTAGTAGTAACTTAATATTGTTACGGTAATAATATTACTTTTTTTGTCACCCCTACTGATTTGAAATCCAACGATCCAATCACATCCTTGGATTAATTTTTGTAATCATGGAGGAAACTAGTTTGGAAGATGGAAATGCTTAAATTCAGCAGCTGGACCATATCATTCCATTGATTTTAAAAAACAAAACTGGATTTTAATTTGTTGTAAGTCTGAAGTTTGGGGAGAAAGCCACAATTACCATTTTTTTGGTTGAGTAGCAGAAAAGTAATATAAATAGCTGTGTCACTAAATAGTTTTGACAGGGAGTCATAAGTAAAGTAATATTACTTTTGAAAAGAGTAATGACTAACTAGCCAAACACTGCTGGTGTTGCAATGTCATGTAAGGAAAAAATGACATTGCAGTTCCATGAAAGTTTTCAAATGACAAAGTTTTTATTTTGAAGGCAGGTTAGATGTGTTTCTGTGGGTTTGAAAAAGTAGGTTTGCTGAATCTGACCTCACCCTGTGATGGTCAGAGAAAGCAGCCTTACTCCACCATATACATACATATACAGGCGTGGAGAGGATAACGGATTACATGTAACGGATAAGGATACAAAAAAAGGCAACTGTAAGCTCTTGCCATGCTCACACATTACTACACTTTTAGGGTGAAACCATGGCTAATCTTACAGTTGTCATACATTATCATTGCCCCTTAAGCAGAAAAGGGAACAACATCACAGTACAGTGGAAGTTCTGCCTTCCAGCTGTGAAAATGCCTGAATTTGCTACATGAGTTTTTATTTCAAAATACACTGAACAAAGAACACATTTGTCATGCTAAAAATCTTGGTTTCTATTTTATATTCTAAGGTCACATTGTTCTGTTGTATTAAAGAATACACGTCTTATTAATATGTCTTTTATCTCTTTATTTGCATATTTTGTACTGAGGTAATCCAAAAGTGACAAAAATCAAATCAAGAAATCAAGTCACGTTACTTTAATATTGTGATACTTGGATTATGTTACTGACTACATTTTTTAGTGGTAATCAGTTATTGTATGGGATTACATTTTTAAAGTAAATATACACAGTGGAAAAAGATTTTTTCTCAGTGCTGTTACACTGGCATTTGGAGTACCTCACAAGCAGTGCTGTACGCAGGGTTTTAGAAACACAGAGGTCCAAAAATGTAACTTGCTAGGGCAGTGTGGGGGCAATTACTGTCTCTCTGAGCCGTTATATTAGCTATAACACAGCTACTGGCTCAGCTACAACACAGGTAACACACAGAACTTTTACAAAGGTCTGTGAATGTTCTTCTAGTGACTGTCAAAATTCCAGCAGACTCTCTGAGAGTGCCGCTAACTTCTAGTTAAGTTTAGTTTGGCCGTCCTCATGGATGCATTTTTTTAATTTGTTGAGTGGGAAGGAGCTAGCAGAATTGAAAGGTGTAGTTCAGTATCTTGCTCAAGGATACTTCGACATGCAGTGGGAGGAGCCAGGGATTGAACTACAAACCTTTAGATTAGTGGTACACCCACTTTACCTCCTGAGCCACAGCAAGCCAGCCACATGTGGGTTGAATGTTCATAAAGCTGAAAGGACTTCAGCTGTAATAAACATTTTTTAACACAAGTTCATGTCTGATTTGGGTTCTTGAGAGTTTTTTGCAGAGCTGAATAATGAATAATCAACTCTGCAGGACCTTGCTGCTGTTCAGTAATCTCCCACTGCTGCAGCTGTTACAACATGTCTGCGTTATCCACTAAAGCATGACTGCTCATAGACCAGGAGTCTGCAAGAGCTATTCCTTTAACACCTTGCCTTCTATGTTGAATTCCTGTACACCAGATGGCTCCCACCCTTTGTACAGTGAATTTCCACTTCTTTCATCTGTACAGGGGGATTATATAGAGGTTTAATACAGTTTATTTATTTGTAAAATTATTTAGAATTAACTTAACTAACTAAAAAGAAAATATTTTTTATCTTGTGACGAGGTGAAAATAAAACTTGATAGGCTGAATTCTCTCCATTATATGACAGCTGTGTGCATCTGAAACCGTTAGAGATGCATATGAATTTATAGTAAATGATCTTGTGCCCACAAGATAAGTAACTTGTGCGCACAAGATAAAAAATATTCTCTTTTAGGGACTTTTGGGCTCAGTACACACAGTCAAATTATTTTCTTTTTGTCAGATATCTTGTATAAGTATTGAAGTTTCCACAACAGAAATGTTGGATAAATATTTTTTATCAGTGTAAAGCATTGGTAAACTGTACAGTTATCACTGAAAACAGCAATAATTACTGATGGTGACTTTTATTACAGTTCTTTAATTCAAATTCAGACTAAAATAAGAAATATCTAATAATAACAGCATTCTTCTTTAAATTTAGGCTCTGTGGATACAGTAAGTAATTGCTGCCCTGTTAACACTATATATCTACACAGTGCTTGATTCTGCCTGCAAATGTGGTTCATTTAATAACCTGTGGGGTCCTTGAGTAGATCCTTCAGCAGCAGACTGTTACACCGTCGGTGTAAGAAGGAGGGGTTCCGCAGGTCTTTCATTGCTGCCATTGTCAGACTCTACAACACCTGCACCACCTGATCATGTTGTAGTTTCTGTTTCCAATTACCACCACTACTCACCATAGCTTTTATGTCGGTCTTTTATCTGTATTTATTTTTTTCACTCCAGTTACTTACTTGCTGCTGTGACAAGTGAAATTCCCTGTTGTGGGATGAATAAAGTATACTCTTAACTTATTTCTAGATTATAATCAACCAATGAATGTCCATAGAACAGTGTATTTTTCTTTTTACCAAAATATTTAAAATAAACCAAAAAAATCTCATTATATTCTTATATTGTTCTAAAATCTAAAGACTTTATTACCAAATATTATTATTATTATCTAATTTACAAGTTCACTCTCATTACATCATTAACTTTGCCTCATAATATTCCAGATATACTCTGGAAAGGACAGGAAACTTTCCAACACTGTTTCTTGAACTACCTGTGCAGTCCTACCATTAAATTGGTATTTTAACAGCCTTTTAAAATGCAGCCATTATTTAATTTGAAATGAGAAAAGAACTGTCATTTATTAGTACTTATTATTTGTAATTACTTAAGTTCAGCGTGAAAACTGACCATACATATTCTTGAATGATTGAATTTTACTTTTATTTATTTGATCTGACAGTCAGTTTTTGACTACATGACATTATGCGCAGTTTCGACTCATCCGTAGCAAGAAACAATGGTGGGCACACACAATCTTGTATTCCATATAAACAGTACCAACCAGTTTAATTGCCATTTCTAAGTGTTATGATTAATGTTAATTAAAACAACATTTAAAAAAGAAATTATTTTAAGTCTCTAGAACAAAAAAATGTGGAACAGTGAAAAGGTCTGGATATTCTGCATAGGTTTTTATCCTTCACCTTCACACTAATTTACCCACTAACTCCACCTCCAGGATTTGAAGGATCAGATATCCTGAGAGCAATGAGGAAGATGAGCAGTCAAGCTTCAGCTTCATTTAAAGCTGACATTTGTTTTAGTCACCATAAGGCATCAAGGGACATGAAAATAATCTGTGTGGGTTTTAGCTCTTCAGAGACCCTGCTGATGGAAATCTCTCACTGGAAAGATTGAGTGAGACTAACCAACGAAAACAACCAATCAGAGCTAGTAGTTGATTGTTGAGCCTCATTCCCAGGGTGTCAAATACAGATGCTGAGACAATGAAATGAGACTCACCAATAAACTATATTTAAGACTCCAACTCAAAGTGTCTTTATATCTTTCTTGGCTCTGATTGTTGTTTGATTGTTTTGCAAATGCCATAAGGAGCGCATTTTTGAGAGTATTATTTTTTTTATGATTTCTTTACATAATCCTCTGTATTATGTTTTTTTTCCCATACATACTTAATAAACTTCTTTTTTTGACAAATTCAGTGTTTTCTTCTCAACTACTGTTCTAATAATATACTAATACTATATGTTCTGTGTCTTTTGTGTCTTTGTTGATGTCTTGAGCACACTGAAGCAAATCCCTAGCAACTTGCACCGAGTTGTATGGCAATAAAGTATTGAATCTTGAATCTTGATAAGTACACCCTAATGGGGGACCCAACCCCCACGTTTGGAATCACTGATATACAAGCCAACAACATTATGATGCTGTGATTTGTGATTGTATTTCATTTCAATTCTACCTGTCATAATCCTTCAGGATATGAGTGTTTTCCTCCACAGTGATTTAGGAACATGCTGTAATCAGTCATGCTTTGCATTGTGTAATATGTGGATTGTTATTTGCATTCATGCAAACATATTTAGTTTGTTTAAGTCTTTAGGGCTGATCTGAATGAAGTGACCAGACTAACAAAAAGAGTGATCTTCCAGTAATAATATATAAATATGACATTCCATTACTGCCAATATATCCTCCTAAATGTTACACACTGGACCTTTAAGACACATAAACCTGATCAGTACTGATGCAGAGTTAGTGTGCAGCTCTGGTTCTAAATTTAGAAGTAAAGCCTGTAATCGGTTAACTAGTTCCTTTGTTAAGGAGCGCAGAACCAGCTGCTCCAGACAAGCCTCCTCCTCTTTCCCCTCTCCTCCACAGTATCCATATGGCACAGTACACAAAGGGGGTGCATGGTGTCTTGCTGCTGATGGCATATGAACCAGAAAGTCCAGTTTGAATAGGTGTAAAAAGACTGTAGCTGTTTAAAATGAGAGGATTTCACAACCCTGGAATGTTTTCATTTTCTCCTCCCTACTGATCTTTGCAAGTGTGTAAGTGAGTCAGAGTATAGGGAGGTAGTTAGCCATAAAGTGTGTAGATCAGTGGTTCCCCACAGGGCCTTCTTGAGTTTAAGGGGTATAAGAAGTTTTTAAATATATAGACAGTTAGCCTATTTCGTTCATTTATGTGAAGAAAACTAAATGAAAATGTTATTTTCAAAGTTCTAATTGTTATTTAAGACTGAAGTTTCTATCTTGAATAATAATTTAAACTTTAAAAATAACAAGACCTGAACACAAGCTATATCCACAGAGTTATTACTCCCTGCTAAACAGCCTCATCCTGCATTAGAACAATGGCCAATTATCATGGAGAGAACACTGAATTTGTCAAAAAAAAGAAGCCCTAAAGAAATCCTAAAAATAGCAGACAAACATTCACACAGTAATGGCAAAGCCTATTGAATAGAAACTCATTAATTTTACATTAAAACATTTTCTGATAAGTTCGGTTACTTAGTTATTTGTGCTAATGCAACATTCTTACCGAAAAGAATAAGAAAGCTACATTCCGACCGACAATACAGGATCTATCAATTTCAGTTTTTCTATTTGTATTTCATTTGTGTAGCACCAAATCATAGATATCTCAGAACACTTTTCATATATAGCAGGTCTACACCATCCTTTAAATTATCAATTATTATCAATATTCCTGCAATTCCTGCTTATTAGTCTTACTTGTTATGGTCTCAGCATGGCCCTGGCACCAACCTGCGTGCCATCTCCTGAATACAGTTCACAACAAGTACATACTTGTTGTTCTCGACACTGTCTTGGGCGTGAACAAATCTTTAGCTGCACACAAGGCCACTGTTAGAGAGGAAAGCAGAAAAAGCATCACATGACCTTTCTATATAAAAAAAACTTTTTTCAAATTACATGTGTATCATGTGTATGAATCATTTGCTCTATGATTGTTGTTTTGGAAGGTGGCAGAAGAGGAAGTCATTGGGTCAGGCCTACCACAGACCAGCCAGTCTGAAACCATGTTTACAATTTGCTAGATGCACACGCTGGGTCTTATTTGATGTGCATACACAAGCCTGCTGAGCCCATGCCATGGAGTAGTTTTTGGACCTACCATGTAGTCCATGTAGAATTATGGAGGGAGACAGCTACAGAGGTATATCAGTCCCTCCAGGAAGTTGCAATGTTGTGATCACAACAATTAACGCAAATTCAAACAATTCCCATGAGTCCTGCGCAACCTTGCAATTTTGTCCAGACACCTGATCAACTTGACCACATTAATGAAAACAAAGGGGCAAACACAATCAGTTACTTCAACAACACTTGCTTCTTGTCTGTGAAAAACATATTAATCTATTCCTATTGTACCCTCATCCAGCAGGGGGCGGAGCCAAACGTTGTAAACATTTAGGGCTAGCCCAGACCTAGGGGGGTCTAAATCTGTACATCATTTGAGAAAAACATGATAGTTGCCCAGGGCGGGAAAAAATCACTTTGTAGCTTACATACTATTTGGGATTTAATTGTTCTCCAACTATCTTCATCATTGTGAATGTTAAGGATGAAAGATTTTCACTACTGCCACCTAAAAAGAGGCAAAAAAGTGGTTTGATATTATTTTTTAGTTACATGACATAGGTAACCTATGAATTTGGTGTAAACAGCATTGCTAATCTTTAAACTTATTTTTGTACTACTTATCCGAAATGCTTTAATATGAAAACAGTTGTTTTCTGGTATATAATGCATGAAAAAATGGTAATGTCTTGGCATCAGTGCAAAGTTTTGTGATTTGATTTTATATATATTTGAATTATAATACTGTGGCAAGCAGCACAGAGTTAGAGAGAAGAAGCATCTCTCAGCAATGTCAAGAAAGAAAAGAATATTTAATATTTGAAAATATTTAGCTGAAATATTCTTTAATAAACTTGTTTGAAAAAAAGCAGTACCTTTGCAGAGTCATATGGGTGCAAAATCTCTCTTTTTTCAGCTCAAATACTCATTCCCACGAATTAAACCCAACTCAAAAATGAATTGTTTAAGTAATTGATGATTTAATTCCAGTTTGTTCCACTGACTCATTTCTTTAAGTTCTTTAAGTTGACTTGATATCATACAAAAATGTAGCCCCCAAATTAATTGGCTACCATTTTCATAATCGATTAGTTATAAAAAAAAAATAATTATTCTCAACTGTTTTGACAAGTAATGTATTAATTTGCTTTAGTGGAAGAGTATTTTAAGTGGTAACATTTCTATAACAAAGATTCATTAAAGGCAAGTCTTACTTTAATTAGATAAGTAACACATTTTTTGTTTGGAGAAATGCTGCATATGAGCGTAATATACTTACTAGTTTTAAGGTCAATTAACTGAATGAAAATTGGTACAATTTATCTAATTTACCTTAACAATAAATACTTCAGTTATTTCAAATCAAATATTTGTTCATGCTTAAATTGTTGGAGGTAATAAATTTAAATGGTTTAAGGTTTGCTCAAACAATTTGAGTTGAACTAACTCATCTGTTATCTGTTATCTGTCTGCTCATCTAATCTGTGACCTTTTCTTGCAAATCACTTATCGGTCAGGGTCTACAATGAATGTTTAGCTGATAAATCTGCTATCCTACATGTGAAGCCATGCCATAATACTGCAATAGATGGTGATATTTCCCCAGTGAGAGAACTTTTCCTTCGGTCCATAAAGAGTGAGGGCTGGAGCCCAGTCTGCCCCTGTAACCAGGTAACTTGGCTTAACCTGGCCCAGTTGGGCCGGGTTAATGCTGCAGGATCAGTCAAACAAGATTACCCCAAAGTAGAATGCCAGGACAGTAAACCGACAAGTGTTCTGTGCAGCCTATGTGTATATAGAAGCTATAATACTGTCTTTATAGCAAGAAACAAGCAGGGCTGTTTAAATAAGAAAATGAACTGATCAGATTCACAATTGAGTTAATGTGGTGGTAAAGAGTAAACCGCCAGTATGTCGGTGTCAAAGGCAGCAACACATTAAACTGTAAACCTCTGAAGCGACTTCCGGGCACAGTTTTCAAAACAAGACAACTTAATTCATATTCGGTATGTTACTGCATATTATTTTATTAATGATCTATTCTTTATGATAATATTATTACAGTATTTCACAATACGGTTCAATTGTTGCCACCACTTAAAGAAATCTTGTTAGATTATGCTCAGTGGGCTATTTGGTATGCTTTTTTTTGTATGTTGAATGTCGGATTAAGATTTATTTTGTAAAGCTACAACCCCACCGTATGTTATTCGGGCTGAAATAAGGGGCAAACCCGTCAAGCGGAAAACAATGATTTTTTTTTTCTATCCTACTTTAAGATCATGGTTTATCTTTTATGTTGAAGGAGAATTGTTGGAACGTGTGCTGCCGACGCACCGACCCTGTTCCCAGCATACTATTGAATGTTCAAATATTAAGAAGACTCACCCTCTGTTAAATACCGTCGACGTGGACTGTGTAAAACGGACAGCAGTGCAGTTATAAACTCTATCTTTTCTTTCTGTTCAACTCCGGTCGCTCTCCGGTTGCAGCCTGGCTTGTGGTTCAACTCCTGGACACAAATAGAAACATCACACCTTGTCCCATTGGTCACAAAAAAGCAACTATTCCCAGTTCCGTCTCTCAGTTTAGTTCACAGCACGGTGCGGTCATCTGAAACCACAACGGTGGTTTCATCAAGTCCTTCTGTCCTCCTCCTCGTCCCCCCCTTCTTTTTCTCAGGATGGCAGTGCCTCCGGTTTAGCAGTTTACCCGACCTCTCTCTCACTTCTGCTGTATGCTGTGAAACACTTCTGCCTCTGTGACATTAATGGAAATGTCAGCAGTATATATTTTTATGAGGGACCAAGCCAGCGACCGCTGGAGGTCCCTATTGTATTTGCTAGAATTCTTTTTCTTACCTATTATTATTTTTAGCCCCATTCGACTGCGTTTTTCACCCCCTGAACATATATGAAAAAGTCAATTTTATTTGGCAAAGTTGTCAGGCCTGGTGAAAACGGGATATTCTATGTGTCTTTTTCGGGTTGGCCGCTAGGTGGCGCTACTATTGTAAAAAAATGCGTTTAGGCTAATAACTTCTGCATAGTTTGTCGCACATACAAAAACCTTATATCCACGCGTTTGGTGAATGGAGCTGAATCTCCCCATATAGGCTCGACCCACTTACACCTAGAATTTTTTTTTGCTAGAGCGCGAAATGTCCATAAACTACTTTTTCGTGTTCCTCCTATACGCTATGTCCGATTCGCACAAAATTTTTCACGTAGCATCTGGGGACCGTCCTGGCAAAAAAAGTAATTTAAAGTATTTTGATATTTAAAAAAATAAGCACGTTATAAAATTAGCACTTTCTGTACATTTTTCATCAAAAAAGGAAGTGTATGTATGTCCGATTGACACCAACCTTGGGTCAACAGTTCCACATGTCTTCCTTAGGCATCGTGCACAATTTCAGGTCATCGCCACAAGGTGGCGCTCTTTAAAATTAAGAAGTTTATATCTCTGCAACGGCACGTGTAATTAAAATGAAACTTGGTACGATGCTCTCTAAGAGATATGTCAACAATCTGCCACTAGGTGGCGCTCTGGTGGCAGGGTAAATCACTGTGCGGAGACCGTAATAGTTATGAATATATAATTCACAGGGCACGTGTAGACTGGTGCCTGTAGCTCACATACCAAAAATCGTGTTTGTCATGTTTGTACCGCCCCCTACAGGATTTTTCACTGAAACTCGGTAGGCACGTGTACAAAAAAGCCTCTGGGACCCATACCTGAAACCCCACGAGAAGTCGGCCATTTTGATTTTCATTTTCACTTTCGCGAACTTTTCGCGTTGTATTTGAACGAACTCCTCCTAGGGAATTTATCGGATCTACTTCAAAATTGGTCAGTGCAGTCAAAAAACATTGCTGATTAAAAGTTGTGCTATTTGTGACTGTACGTTGAAGGGCGTGTCCATGGCTTTCCGTCAAAGTTGGCCATTTTGAATTCCGTGCTCATTTTCGGTGAATTTTTCGCCTTGTATTTCAACGAACTCCTCCTAGGGAATTTATCGGATCTACTTCAACATTGGTCAGTGCAGTCAAAAAACATTGCTGATTAAAAGTTGTGCTATTTGTGACTGTACGTTGAAGGGCATGTCCATGGCTTTCCGTCAAGTTGGCCATTTTGAATTCCGTGCTCATTTTCGGTGTATTTTTTGCCTTGTATTTCAACGAACTCCTCCTAGGGAATTTATCGGATGTACTTCAAAATTGGTCAGTACAGTCAAAAAATGGAGCTGATTAAAAGTTGCGCTATTTCAGACTGTACGTTGAAGGTGTGCTGTCAAAGTTGGCCATTTTGAATTCTGTGGTCATACAAACTAGATGAAGTTTAGCTATTTGTGACTGTACATCAAACCGCGCGCCAGTGACGACTTGTCGAATTCAGCTGATTCGCCATAAAACAGTACTCATAACTTCAGTGTGCAATGTCCAATCTCCAGTAAACTTTATATATTCTGTAACAGTCTCGCCCTGAACACATCCTCATAACTTCAGCGTACGTGGTCCAATCTCAATGAAACTTCATGTGTTTGATAACAGTCCCGCCTTGAACAGGTCTACATGACAATATTCAGACATAGTGATAGCGCCACCTACTGGCAACAGAAAGTAAGCACTGCGTGGCGATTCTGAGCTGATTTACGTGAAATTTTCATGTTGTGGTCCGCACATGTAACGACGGCACAAGACGCAGCCGCAGCACACCCCGAGTTGCGTGGAGTGCGAGGTCCCGCCCAACGCTGCTTGCAGCTTTAATTTTATTTACAATACCTTTTTTGCAACAAATAGGTTTAATATAGGAAGAAATACATTTTGAAATACACTATGCAAATGAATACATGTATAATATTTTAGTGTCTTGTGTTGCTAAATGTACTCATAAAATGTTTATTATATTTATTTTACTTAATGTTCCTTTAAATATTTAAAGTCAAGTCAAAACAACAACTCAAAAAAGAGTTTTCCCTCTTGTTCCAACAGTTGGATGTTTGAGCTTCATTGGGCAGAAATACAGAAGCCCATTTCTGCCAATGTGATGGGAAAAAGAGGATTCTTTAAGTCATTATAATGACTTAGTATCTCAAGATAATGAATGAAAATAACGAAAATAAATAACTTTATTGCTATTTTGAGATTAAGTCAAGCATGGTTTGTCAACCCTGGTCCACTATGCTACTGCTACAAGTGTGATATAAAATTTGAAGCCACCAGTGCACATACACTAAGAACGGACTTTACAGTTGAGTAAGAGACATCTTGTGTCCAGCGGGGAAACTTTAGAAATACAACATTTGCAAATTCATAGATTCAGGAAATTTTAATGAGGAAGAAGGAGTAGATTACCTTTATGGATTTTAATGCGGAAATTATACTTTATTAGCACTCAAAGCGCTTTACACTACATGCCACATTCACCTATTCACACACATTCATACAGTGATGGCAAATATAAGGTAACTAATTAATTTACATAAATACACTGATGCACCTATTCTTCAGGGGTCACCTGTTTTGTGCGCTTGTTCTGCGAAGCTGTGTCCCACATATGGAATGGCTGGAGGTTCACCACATGAAGAAAACTCCAGCGTCAGCTCCAGTGTCGACTTTGTTGAAACTGTAGTTCACATCAAACATCCTTCGGGAGCCATGGTACGGGCCAGTGTACAGTGGGGCCAGCTTGGCAGTGAAGTTAGTTAGCGCGTCTGACCTGGGATGAGACTTCACTCGGACCAGGTCTTCAATCCTAGGAGACGTGAGCCTGCAAACCCTTCACTTTCAGTTCAAGGTTTTCTGTGGTGTGTCTGGGTGCAGCACGACTTGGAAAAGCTGCAAAGTAAGCATCATCGTAGGGGTCTGTCATGTCTGGATGAGTCACCACTATTAATTAATTTTCTTTTCTTCTTTTTTTCCTTTTCTTTTATAAACACACACACACACACACACACACACACACACACACACACACACAAAATCACCAGTACTGTTATCTTGCAGTTAGACTTCAATAATACAATCTGAACCTATATAACCACTATATCACATAAGATTGTAACTTGAACGGTATAAGCATTAAACTAATATTCTCCTTTAAATTACTCTTTGGAAAAAAAGAAAGGCAAAATACCTGGAAACCCTCTCTTGAGCTAATGCAAAGAAAAAACGTGAAACACCCTAAACATCAAAATAAAGCTCTGCATAAGTCTTAAAGGACAACACCACTCAGTATGAATAAAAAAAACAAAACAAAAGGTAAAAGCACATGCAAGTTACCAGTGACAGCTAGTGGTGATTTTGGGTGGGTGGGCTAACAAATGCATTACACTCATCAATACCTCACACAGCAGCAACAGCAGCATCACACCAAGTTACAGCAACAACATTGTATACTTTGGTATAGCAATTGCTCTACGGCAACACTGGGGAGACATACCCAAAAGAATGGCCTGATGCAATCTCTCTGTATCTGTTCTCTCTCTCTCTCTCTCTCTCTCTCTCTCCCTCTGCACACATCAGCACATGCCAATTGCGCCACAATAACATTATAGAAAACATTGCGCACGTTAGGCCCGCAAACTCCACACTGCTGTACATCACCATCATCTAACCTTTTAGTTTCTCTCTGCAGATCATTGGGTAATGTTCACATGCAATGTCCAGCTGCTTCTGCGAGAAACTGTTCTTAAACAGCGGAAAGAGTTCAGGGTGCCTAGCTTTCTCAAAGCGAGTCTTTGCAGGGCTCCAGAGTGCGACCAAAATTTTTAAGAGTGCGACTAATAATTTTTCTAGGTTGCACTGGTGCACCTGACGCTGCCCGGGTGAAAACATAACACAATTTATTTCGCAAGCGCATCATCTCTCTGTGTTCTCCTGTGACCGAGCTCACACACTCATGGTAGGATCATATCGTGTTCTAAACCAATAAGAGACAGAGCTCGGGCGGGTCTTTGCCTCTGATTGGCTGTGGTCCTGTTCACCGCGCTAAATTGTGTGTGTTTAAAAATTGCGCGCGACCTGAGTGCCAGAATAGCTGACTAACTGAAACGGAAAAATAAAATAAACGTGACAAAACGAGGGAAAATCCCCACTACTGAGAGTCCATCCCGTCAAGACACGGAGCCCTCGGTCCCTGGTGAGATACCAAGCCCCGGTCCTTCGGCGACAGCATCAGACTCGGAACCAGAGGAGGAGACAACCGAGTCTGGGATAGAGCCCGGCTCCGAGACCCAAATTAAAAAGGCCAAAATATATTCCTTCAGACAGGACTGGCTGAAACAATTTCCCTGGCTGAGGTACAACAAAGGACGTAACGTAATGCATTGCGTGTACTGTCCGGAGTGCGGTCAGAATATGGCCGGAAATAGTGCATTCGTGAGCAGGTCAACAACGTTTCGTATCGAAACTTTAAAAAAACTTAAAACGTCTAAAAAACTCACAATATGCCGCGTGTAGAGAAAGTGGCCCCTCTCCCAGCTGCATTTCAGCGGCAGGTAGTAGTAATCAGGTCCTCTTTTATTTGGAAATGTTTTATTTCAGCCCAGTGAAGCACTTTAGACACTTTTCTTTTTATATATAATTGTGCTTCAAATAAAGACAAGCATTTCTCTACACCTTATGCTTGTTTAAAAATCATTCACATTATATGAAAGTTATGGAGAGCGATAAAAAGGTGACCTTAAGGCGTTAAAGGCGACACAATGAAAAATTTGGGTGCACCTAAATTTTGTGCTGGTGCACCTAAAAAAAAGGTTAG